GATCCTGAAGTATGTCATGTGTGACCTTTTTAAGCGCACTAATAGCGTTCAATCCACCGTTTTGGTAGCATAACTTCTTATAGACTAAAGAAAACTATGTGTTAATTCTGGATTTCTTCAGTTTTGGAAATGTCTCTACTGCCAAGAACACATAACGAACTTAAGAGACGCACTACGAAGCACCCGTCTCCCGACTGGAAATTACCAGTTTTAGTGATCACTATGTAGATGCAATGCACACCCTGTATCTAGAAGTTGGGCGCTTCGTTACGAAGACTGTCGCTCTGAAAATATTTATTTCTGTTTAGGACGTGTTTAATTAGCCGTTTGCAACTGTTCCCGTAGGAATATTTAAACTATTTTTACAGCCACCACCGAAAGCTTTCTTGCCAGAGAAGAAGAGAGAGGATCAATCTTCTTAAATATTAGGTCCGTTAATTACCCCTTAATAGCTTTTAATTTCTAATGGTATACGAAAACCAGCATTAAACTGGTAATTTATAGAAAATATCAACATGATAACAGAAATCGCCGCTTGACCTGACATTCCAAGGAACAAACTTTTTACTTTAAACAGTGGCGATGATCGTATATTCTGAAGGCACAATGGCCTCGACGTTTTAAGAAATACCTTCTTGGAGTGAGTTAGGGTTTTGGCTAGAGTCCAGGCATGTCATCTTACTGTAATGAAATTTTATGGTAACCCTTATTATAAAAAAAATGAAAAATTCTAATGACATTTGGCATCGTTGTTGACCATAAGAGCCTCTACTGTAAAGTCAAGGTGAGACGGACTATAGAGACAGTGAATTATTACGGAAACTAACGGGAATATCAATCATTTAATGATATTTTGCACATTTTCACATGTCCCTTAAGCGTCAGGTCAAGGGCCGCTTCATTTTTTTTTCACAATGTTATTAAGCCTGTTCAGCCTAATTTGACTATTGTAGTTCAGGTATTGTTCACAATGTTCAGTGTTTTAGGCACTATTACTTTCTAAAAATACTCCCAAGAACTTTTCTAAGAAAGGTTCTTAGTCCCTTTTCTATTGAAATTTGCTAGGAGATTTCGAGGAAGGCCTCCTAGGTAAGAAGGTAAAGTTTACAGGAAGAGTTCTAAAAGAAAAGCACATGATCCATCATGGCCATTTCACCGCATTCGTTTACTTCAGATTCCGCCGAAAACGCCTACAAATTCAACTGCCATAGCCACACCCGTAATATGATTCAAAAGCCTACTTATACTCAACGAAACAGATCATTCTTACGCGGTAATATCCAAGAGAGTAAACGATTCGTTACTCCAGGACCGCGGATCCACGCTCGGAATATTGCTAGTACCACTCGAAACAAGGTGCTTTTGTCGCTCCAAGCAGAAAATGGTAGGTACGCCCATAACGACCTTCGATACTCAAGAGCTTACCTTGAATCTCGGCCTACGTCGACCGTTCAGTTGGACTTTCGTTATCGCGGATGCTCAGACTGCCATACTTGGAGCTGATCCTCTTAAAAACTCCACGGATTGACTATAGATATTCGACAACACCGCTTTCGACATGGACTCACCAATATCCACACCGTATGGACTCTTGCTTCAACATCATTTCCACCCCAATAACCCCGGATGGCCCAGTAGGAGACGCTTACAGGTGTATTATTGCTCAGTTTTCCCACTCTGCTGTCTCGCCTGGAGGAATGGCCACGATTCCCGACCTATTCGTCGAACATCAAATCGTCACCTGCGGACCTCCAATTTTTGCTTGTCCCCACCGACTTGCAAGATAACGCCTCAGTGCGGCAAAGCAAGAGTTCGAACTCTTATTGGAACGAGGCATCATCCACCATCATCGAGCCAGTGCTGGTGGAATTGCGTGCCACTGGAGATTATTAACATTTGAACTCGCCCAGACTACTACCCACTGCCAATCATTGAAGTCTTGCTTCAAGAAGCCAGTGGTTCAGCATTTTTGGTCATCGATCTGCAACGCGCCTTCTACCAGATTTCAGTCGCTTCTGACGAATTTTTGTTTTGTGCGCATGATTTGTTGATTGTGGTCGCCGGTTTCGGCCTGCGCTAAAAGGTTAATTCATTAATGCACTTCGTTGACGATGTACCATTTTTATATTTTTGTTTGTATCGAGAAAAAGTTTTAAAGTTAAATTGCAATTAAACGATTTATAAAACCAGCGTTTTTTTTAATAAGCAGTTCAACAAACATCTGGTTACCACGCCTTTTGGCCTTTTCGAAACTTGTTGGAATGCCCCCAGGCTGCCCAATCCGTACAGCGGACTATAAACCACCTCCTTCGTAAGCTGTATTTCGTCCGTTACCAAGATGACATCTTAGTTTTTCCCCGGTCATGAGAAGCATCTTCAGCATGTCAATGGGCGTCTTACGCTAGTTAAAAAAGCCAAGCTTCCACTAAAGTGCCAAGTTACCAATTACTATCGCCGCCATTTTGACCACAAACAGCATCACATCGATTATTCACCCTTCCCCTCTCCTACTCACCGGATCTCGCCATGAGAAGAAAGTGGTTTGCCACTGTAGAGGAGGTAAAGCAAAAATCGCTAGGAAGCCTAATGAACATCCATATAAGGGAATTTAAAGAAAACTTTGAAGGTGATCAAAAATTTGTGAAAAATTATTTTATTAAGAACCAAAGGAATTATGATGAAATGCCCGTTTCTTTTGGGTCCTCCCTCGTATAAAGATCTTCCTTTTGGTAAGGTTCTCTCTTCACAGTTCAGCACCTACCGTCAGGATTGCATATGCCTCGGTTTGGAACACGGTTGCTTTATTTCCTAGATTTACACTGATGCTGCAGCTTTCGTACACCCCACAGCCAGTGCCCTCCGTAGTTTTTGAGCCATCTGTGTAATACATTCAGCGTTACCTTATTGGACTTATCTTCCAGTCGCGTCGAGCGGCAATTGTCGTCTTAAACAGTCTGTGGTGCCACCAAGGCACTTTATTTGAGATTCTCTTTGGTTTTGTGGGACAGCACCTTTGATGGCCATGCGAAGGTTTGATTCCATGACCTTTAGTACTTTCTCTACAGAGTTCCCAGTTGGTTCTTCTCTGATTTCTATATACGGCTACAGATGCTTCATCCAATGTCAAAATGAATATATCTATAGTCAGATAGCGGTTGGTTCTTCTGACATATGTCATTTGTGTATTGAGCTACATACAGTCACAGTTCCAAACGTTATGTCAATTACCTACCCCCCTTCGTCGATTATTGCCATTGCCCACATTAGCAACTCTAGTTATTGTTGATAATGTAATCTAGGGGAGAATCGCCTCTTCGGTTGATGTCGGTGTTGCCGGTGCCCCTTTGCATCACATCCAAGGAGTTACCATCCTTTCCGCTGACAGTGCTCCGCCAGTATGCTAACTTCTATGCTTGGTGGTGGATAAGGTTGATCATACGAGAGTCCACTGTCAGCATTACTGCCACCAGGTCTCTGCAACAGAATTCCCATAGTGGCAGTTAACGCTATTCCTAGCTAAGATGCATGATCTGGGATTGATTTCCTCATGTATGCACAGATGCAGATGAATTTGTGCAACTTTTCCATTAATAAAATACTAAAACCGGGCATAGTTGGCTGTGATTCCCCTGAGGGCCCCTCAACTGTCTCTTCCCACTCCATGCTTGTTACTTTCTAGCCCTCCACCTTGGGGAGGATTTTGAACGTCACCCTGCGATAGTTGCAAGTGACAGCCATCTTGCCCACACGATTTAGATTCTTTTCAGGATCTTCTCCGGTTATACTTGAACCCCAGGGATCCAAACGTGTGCCCTTACTGGTTTTGGGAGATTCTTCGCTTCGACGAATTGAAATTTCGCCTCCTCCCACGGAGGTACCTACTTCAGACCTTAACAAGGCTTCCGGAAGCTGGTCTGCGCATGTGATCAACAGCGCTCCTCCTCGGTAACCGCCCCAATGGACAAAGCGTCGACTCAATCAAGGATCCGGGCTTTGAATCGCCTCGTCTCCTCATCCAACGTTCCCTCCAGATCTTCATGGACAAAAACCATTCGGAAGCCTGTAGCTGCATCGCTAAAGGTTATGGTATCCTTTGCGGACCCAGTTTTTGCCTTTTTCGAGCTACTTCCCTTCAGGCCGGTTTCGCGTTTACGTCCCAGTATGCAGCACGGCCTTGGTAGGTGCGTTTCCAGGTTGCTTAGGGCTCACTTCAGCACTTTCGGTGCCCCGGAAAGTTCTTTACGATGTTCAGTACCAGGTGTTCCGGGAGTAGTTGCTTATTTTTGTTTTTCCTGGTCCATATGAGTCCCACTAGTAATGGAAAATGAAATGTCCACACACGCGGTGCCCCCCGCGCACTTAATACAACGGATTGGAGCCCGATGCTCCGAGGGAGAGCACGGTAGCTGCTGATCTACTATTCAGTCCTCGGTCCTGCCTTCTGGTCCTTGCAATTTATTGGGTTGTATTTTCTCGGTCCAGGAGGCCTTCGGTCCATCCTGAACCCACCAGGTTAGTGCATGCTATATCGACAGGGCTAACGGACATGAGCACATGTCGGCGCCGTTTAACTCCATGCAAGCCCTTGGCAACAACACGACAGCTGGGTGAAACACCTGGCCACGACGCTCTGCTTGGTTACTACCAGTCACTATTTCATAAGCGACCAACATCCTTATCCCTAGCATTAATACCTACTAGATAAACTGAGTAACGATGATTCTTGAAAGAATTGCTTCTACACCCGTTATAGGTTTAAAGAAGAAGTTCTTGAAAGGATTCACTAGATCTAACAGACTTTGCGAAAGGTTTGGTGATTATAAGGCACAAGTGTAGTTTTAGAATAGCAAACTCCCAGCAAAATTCAAAGTTTTCATAGTATAGAATTCTTAATTGGTAGATAGTGTTAAGTATCCATATAAAACAAAGTTACTGCTATAATGTATAGTCCATTAACTTTGACTTACACGTAAGTCATTGTTCATTACCGTAAATTTAATTGGAAAACAACATCCAAATTAAATTCAATCAACCATGCGAAGTGTGAAGAGAAGCATAAGTGAAAAAAGTTTTGTAGTTGGCTCATTACATATGAAACTTGCTTTATTATTATCACAGATAATTGGGTATTCTATCTGTGCGTACTATCACAGATAATTTTATCTGTAGTACTATGCACTTCCGACAAGCTTAATTACAAAGCGGAACGTATCTCCAGATAAAACTAATTTTGGTATCTTTTTAGAAATGAATCACTGTGCAAGAGGAGAATAAGTATGAAAAATTACCTAATTGTAAGTGCAGCTGTAAATATAGCGTTGGTGGCTTCAGATACGACTTCCAACCAAACGCCAAGCTTATGTTTAACTCCAAGCTGTATTGATGCAGCCTCGAGTGTTTTAAATAATATGGACGAAAGTGTTGAGCCATGCGATGATTTTTATCAATTCGCATGTGGTAACTTTCTCCAACACGCAAAAATACCTAACGATAAATATTCGGTTTCATACTTTAAAATTACTGAAGATTTGGTTAAACACCAGCTAAGAGTAGTACTGGAAGAGAACGTCACAGTACAAGAACCACGACCGTTCAAGCTAGTTAAAAGGACATATCAAACATGCATGAATACAACTGCTATTGAACTAGACGGATTGACGACTATAAAATCAATTTTAGAAAAACTAGGCGGATGGCCGGTAGTACAAGGGTGCAAGTGGAATCAGGAGAAATTTGATTGGAAACGGTCCGTTTACAAGTTTCGTAACTTCGGTTACGATTTTAATTATTTCATTGCCGTTGACACTGCGGCCGATATAAAGAATTCTTCTGTGGACACGCTTTATGTAAGTATAATATTGTAACTCACTGATTTAACTGTTCTCCAGATAGGACCAGCGAAAGTATCTCGTTCAAACGCAAGTGGCCTCAAATGGTACCTTAATAAAATGGTGAACGTTGCCACTAGCTTCGGTGCTAAAAAAGGAGTGGCCATTAGGGAGCTAAATGAATCCGTACACTTCGAGCTCAATTTAAGTATGGTAATGTGCAGACGGGTGCAGTCTTCGGTTTAATTTTAACTATATGTTCAGATGGCAAGACCATTTCAAAAAGAGAAAAACCTTAGTTTTTTGTACCATCGCATATCTGTATCAGAACTACAACAAAAGGCTCCTAATATTCCTTGGTTGGAGTACTTAAATTCAGTACTAAACGTTACCAACGTTACCATTGAAGCTTCTGACCTAATAATACTGCAGGTAGCTCCTAGCTACTTTTCCGAGTTAGAGAAATTGCTCAACAATACACCAAAAAGGTTTAATAAACATGCCCCCTATAAAACAAAATTGAAGCTTTCTATTTCAGAGTACTGGCCAACTATCTTATGTGGAAAGTTGTCGAATCATCAATACCTTACCTTGCGGAGAAGTTGCTGAACAACTCAACACAATACAAGAATTCCACTTTCAGGTGGAAGAAATGTGTCAGTTTCACTTTAGAGAGGTTAGTAGTGACAATTAACGTATTTAACGTTAACGTAATTGCAATCAGTATGCCAACTGCTACCAGTGCTTTATATGTTCGAAAACATTTCAATGAAAATGTCAAGCAACACGTTATGGAAATGGTTTCCGACATCAGAAAAGAATTTGTCAACATGGTAAAAAGGACCGACTGGATGGATGGCGATACAAAACAACATGCTTTAGAAAAAGCCGCAGCTATGTCGTCTTACATTGCGTATCCAGACGAATTTCTCTTAGACGAAAAATTGGAAGACTATTATAAAGAGGTTTACAGAATTTCTGTTTCATTTTATGAATTAGTTTTAGTTCCATGTGGAATCCGACAACTTCCTCCAAGTAAGACTAAGCACTAAACTCTTTAATTACGAGAATGTAATCAAACGTTTGGTACTACCAGTGAATCAAACCAGTTGGATTAAATACGGAAAATCCGTCGATGTTAATGCATACTACAGTATGAGATCGAACAGAATAAGTACCTACATTAAACTGCTCCCTGTAATGCACGTTGAATTATTATTAAATTTACAGTACTACCTGCCGCAATATTGCAAGGCGCCTTTTTCAGTGATGATAGGCCATGGTATATGAACTATGGGGGAATAGGTTTCATAATCGCACACGAAATTATTCATGGATTCGACAATGACGGCCGACAACATGACAAATTCGGAAATTTGGAAGATTGGTGGGCACCTTCCACAAAAGCAAAGTTTCTCACAAAATCCCAGTGCATAATTGATCAGTATGGAAACCATTCCGTGCCCGAATTGGGATTAAATGTACGTTGGCAGCAAAGCTGCGTCTGACTTTGTGTTAACTGTTCTAGCTAGACGGCTTTATGACTCAAGGCGAAAATATAGCAGATAACGGTGGTATAAAAATTGCGTATTTAGCATACAATGAGTGGATTCGGCGCAATGGAAGAGAACGACTTCTTCCCGGGCTGAACTACACTGATCGGCAATTATTTTGGATTTCGGCTGCGAATGTTTGGTGCACAAAGACGGAACCGGTTATTGAAATGATGCTAATGTATGCGAGCGTGCATCCTCCGGCCAAATTTAGAATAAATGTGGCTCTAAGTAATGCACATTATTTTGCTAGAGATTTCAATTGCCGTATAGGAAGCAAAATGAACCCCTTCAAAAAATGCGTGGTTTGGAAGTTTTTTTAAGCGAGCTTTTTGACGCGTAATCCTTTGTCATCAAAGGATGAATGGATGAAAATAAATTAAGTATATGCTTTCTTTCGTACAGTAAAAGAGCGAATAAGGAAATATGACAATTAATTAAGAATAAATTCACTACAGTCTTCAAATGGATTAATTTAAAACCGTAATTACAATGTATCACTCACAATTATTTATAACATAACAAGAACGCACCAAAAGTCCCCGAATAGTGTTCTAGGGCACTAGAACAAAATACCTAAAAAACCTACACTGGATACAATCATTCTCTTCACTCTGATATACATAAATACAATACAAGAAACAAGGACTTAGTATGTACCTATACCTTGTTGTCGATTAAGAAAAACTCAGAATGGACCCACCAACTTGGCACTTAAAATATACAACCATGTACCCAGCTGTTTAACCGCCTTAGAATTAAAGCTTTAAGTTAAATGTTAAAGCTTTCTTATTAAGTAAAGCGTTCTATTCTGTTGCAGAGTTTCTGCTTTACGATATGAAAACTTCCATGTAATTATTAAGCATGTATAATATTTTAGATTTACCCATTGTTTTGAGGAATGTAAGTTTCTTTTGTTGACTATGCATGAAATAAATATTACCTACTATTATTCTATTATTACGTCAAATTTTCCGAAAAAATTACGTTACATCGTTTAGTAAAAAATATTAAGGAAGAGGAGTAACAGTAATGTAAACTTTGTGCCTCAATCCATAATGTAGGTATTCTCATCCTTGTCTAGCACGTTGTTTTATACTGAATATGCAACACCGATCACACGTATTTGGTTAAAAATACAGAAAAGTAAATAAACTGAGAGGTTGGGGCCTTAGAGAGATAAAGATAAATGCTTGTCGATGCTTTTATAAGTGCTAATATCTATGGGTTAATGGAATATCTTAAAATATATACTTAATAAAGTGGCAAACTGCGCCATTTCTCACTCACACACTCACATACTTGATTCTTGAAGTTTAATGTCATTCATAGTGGCTCGACGCATTCCATTTGCTTATTCACGTAAAATAAAGTTATAAACAATGGTTGTGTCCGTTTGTAACGCACCCTCTACGTCAATTTTAGCAAGGGTTTATCTAATATATTACAATTGGCGTCGAGGTAAACGTAAATTAAAAAAAGCGCTTTTTTTTTTTAAATAAAATGAGTATAAGAATCGTGGGTACTGTAAGAGCAAAAGTTCAATTTACTCGTAATGGTCACCGCTTTGCCATTAGATATTTCAATGAGTGGAATCGACTTTTAGTAGGTGTTAAAAAAACCCTGAGGATAAAATTGACATTTCCATGCTGCGGAATATTGGTTCAAGAGTTCAATTATATTTCAATTTCAATTATATTAAACATTTCACTATCCAATTTTCCGAATTTTCTATACCTTTCAGAACCAGCAGAAAATGTGTCTCAGAAAGTGCTAATTAACGCATATTATGCCCTAATTCATAGTGTTATGACTCATGCAATCATAGTGTGGGGTAATCAAGGAAACGCAATGCAGCTTTTATAATGCAGAGAAGAGCTGTTTGCATAATTGCGGGTTTGGGGTACCGGGAAGACTGTCGCGAAGCATTCAAACATTTAAATATATTAACTCTGTCGTGTGCCTACATCCTTGAGTATTTGTGCTACGCAAAGAAGAACTTCTACTCATTTACAACAAACTCTCAAATACATCACCACAACACGAGGCACAAAGTTGACGTAAGAGTAAACTTCGGCCGACTCTGCAAAACTCAAAAAGGTCCTAGAATACAATCACAAATATTTTTTAACTGCATCAATGTGTCCCTAAGTCATAAATAGAATTTAAGAATCAAATAAAAACATTTTTAAGTAGCCAATGCTTTTATAGCTATCAAGAATTTTTAACTTTTGATTTTACCTGTGATACTTCTAAATATTTGTTTAGATAAGTGACTGTGATATTTTTGGCGATGTGTAAGTACTCCATGTATGTAAAGCCTGAATATGTATTATTATTATTCTTTCAAAAGAAGAAAATATACTTACTGTAAATTGGAGAAAAGTCCAACGCATCGATCAACGTAAGTTATTTGAATTTTTTTCAGTGTGTTTGTAAAGGAGTTTATGCTCAAAGTCAATTTAACATTCCTAAAGTAGTCGACCCACGGAAGTTTATTCCGTGAACAAATTTGTATATTTTTTAAGAATTATAAGCGGGTCCAAACAAAAGGTGTTGGTGATTTTTTCTCATTCTTTGTTAAGTTGATTCTTGTGTGTAGAGGTGTGTAAATACTTTGAATAGGAAAATGTACCAGATGTTGGAAGAGTGTACTAGATCAGAGTGCAATGGTGACTCGTGGAAGAATTGCTTCTACCCCCGTTAGGTCTAAAAACTGCGCTAGTTTTTGGAAGTTTTTGAAAGGGTTATATGGCACTAGGTCTAACAGACATAAAAATTCAAAGTCTTAATTGTAAAATTAAGAATCCCTAATTGGTAGGTACTAAAACAAAGTTGGTACTATAATATTATGGTCCATTAACTTTGAATAAGCAATTCACATAATCACGTAAATCTTTGTTCATTACCATAAATTTAATGCGAAAACTTCGTAAATGAAAAAACTTTTGTAATTGGTTCATCACATACAAAACTTGCTTTCCAGTTGTCAATTAATATCCTAGCTTAGTTATTTCGAATTGTTTTCTTGTTTCCGTGCCTGAATTACTGTATAACAGGTGAAGAGCATGACATTCGTCAACCCCATTGCCGCCATATTTTATAGGAGTTATGACTACCTTGTTGAGTGCGGGTAATGTAGAATGATGTACCATATAAGTGTGTAGTTTAATTACAAGCGGAGCGATCTCCAGATAAAACTAATTTTGGTATCTTCTTAGAAATGGATCACTGTGCAAGATGAGAATAAGTATGAAAAATTACCTAATTGTAAGTGTAGCTATGAATATAACATTGGTGGCTTCAGTTACGACTTCCAACCAAATGTCAAACTTATGTTTAACTCCAGGCTGTATTCATGCAGCGTCTAGTGTTTTAAAAAATATAGACGCAAGTGTTGATCCATGCGATGATTTTTATCAATTCGCATGTGGAAACTTTCTTAAACAGGCTATTATACCGGACGGTAGCTATGCTGCTTCATACTTTCAAATTACTGAAGGTTTGGTTAAACACCAACTAAGAGTAGTACTGGAAGTGAACGTCACAGCACAAGAACCACGACCGTTCAGGCTACTTAAGAAGATATATCAAACATGCATGAATACAACTGCTATTGAACTAGATGGATTGACGACTATAAAATCAATTTTAGAAGAACTAGGCGGATGGCCGGTAATAAAAGGACGGAGGTGGAATAAAAAAAAATTTGAATGGAAACGGACCATTTACAAGCTTCGTAATTTCGGTTACGATCCTAATTATTTCATTGCCATTCTAATTGATGAAGACATGAAGAATTCTTCACTGAATGCGCTCTATGTAAGTAGGTATGTATAATATTGTGACCCTCACTTATTCAACTGCTCCTTAGATACAGCCACCAAAGATTTCTCGTTCAAACGCAAGTGATAACATCAAATACCTTAATACAATGGTGAACATTGCCACTGTTTTAGGTGCTAAAAGAAGGGTGGCCAAAAGAGAACTTAATGAATCATTAAACTTCGAGCTCAATTTAAGTACGGTAATGTGTAGAGCGATACAGTGTTAAATGCATCGGTTTAATTTTAACTATACATTTAGATGGCAAACCAATTTCGAGAACTGAGAAATTTTAGCTTATTGTACCATCGCATGTCTGTATCAGAACTACAACAAAAAGTTCCTAATATTCCTTGGTTGGAGTACTTGAATTCAGTATTAAACGTACCCACAATTACCATTAAAGCATCTGATGTAATCATAGCAGCACCTCCTATCTATTTCTCAGAGTTAGAGAAATTGCTCCTCAATACACCAAAAAGGTTTAATAAATATATCACCTATGAAACAAAATTGAAGCTTTTTTTTTAGAGTACAGGCAAACTATCTTATGTGGAAAACTGTCGAATTTTCGCTACCTTACCTTACAGAGAAGTTGCTGCACAGTTCAACTACCGGTTGGAAGAAATGTGTCAGTTTAACTGTAAAGAGGTTAGTAGCGACATTCAGCCCTGTGATGTATCAGAAACGTCAAACTTAACCTGCATATTATCTGCCAAAAAACGTTAAATTGCGTTATTTAGTATAGGGAAAATGAGATTTTTGACAGATAACTTGCGCGTTAAGATAGCGGGTAGTTTATACGGGATAGTAAATTGCGATAGTACTTCTGAGAATAACTTGCGCTAACGTTTACATATAAGCAAGTTGTAAAAAGCACTTTCTCTCAGCAAGTACTCTCATAAACCTTTCAGCTAAAAATTTTAATGTGTTTTGTTTCTTGAGTCTGTCTGTTTTGATTTGACTTGCCACAACTCCGGAAATTCTTCAAAAGTATTAATTAAAGAAGACGTGCCTTCTTTTGACCACCCACGTTTTGCCTCCATGCAGCGCAGCACTTGCGTACAACTTTGAACAAGATTGAAATAAATGTCAACGTTCTGTCAAAACTGTGTTTAAACGTGCAAGATTTTATTGCAGCAATTACTTCTTGGCAAATTTTCGACTTGCTGGGAGAGAGCCCTGTATCACTGTTTACATTATGACACAAACTTGTGAGAGTTTTACTATCCCGTGTAAATTACGCTTTGTGATATATCACAGGGTTGAATGTTTAAATAAAGGGTGTTAATGACCGCATGTTAAAAAAATGGGCGGTAGAAGGGATCAGGGCAAGCACTTTTTCCAAATAAACAGAGGGTCCAACGTGTTTCGTTTGGGAGCCACCCCACGAAATTCGGTATTTGGGGTTTTTGAACATGGAAATCACGAATCTGGAATTAGTTTTTGAAAATTCGAAAAAAAAGTTCCACTGCAATTCTTGGCCAGACAACGAAAATGAAAAGAATTCCACGAAATTTGTTGTGTACATACTTGAGGGGGAACAAAATTTTTGTAACTCTTATGGTTGCTGAGAAAAAAATTAAAGAGAAATCCAAATTTCACCACTTCTTTGGGGGTGGCTCCCAAACGAAACACGTTGGACCCTTGGTTTATTTGGAAAAAATGCTTGTCCTGATCCCCTCTACCACCCATTTTTTTTTACATGCAGTCATGTAACACCCTGTATAACCTTAACGTAATTACAATCAGTATGCCAATTGCCACCTGGGCTTTGTATGTTCGGAAACATTTCAACGAAAATGCCAAGCAAGACGTTATGGAAATGGTTTCCGACATCAGAAAAGTGTTTGTAAATATAGTAAAAAGGGCCGACTGGATGGATGTCGAAACAAAAAAATATGCTTTAGAAAAAGCCGAAGCTATGTCGTCTTACATTGCGTATCCAGACGAATTTCTCTCAGATGAAACATTGGAAGACTTTTATAAGGAGGTTGACATTAGAGTGCGCGTATGATTTTATGAATTAGTTTTAGTTGCATGTGGAATCCGACAACTTCCTAAAAATAATGCTGAGCACTAATCTCTTTGGTTATGAGAGTACAGCCAAACGTTTAGCACTGCCTGTGAATCAAACCGATTGGGTTAAATCCGGACAATCCGCTGGCGTTAATGCATACTACAATGTACTATCGAATAGAATAAGTAAGTTAAACTGCTTGCTGTAATGCACGTTGAAGTATTATTAAATTTACAGTACTGCCTGCCCCAATATTGCAAGGCGTATTTTTCAGTGATGATAGACCATGGTATATGAACTATGGGGGAATAGGATTGCTAATCTCTCACGAAATTGTTCATGGATTCGACAATAAAGGCCGACAATTTGACAAATTTGGAAATTTGGATGATTGGTGGACACCTTCCACAAACGAAAAGTTTATAACAAAGGCCCAGTGCATAATTGATCAGTATGGAAACCAGTCCATACCCGAATTGGGATTAAATGTATGTTGGCAGAAAAGCTGCATTCTTTTAGTATTTTTAACTTTCTAGGTAAATGGGTTTAAGACGCAAGGAGAAAATATAGCAGACAACGGCGGTATAAGAAATGCATATTTAGCATATAATGAATGGATTCGGCGTAATGGAAGGGAACGACTTCTTCCCGGGCTGAATTATACTGATCGCCAATTATTTTGGATTTCGGCTGCAAATATTGGGTGTATAAAGATGGAACCTGCTGTTGCGAAGATGCTAATCCGCATAGACACTCATTCTCCCGCCAAATTTAGAATAAATCTACCTCTTAGTAATACGGATTATTTTGCTAAAGATTTTAATTGCCGGATAGGAAGCAAAATGAACCCCGATAAAAAGTGCGAGGTTTGGAAATGATTCGAAGTTTTTTTTTGGCGATGAATCAATTCTAGAGTTTGTTTATACAATTCCTTTTATCAATTATCTATATGTTGTTTGCTTTCTTTCTTACAGTAAGAGAGCGAATAAGAAAATGATTATTATGTTATTTAATACTTATTAAAATAGTTTTATGTATAATTAGATTATTTGTGCTTTATTATCCAACTGGATATGCCACATGCGTTTGTCATTCAAAAAAGGGGAGTTGGACGACGCTTTAGGTTATGGTAAAATTATTCCTGTAAGCCTCTTTTTTTAAAACATAGATTCTTAGCCTTATGGATTTCCATCTTAGAGGTCCTACCGTTCGTTCATAATAACATCCTTCACTTACTTACCGGTACTATTCAGGTCACATCTTAATTAACTGTTGAATCAAATTCTAACAGCTTAGGTACTTACAAACTGGAAACCAGGAAATTTTGTCTCAATATCTGTTCAAATTCAGTTAAAATCAAATAAAAGTTATGTGGGAGAAGTAAACTTATTCCCCCCTTACTATCTTTTCCAAAAGTGGTCACTTTGGTTTCGATGATGCGCGTAACGCGAGCAATTGTTATAACGTCGATAAAAAATAATATCGTACGACTTTAGTAACGAAAGTTAATAGAAAACCAGGAATAAAGGTGTCTACCAGAGAGCTCACGAAGAAAAGGAATTCAAATTAAAAGTTAAGTGACAATTCCCCACGCGGGTGGCATGGGTGACTGAAAAGCTCTTGTTCCTTGTTCTGTTCCCCTTAAAAAATACTATGCAGAATTAAAATTTTGGAGTCGAGTATTTGGCGTGTATGGATTTATTGTGTGCTTGTGCAATATTCATGAAGTCCCCTTGTGGGTTCGAGGGTGAAATTGGTCCTGGATATCGTAAAGAGAAGAGAAGTGGGAGATCAGTCTCTTTTCACACTCAAATCTCTTTCTATAATATTACCGTGCATAAAAGTCGTGTTTTTCTATACTTTCCACGAAACTTTCCACACGTTTTCAGTGATATTTTTAAATATTAAATTAAATTAAAAATGTTTGTACCACCGCTCGGTTAAGGTGTGTTGCCCTGGGTATCATGTAAATAAAAAGATTTGGTGACTTTTAGACGCAGACTCTAGAGCACAAAATAACAATTTCCTTGGTCTGGGTGAGCTTATCGTTTATAAAAAAAACAAAAATTTGTTCTCAAAATAAATTTCAGATGGAAGGCAACAGTAATTTGGAAAATAGAATGGCAGAATTCTCTTTTACAATACAATCGGTCTTTTGTACCGCCAGTTTCATGTTCCTCACAATTTCTTAGTCCTAGTTTACTTATAGGAAAAAATTACCACTCCAAAAAATAACGCAACGGAAATGTTTTGCACTTCGAACCTCAACGTGTTAGTGGTAACAATTTATTTAAGCGCTACAACAATAATTCAAATTTGCACTAAAACGAACAAATATGTTTGCGCACGCATTACAACGGTAACGCCTCGCAATAATCGCAGTTACTACACCAAGAAATTCCCCTTTTTTCTTAAATAGACCACTTTATATTAGTTAACTCTAGAGTTAACTCGTAAAGGCGAATCGGAACGCATTTAAAATGCACCCAACAATAAATTTTGTCGGACTTGCGGCGCGTTTTTCACTTAAAATCTAATGAAAAACTTCAACTTTCGTGATACACTGTCACATACGACTACGCGACTGACAAATCTTTTCACATGCCTCGATTATACTTTTTGAAGCTTTCCGTTGAAGAAACAATTGTTTGCGCGATATAAAATGTTTGCGTTTACGTTACGTAGTTTTGCATGGTCTGGCGTATAATTCCATACACGATCAAAAAAATGCAGCGCTCGTCCTGCACAGGTTCTCTCCGAAAGTTTGAGTAAGAATGCCGTTCTCCCCCCAAATTATTCATAGTCTATTCGCCAATTAAAAGCGAAATGAAAATAAAATGCAAGAGTTTCGGATGAGCACGAAGTACCAATAATAAATAAGTCGAGGTCGGTTAGGATTAGATACTTTACAGCTGCAATTTGCAAATCCATAGGCTAAGTCCCTCAAAGTAAAATAAGAATAAATACATTGTTATTAGATAGCCATAAGAAGAAAATAGAGACAGGTGGTCGCTTTAGGTATAGAAAGTTGTGTTTGTTGGGTATCGATTTTACAAATTTCCCAGTAGAGGAAATTTGATAACTGTACCGCTTCATAGTGAAATGGAACAAAACTGAAATGCAAGAGAATGAAGTGCTTTCATATAAGCAGCGAATGTACGAGCAGGGCCCTTGTTTTTGAAGTTGATAGGAATAGAATTAGAAAGAAAAAGGGCCGAGTTCTCTCTTAAAACATCAATCAAGGATAGGCTTTTGTTTTACGAGAGAACTCTGCCCTCTTTCTCTCACTAATTCTGTTTCTGTGAACTTAAGAATAAAGACCATGTTTACGGAGCGTGTGGGACGGCTGTTTAGCTATACATTTTCAATGTATATGAACGTAGCCGTAGATTAGGTGGGTCCGTTTTGGATTTTTAATTTCGCGAGTATATTAAGAAAAATTTGCCGTAACTAGCACAGATATCACCCGCGCACCTGCACATGGCGCGATTCTACCCTTTTATGCCTAAGAATATGTATACCAAATAGAGAGTACAGACAGACAGACAGACGGATCGGTCGACATCATTAAGATTTGATACCGATTGCTGGTGCGCTTCAAAACGTATATTTCCGCCAAAAAATTGGGGGGGGGGGCAGTACTTTCGACGCGAAACTACAGCGTTGTAGAGCATTTTAAGGACACGTAATATTAAGTTCTCAGCTGAACCTCCAAAGGGAATCTATTTAAGTTGTACGCCGCATTATTTTAGAACGCATAACATTTTCAACTGAAAATTCCAAGACGAATTCATAAAATCACGGTGTACGGGAGATTTCAACAGCCGTGTAATCGTACGTTAAATTTTCACTGGTGAAGTAGAAGTTAATCGCCGCATAATCGGAAAACTGTCGCCATGTGACTTTAAATCCTCTGCGAGTTGCCATTACAGGTAAGCTAACATAAAGTGGCATATTTATGCAAAATAGTATATTATATACCGCCGGACTGAAGTAGTACTTTTAATCCCGAATGTAAAGTTTATGGCCTCGAAAACCTTAGGATCAAGAGTACAGGACATTTCATTGCGTTTATACTTGAAGTGGTTAGTTACGATTAAAAACGACTGTACCAATTAAATTTATGCGCCTATCGTGTTTATATAGACAATTCTTTCTAATTTAAAGGGCAACCGTTGAAAAGTCTAAGGACGATTAATTAGTGCTTTTAGTAGGTGTTAAACTCTGAGATTATAAGGGTAAAATTGACATTCCCATACTGCGGAACATTGGTAAATCATTCCAGTGAGTAAACAAACGTTCAACAACTAAGTTTCGAGAAACCTGAAGCCCAGTTTGTTCCTGATTTGGGTCGTCAACCGTATCTCAAAATTCACTTTCAACGATATGTCAAATTTACCAGGCGATAGAAAGTGTTCTATTATTACATATACAGTTTTCCATTAATAAATATAAATCAAAGTCCATTTAACATTCCTGAAGAAGCCGACCTACGGCAGATTATTCCGTGAACAAATGTGTATATTCTTTAAGAATTATAAGCGGGCCCAAACATTTCTCATTCATTTTAAAGTTGATTCTTGTGTGTAGAGGTGTGTACATACTTTGAATAGGAAAATGTACCAGGTGTTGGACGAGTGTACTAGAATCTAGATCAGCAGAGCAATGGTGATGCGTGAAAGAATTGCTTCTACCCCCTTTAGGTCTAAAAAACTGGGCTAGTTTTTGGAAGTTGTTGAAAGGGTTATATGGCACTAGGTCTAACAGACATCAAAATTCAAAGTCTTTATTGTAAAATTAAGAATCTTTAATTGGTAGGTAGTAAAACAAAGTTGGTACTATAATATTATGGTCCATTAACTTTGAATAAGCAATTCACGTTATCACGTAAATCTTTGTTCATTACCATAAATTTAATGCGAAAACTTCGTAAGTGAAAAAAGTTTTGTAATTGGTTCATCACAAACAAAACTTGATTTCCAGTTGTCAATGAATATCCTAGCTTAGTGATTTAGAATTGTTTTCCTGTTTCCGTGCCTGAATTACTGTATAACAGGTGAAGAGTATGACATTCGTCAACGCCATTGCCGACATAACTTATAGTAGTTATGGCTACCTTGTTGAGCGCGGGTAATGCAGAATGATGTACCATAGTGTGTAGTTTAATTACAAGCGGAGCGATCTCCAGATAAAACTAATTTTGGTATCTTCTTAGAAATGGATCACTGTGCAAGATGAGAATAAGTATGAAAAATTACCTAATTGTAAGTGTAGCTATGAATATAACATTGGTGGCTTCAGTTACGACTTCCAACCAAATGTCAAACTTATGTTTAACTCCAGGCTGTATTCATGCAGCGTCTAGTGTTTTAAAAAATATAGACGCAAGTGTTGATCCATGCGATGATTTTTATCAATTCGCATGTGGCAACTTTCTCAAACAGGCAGTTATACCGGACGATAACGATTATGCTTCATACTTTCAAATTACTGCAGATTTGTATGAGCAACAACTAAGAGTACTACTGGAAGAGAACGTCACAGCGCAAGAACCACGACCGTTCAGGCTACTTAAGAAGATATATCAAACATGCATGAATACAACTGCTATTGAACTAGATGGATTGACGACTCTAAAATCAATTTTAGAAGAACTAGGCGGATGGCCGGTAGTAAAAGGACGAAGGTGGAATAAAAGAAAATTTGAATGGAAACGGACCGTTTACAAGTTTCGTAATTTCGGTTACGATACTAATTATTTCATTGCCATTAAAATTATGGAAGACGTGAAGAATTCTTCACAGCATATGCTCTATGTAAGTAGGTATAATATTGTAACCCTCACTTATTCAACTGTTCCTTAGATAGGGCCACCAGTGATATTTCGTTCAAACGCAAGTGACAACATCAAATACCTTAATGCAATGGTGGACGTTGCCACTGATTTAGGAGCTAAAAGAAGGGTGGCCAAAAGAGAGCTTAATGAATCATTAAACTTCGAGCTCAAATTAAGTACGGTAATGTGTAGAGCGATACAGTGTTAAATGCATCGGTTTAATTTTAACTACCTATACGTTTAGATCGCACGCCCATTTCAAGAACACGCAAACTTTACCTTAATGTACCATCGCATATCTGTATCAGAACTACAACAAAAAGTTCCTAATATTCCTTGGTTGGAGTATTTGAATTCAGTATTAAACGTACCCACAATTACCATTAAAGCATCTGATGTAATCATAGCAGCACCCCCTATCTATTTCTCAGAGTTAGAGAAATTGCTCCTCAATACACCAAAAAGGTTGAATACACATATCACCTATGAAACAAAATTGAAGCTTTAGATTTTAGAGTACAGGCAAACTATCTTATGTGGAAAACTGTCGCATCATCGGTACCTTGTCTTACAGAGAAGTTGCTGCACAGTTTAACGCAGAACATGTATTCAATTGTTGGTTGGAAGAAATGCGTCAGTTTAACGTTAGACAGGTTAGTAGCGACATTTAAACGTATATAACCCTGACGTCATTACAAACAGTATGCCAATTGCCACCGGGGCTTTGTATGTTCGGAAACATTTCAACGAAGATGCCAAGAAAGACGCTATGGAAATGGTTTCTGACATCAGAAAGGTATTTTTAAACATAGTAAAAAGGGCCGACTGGATGGATGTCGATACCAAAAAATATGCTTTAGAAAAAGCCGAAGCTATGTCGTCTTACATTGCGTATCCAGACGAATTTCTCTCAGATGAAACATTGGAAGACTTTTATAAGGAGGTTGACATTAGAGTGCGCGTATGATTTTATGAATTAGTTTTTAGTTGCATTTGGCATCCGACAACTTCCTAAAAATCAGACTGAGCACTAAACGCTTTGATTATGAGAGTGTAGCCAAACGTTTAGTACTGCCAGTGAACCAAACCGATTGGGTTAAATCCGGAAAACTCGCTAACGTTAATGCATACTACAATGTACTATCGAATAGAATAAGTAAGTTAAACTGCTTGCTGTAATGCACGTTGAAGTATTATTAAATTTACAGTACTGCCTGCCCCAATATTGCAAGGCGTCTTTTTCGGTGATGATAGACCATGGTATATGAACTATGGGGGAATAGGTTTCCTGATCTCTCACGAAATTGTTCATGGATTCGACAATAAAGGCCGACAATTTGACAAATTTGGAAATTTGGAAGATTGGTGGACACCTTCCACAAACGAAAAGTTTATAACAAAGGCCCAGTGCATAATTGATCAGTACGGAAACCAGTCCATACCCGAATTGGGACTAAGTGTATGTTGACAGAAAAGCTGCATTTTTCTAGTATTTTTAACTTTCTAGATAAATGGGTTTAGGACGCAAGCAGAAAATATAGCAGATAACGGCGGTATAAGAAATGCATATTTAGCATACAATGAATGGATTCGACGTAATGGAAGGGAACAGCTACTTCCCGGGGTGAACTACACTGATCGCCAATTATTTTGGATTTCGGCTGCAAATGTTTGGTGTACAAAGATGGAACCGGTTTTTGCGAAGGAGCTAATCGGCATCGACACTCATTCTCCCGCCAAATTTAGAATAAATCTACCTCTTAGTAATACGGATTATTTTGCTAGAGATTTTAACTGCCGTATAGGAAGCAAAATGCACCCCCATACAAAATGCGAGGTTTGGTAATGATTCAAAGTTTTTTCAATGATGAATCTTTTCTAGAGTTTGTTTATACAATTCATTGCTCAATTAACTGTATGTATGCTTTCTTTCTTATAGTAAAAGGGCGAATAAGAAAATGTTATTAAACCATTAAAATAGATTTATGCTGCACTGGATTACTTGTGCTTTATTATCCAAGAGGATGTGGCAATATCTCAAGTCTGTCTCCCTTCACACTCAAATCCTAGCTCAAATCTATGTAAAGGTAGGTACATCTTGCTAGCTAGCTCAAATTACACCATTTAGTTTTTTTCCTTTAAAATTCTCCCTTAGGACACAACAATAAAATCCTGTAAGAAGGCTAACAGCGCCTTTTGAGTAAAACACACCCCGTTTGCAAACGGTCGGCCTAAACACAAATTAAGAGGTCTCAAAAATTACTCACATAATAATCCAATAGACTGGTCAGGCGATGTTCGCCGAAACCCATACTTTAACACAAATCTGACAGATTCTTCTCAGGACCAAAAAAACTCACTTTCAATACACCACAACTGGCTCGAAGACGACACACTTCACCTTATGGCTGCTCGGGTGGTAAGAGTTTTTTTTGTATTACACCAATTATTTCTTCATTCTTGATAACACAAACTTTTTAAACTCGAAATTCCATGTGTAAAACTTCTTGGACAACTTGTTTCCGCATTATTTAAGTAGCATGAGGACGATTACGGTACCAAGATTAGCGACACGCCCTTCTTCCTATTTAAGGGAAAACCGCCTCCTCCAATAAAATTAACATCGTTATTCCCGACGACACTCAAAATTCCTCTATCACCGCCGACCCTGATAAAACAGCTGCATCGCTTGTCTCGCACGTACCGTTGTTTGTCGAAAAACCAATTAATTCTTGTCCGATAACTACTCATATAGCTTTAAACTCACCTAAAAATTTCGATTAAATGTTCCCCAAGTTATCCGTTATCACACAAACTAAATATAATTAATTGCATTAAACAATTACCGACTAAATTTACAATAAGAAACTAACATAAAAATGATAAATCAACAATTCTGTGTATATTGTTACATACAGGCTTTCCTGACTGCTATTTTCGATATTCACGCTGAAATTACGTTAACAACACGTAGGTATTTTCACATTACAAGGTGGTTCGCTCTCATCTTCGGCATTGTGTCAGTCTAGAGAAACCACACCAACAATATTGTGAAAAATTATTATGTGGCAGCGCAGATGAAACAGAAATCTTTTTCAAATTAGTCGAAAGTGTAAGGAGTGAATGTCCAAATTTCGCACTTAAAATTCAAGCATATTTTTTATGGCAAGTGGGCAAAGAATAAACGGACTTATAACTGATTCAAGAACCTAAAATTTGAAACTGTTAATTTGGTACCTTTTAGACACAGACTTCACCTAAACAGTAAATTTTACATTTTGGACAATCATAAATTGAAATATTTTGGATGGTATCTTCTTTTTCTGAACCTTTTTTAAGCTTTTGAAAGAAATGCATATCCAAAAGAAGAAATTTTTGAATCTACATGTGTTAGGCTCTAAACTCCATAAAAATTTGTTTTAAAAATTGGAAATTCTTCAATATTAGTTATCCTGGGATGGTATAAAGCCAAACAATGTCTTTAGTTTTTCAACTTTAGAACTTGATATAGCTCTGCAGCTAATAAATTTGAAATCTATGCAAACCAAAGGTGCTAAAAAATAATGCTCTACAATTTCGATCTTCTGTCAATGAATTGAGCCATCTTGCAAATCGCTTTTCAATTAAAGATTTGCTGAAAAATTCGAAAAATCAATGAATTCAAAGACAGAACGGAACATGAAATCATCATGAAAAAAAGCACAAAGAGTACATACAGTATCATGAGACATTGGATATGACTACAACTTAATAAGATCAATATAATCCATTATAGTACCACCCCCAACATACAATTAAAGTTTCCACCCCTGCCAAATTAGTGTCCACAAAGTTTACAAAAAAGTACTCTTACAAATCATATGCATCGAAAGGGGCGAAATTGAACTCATCACCCTTAATCACAGTTGCCACCCAGTTGAGAAATTTAATTGACACGATAGGGCGTGAGCATGTAACGAAGTCCTTTGTATATTCCGATCTAGAACTTTTCTGGGACTTTTCCCGGATTAACTATCAAATGACTGCCGCGATCTTTTTCGTTGCTTCGAAGAAAACTACGTTCAGAACCGCCTGTCTCTGGAATTTTTTTTCTCTCCCTCTTAATTAATTAATAAATAAATTAATATTTCCTATCAATGCGAAGTCTGTTTTTGAGAATGAATTTGCCTTACAGGATTGCTCGCCTCAACCCCATTCACTGATGCCCTTATAGCAAACAATTTAAATGTTACTAACGATTATTGACTTATTATTTATCCCTTTACCTTATCCTTAAAACCAGAATAAGGTTATCAACCGACGTGTATTAATTACATAACAAGAACCACCCCTAACCATATCCAGAAGAAGTAGGAGAAGACGTAAATTTGTAACGTCCGTTTCACAGTCGATTTTCTAACATAACTAAACTGGAAATGTTAAAATAAGAACCTAAACATTTTAAGACACAAAACTCAATGTGTTACGTATCGAGAGATGTAAGCGAATTTAATTATCGTAATGCTGTTCTTAATCTTTCAGTAAGTTACTGATCCTATTGTTGCTTTTATTGCATTTTAGCGTGAATTTGAACTATAGAAATCCGATCCGCGATCCCCTATACTTGCCACCCTTTTTCATACTCCGTCCATCCATCATTTATGCTCTAGGTCTGGAAGTCGACGTCATTTTGAGTATGGGGTTTTTTACGACCGCACCTAACGGATGTAATCTCGACTTAACCGGAGGCTGTTATCTGTAACCATTCAACTAATTACAGTTAATTATATTTATCCAAATAATGGGAATGAAATCTCCAAATTGGGCAGTCCAGAAATGTTCCCTGGAATGTCAGGTTAAACGACGTAATCTGTTATTACGTTGATATTTCCTTTACACTGCAGGACCTTGCTGCTTTAAAGTTGGATTTCGTATACCATTAGAAAGGACTAAACTAAAACCGACTAATGAATAATTAAGGACCTAAAACTTAATAAAACTGATTCTCTCTCTCCTTCCCTAACAAGATTGCAACCGCAACCTCTCGGATACCAGGCCGCAACGCAACCACTGCACCACCGGCTTCATATTTCCAACTCCCTACACAGAAATACATATTTTCGGTGTGAAAATCTTCGTAACGAAGCGCCCATTTTAAAACGCTTCTTGATACCGGGTGTTCATCTACAGAGTGATCACTAAAACTGGTAATTTTAAGGCGGAAAACAGGTGCTTCGTTACAACACTTCCAAGGGAGGTTCGCCCCTTGGTGACTTTTGAGGCCTCTACATCGCTGTACCAACTCAAATCCAAGACGAAGTGAATGTCGGACTCTCAATGTGTTGCAATAGCTGCACAAATTTACAGATTCACATCTTGCAAAAAATGCTTACATTTCCCTTGTAAGATCGTAAAATCGTAAAAGTACACAGAAACTTAATGTCTCCCTAAAGACATGAAGAAAGTGAATTTGATAGTTGACACGTATAAAATAGCAAATTTGTAACAAAACTCAATAACAATGAGCAATGTAGGTACTCAACTTAGCACGTTTTGTATCTTAAATAAATATAAATAAATTGTGTTGAAAGTGAAACCACAACGTCTAGACGTTAATAGGACCCGCCTTTCTAACGGAATTCCGCAGCGAATATAGTTTGTAAACCACGGTGGCATTAAACATACCTAATGGAAGTTTTGATAAAGTTTTACCGAGATTTTTGTGCAGTAAGAGAAAATTTGCATGAATAGGTTATGGGTCTTGGTCTTTCACAATTCAAATTCAAACTATTGACGTCCGTAACAAATGAACCGCATAAAGCAATAACAATTATAGCTAATTGTTGGCAGTCACGAATCGCATCTCGATTATTATATAACAACCTTTTTGTATTGAAAATCTGTTCTTCGGCGCCTACATGCGCATGCAACTTCTCAATCTAACCAGAATTGCTGACACATAACTTGAGGTGTGACATCGCAAAAAAGGCAATTCATATTTTTGCAACCAAAGATCGTTTGATGTTGATAACCACCTGCTAGAAAAATATTGCAACATTTAATGGGCGAGATTATCCTGCATCGCACTTTTAGGTAGATTTCTATCTACCTATTGTAATGGTACCAGTTTATATACTCGTATCACTTCCAAGAAACAGTCTAACTGCAGGTATAGTATATTATTGTCTGATTAACAAAGTCAGTACAACAGTGATCATTTGCCAAGACCTCCACCAGAAAGTGCCTTAAGCGCCGCTGTATTGATTCTAAGAAAGGGCATGGCCCACTCCACTACCTCATCTGCACCATCTGAATTTACCTCAAATCGACCAAGTGAGCCATTTGTTTCTTCGCTAACATTCGTACTTTCTTGTCCTTGTATATCGTCGTAGATCGATCTAAAGTAGGTAGGTATCTTGCAAATGAAGTGGGTAGTTTCTGAACACTTACCGATAAGAATCGTACGAATTATTTATTACACGTGCATCTATTACTAATATTAACAAAATGAACATGAAAATAGTGCACATTTTCAGCATCGTACTACTGTTAGAATTAATGAAATAAGAATGGCGAGAAATAAACGAGAAAACAATTAAATATGTATAATTAGTTATGTTCGAGTGATTATTAAAAAAAAGCAGGCCTAATTGATAAGTGATTGTTAATCTAAGACTGATAAGATGCTAATTCAGGTCACCTTACACTACTTTTTCAACTTTTTATTTAAATATTAGCGCAAACATAGATAAGGGTAGGTATATCCCAAAAATATGGGTACCAAGTAACTCTTCCAAGTGCCATATTGAATTTTTGTCCTCTAAATTCGTTGCTGTAAAAAGAAAAACTGGGAATTTCAACAAGAAAACTGTATTACTAACAACAATTACAATTCTTCTTCTTCATGGACGCGAGGGAACTCGTATTGCTAATTTCTACTAGTCAAATTGGGGTTGATATCAGATGGTTTCTAAAAGACTGCATAGGTACTTAAACCCGCTGGTATGGTAGTGTTCCGAAGATATTTTTCTGAGTGAAATGTGAAGATTGAATGGATATTACAATGCTGACTTGGTCCAAAAAAGTGTTTTGCTTACGCACTCACATTAACTTAATTTGACTACGGTTTTATTTGGAGAAATCTCTTAGGTTGAACTTAATTGTCCTTTATATTAGAGGCACTAGCAATGAACTTTATTTTACAAACAGTATTCTTTGTTGTAATTCCACGCAACAAATGGATCAACAACTCCTTCTTCCTTGCTCTATTACGCTGCACACGTATACTGGAAGGTTTTCTAAGGAAGGCGAAAGTGCTTGCTAACACTCTATTCTGATGAACTAGCATGCATTAAGAAACTTGCCAATTCGAAATTTATACGCTCGATCCGTTTATTTAAACCAATTCAACAGTAACACTTTTAATTTTCCACGTTCACGTAAAACGGCTTCTATCCACCGTACTTTTTTCCAACTTGAAACGACAAACGCGGATTTTTCACAATTTTCTTGACCACTAGGTCGCTAATAATTTAGATCGTCTTTGACCAGGTCGACAAACGACAATCGTTTTTTTTATGGACCGTACTTTATACCAGCTAACTGCTACTCTTGGAATGCCTCAATTTTTTTTTGCTAAAATAATCCCCTCGCCAATTCCTGGTGCAACAATGTCTCTTCCCCTACACCCAATGACCCAATCTATCAATTGAACTCGTAATCACAAACTATCTCTCTATTAAAGCGGAGAATGTGTTTTATTGTGTCGCTGAAGATTGGGATTCAGATTCCGACCAGTTAAGTTATACCAAATTATGAATTTATTTAAAAAAAAAAAGGTGTAAAACGCATATAAGTGCAATGAATTAAATCAACTACGAAAGCATGCAAAAACCTTACAAAACTACCCTTTATAAGGAACTCCTATAATAAGTATAGCTTAATAGTTATTCGGGGGTAAGTACACAAGAGCTTGAATTTTAATCGGATAATTATTTTTACACGAAAGTTTTGTTGCGACGGGAAAAACTAGAGATCAAAAGCGTAATCTGGAGCGATTTTATCTTATGCTTTCGAAATGGTGTAATATGTAATATATTAATACTGATTTAAAACCAAAATCGAGGGTATTTTGGGGAGATTAATAATAATAATAATAATAATTTAATCGTTCGATCGTCATTACAATCATCGATAAGTCAAAATTAACAAACAATAATATATATAACAATTGGACAAACAAAGAGTGTATTACATCAACTATAGCCTAGAAGTATAAAAGTGTATGAACTCTTGAATCGCATAAAAAGCATTTTTCTGGAGAACAGTCTTGATGAGAGATTTAAATTGTTTAATATCACAGTTTGTCAGGTCCTGGGGTAGCAAATTATACAATTTAGAGGCCATATAATAGGGTGATTTTTTATAATACTCATAATGGTGTTTGTGAATTAATATTTTGTTTTTTCCTCGTGTGTTATAATTGTGTGTACTTCCTACTCTACGGAAACTATCTGAGTGCGAGCGCATGTACATTAATAATTTTAGGATGTATATACAGGGGAGAGGTAAAATTTTGAATTTTTTAAATGTGTCTCTACAAGTTTGTAAGTAATGCAGATTGAATATCAATCTGATTACACGTTTTTGTAAAACAAATATTCTATTTACTTCGGTACTTGCACCCCAGCACATAATGTTGTAACTTAAATGGGAATACACTACTGCGTAATACACTTCAATAATGTGTGTGGTGTCAAATTGGTTCCTAATACGAGATATTAGATAGTATGCCTTGTTTAATTTGCTACGAACGTGATCCAGATGAGAGTTCCAGGAGAGGTTATCGTCTATTTTGCATCCTAGGTACGTGGACGTTGGTTGGCATGGTATTACTGCGCTCTCCATGGGGGTGATGTATTGTCCCACTTTGACCCGAGACATATTCAAAATTATTGTCTTCTCAGTGTTCGCTGTAAGTTTGTTTGTTTGACACCAAAATGTAAATTCCGCTATAACTTGATTTAACTTTTCTGCAGCTTGGTCAGGATTATCGGCGCTCACTACTACAGCAGTGTCGTCTAGGCATGGGAATTTTTTTCGATATATCGATATGTCGATAACTATTGATATATCGATATGTCGATAACTATCGATATATCGATCGATATATCGATATGTCGATAACTATCGATATATCGATATGTCGATAACTATATCGATATGTCGATAACTATCGATATATCGATATGTCGATAACTATCGATATATCGATATCGATTGATATATCGATATGTCGATAACTATTCGATATATCGATATGTCGATAACTGTACGATAAAATTATGTTATTGTTGAGATTTCAACGAGCGCTACTATTTTTATTAATAAAATCCATTTTCGGGTTTACTCTCGTGTAAATTTACTATTTTTAGTTGCTCGACGTTTCGGAAACTTAACTTTGCTCCCTTTCTCAAGAGAAGCGCTACGTCACATCATCATCCATGCCAAATAAACGCAGTAATAAAATCTTTAGAAAATAGATCTTTTCGTCTTACTGACGATTGCTCAAAAAAAGAAGCACTTCAAAAACTTGAACAAAATGTTGCATCAAAATGGCTACTCTTTAGATAAAATAAAGAAGACAATCAAAGGGTGTAATCATGGCCTATGTATCGGTACCTGATTGATGGTTACAGAGGACCAGTCACAAAAAAACAGAAAAAGCTAAGAACAGTTCAAATTTAGATATACAGTTTCAATTGATTGACATTTACGAAATCTAACAAAAAACTCTTGATAAAGGTAGCAAAGAAACGTCGAGTAACTATTAATAGTCACTTTACACGAGAATAAACCGGAAAATGGATTTTATTAATAAAACTCGATAAGATAACTATCCCTGTCGATAACTATCGATACGTCGAATATTTCTCTCGAATGAGGCGTGCAATTACCGCTTAATTACAGCGGTAATTGCATTGTAGAAAGCTAAAGAGCCCTGCGATAATTGCACATTTAATATGGTAACTCCATTAAAGTTGCAAGAACTGCATTGGGTTATTTTCATATTTTGTTAAAAGAGCCCTCTTGTCTTGTCGGGCTCTTTCGCCAAAATATAAAAGTAAACTCATGCAGTTTTTAGACACGCTTTCAAAAAAATTATCGGTAATATTATATCGATACCTATATATTAAAAACTATCGCCATAACGAGAACTATCGATATACCGAACTTATCGATATAGCGACAGTTATCGATCTTTCGATAGTTATCGGTGTATCGATAACCATCGATATTTCGATAATTATCGGCATATCGATAAGTAAAATATATCGATAGGTAAGTACCCGATACTTATATCGATAGGTGAAAACAGTTATCGCCCATCCCTAGCGATAACTATCGACATATCGATATATCGATCACTATCGACATATCGATATATCGATACCTATCGATAGTATTCATATATCGATAACTATCGATATATCGATAACTATTGATATCGATATATCGATAACTATCGAAATATCGATAACTATCGATATATCGATAACTATCGACATATCGATAACTATCGATATTTCGATATATCGATAGGTATCGATATATCGATAACCATCGATATTTCGATAATTATCGGCATATCGATAAGTAAAATATATCGATAGGTAAGTACCCGATACTTATCGATAGGTGAAAACAGTTATCGCCCATCCCTAGTGTCGTCAGCATACATGTAGGTTTTTCCGTGCAGTATATGTCGTGGCAGGTCGTTAATGTATAGTACGAACAAGATGGGGCCTAAGTTGCTGCCTTGGGGCGTTCCTAAATTCAACGTATATTCGAATGAAGACGTATTATCATAATTCACGATGTACTTTCGGTTAGCCAAGAATGACAAGATGAAATCCTGGCATTCATTGCGAATACCTGCATCCTCAAGTTTCCTTGATAAAATACCTACATCTAAACTGTCAAAAGCTTTTCTGATGTCAAATAACACAACAAAGCAATGTTTATTTGAATCGAGTTCCTCATATATATGCTGCACTAAGTGCGTTGTGGCGTCTTCTGTGGATAACCCAGCGCGGAAACCGTACTGACTGTCGGAAAGAATGTTGAATTTTTGCAAAAACGTTGTTAGTCTCTCGTTAACACATTTCTCAAAAATTTTCGAAAAGGAACTTAATAAGGATATCGGTCTGTAATTGGAGACAACTGCTGTGTCACCTTTTTTATGCACAGGCACTACGCGCGCACTTTTTAATTTTTGATTAATAAAAGACCATAAATTTCACAACCACCATATACAGGATTATCATAAAATAAGGGATATATTTTAAATTATTATAACTTTTTAACAAACTAAGTTAATAACAAAAAATTAGGAAACTATTATTGGGTGGTTAAGATGGGGGAAGTCCTAGTCCACCTAACCACCCAATAATAGTACCTAGTGCTCTATACGAAACAATATCGTTGTTATTTTAATTGTTGATACGAGTGTCAAAACGAAATCATTGAATTTGGAGTTTTAGTTTGAAATTAAAACTCAAGTAAATGTAGAGTTCAGATGAAAGCGTACATACCGCAATTTGATACAAAAATGTGAAAGAACAGGGTCCGTAATTGACCTACCAAGATCAGGAAGACCAAGAATGTGATGTCCAAGTTGCAGAAGTTCTTCATGAAAATGTTACGGAATGCTGTGTACAATTTGAAGGGAAGATTGGTAATCTTACAACAGCAAAATGGAGGTCATATTGAGCAATTGCCGTATGGTTTTGGGCATACTAAGTCCCATTTCTTAAGCAATTAGATTTCATTTATTTTTTGTTATTAACTTAATTGGTTAAAAAGTGATAATAATTTTAAAATCACTTATTTTATGATAACCCTGTATTTTACGCATTCTACACGCATTTTAAAGCAGATAAAAAGCTACCTATTTCAATCGCTGATAAAAGCTACTTAGCTTTTAATCACTTAAAAAATCATCTGATTGGTTAGAATTTGAAACAATCGCCAAGCTGATTGGTCGTATATTAATGTAGTGTATTAATCCTTTATAATTACTTTACTAAAAGGCTACAAAAGTTCATTATAAACAACGCTAACTTCTGCGAAGAGAATCACGCAATAAATAACACTTCTGCAGAAATTACAGATTCTGAGACTCAAGGGACGAATCTACCCTTCAAATATAGGGGTAAAATTATATCTTCTGCAATTATGTTTGTAATAATCTGGAACAAGTTTAATAAAATCATGCAAATAATAAAAAAACACCCCTGTCAAGACTCCAGAAATAGGGTTAAAATTATATCTTCTACAATTATGTTCGTAACAGGCTAGAATAACTCATATGAAATCATGCAGAATATAAGAAACACCACTTAATTTGAAAAATTCCAATAATAAGTCAATCCAGTACGAAGACAAAGACCCCACCCCTACTTTCATGAGGCAACTCGTCCGTCCTTTCGTCGCCCCCTATTCCGCAGTGCGCTGGAATTATAATTAAGCTGATCCTAATAGAAGACTCGTCCAATGTATCTGGAGATCGCCTCCGTAGCCGATTGGGACAGGGCCCTCAGCGCCATCTGACTGTTACCGCATATGTTTACAGGGTGCCCGTTTTTCGGATGTCTTCAAAGGTTGCCGAGATTTTTGAAAAATTTTTAATTTGCGATTTTCCCTTTTTTTCAAAAACGACAAAAACTGGACGTTTTAAACTAAAACATTATTGACGCACTTTTTTATAAGGAATCCTATTCTAATATGTTATCGAAAAATTCAAGACACTCTAGACTTGGAAGTTACATTAAATAACTTTTTATTTCTTAGGCAGCCATATTGGATTTTACCATTTTTTAATGAAGCTCGTTTTTCTGATTAGAATGATGTTGAAAAACCGTTTTTGAGAAAAGTGCTTTAGAAAGAACATGCATTTTTTTGTTTAAAACACATATTTTGATGAAGTTCAAAAATTATTTATTTTTTAAAAATTTATTGTTTCTTGAAAAAATTCTTTAATGAAGAAGAAAGGAAAAAAACCCGCTCAAAACTATTTTCTTACGAACACAATTTCAGACCACATTTTGATTTTGATTAAATGCACACTATTTCAAATTAAAAAGTTAATTCCAATAATAATAGATAAAACCAAAGTATAAATGTATAATAAACATGAACCCAAAGAAGAAACTTTACAAGAGATCCTCAAAGGCTTCACCATCTAAAAAATAAATATAATAAAAATAATTTTGAGCAGACCTTTCAGGATACCGCTCTATGCATGTTTGTGCAGTAATATGGGCATTTCGGTGTGAAGCGTAATAGATTTCTAACATATCTCGTCTTTCTCCATTTGAAAACGGCATTTTATCGAGAAACATATAATAAATAGACGAGAAAAAGCAACAACTATTGAAATTTTAACGAACTGTCAAGTATGTGTTTTTGTTAAACAAAAGAGTGCATGTTCTTTCCAAAGCACTTAAGCAAACATGGTTTTTCCATATTTTGAGTTGAAACATGATACATCATTGTAACCAGAAAAAAGAGCTTTATTCAAAAATGCTAAAATCCAATATGGCTGCCATTAGAAATAAAAAAGTGATCTACTGTAACTTCCAAGTCTAGAAATCTAGAATCCCTTGAACTTTTCGATAACATATTTGGATTCATCACCAAAGGTCCTTTAATAATGTTTTCGAAATAAAAGGGAAAATCGAAAATTAAAAAATTCGTTTTTTTCCAAAAATATTGGCAACCTCTGAAGATATCTGAATTTTTGTAAAGGCCAAAATAGGGAAATTTTCCCGAATTTAAACTACGATTGCACCTCTTCAAATAAAAACGGGCACCCTGTATATGTTTATTACGATAACCTCTACCGAGATTCTCCTGTGCACAGTTGCTATGCAAGGGGGAAACTTGAGGTGAGCTTTCGGTCGATCACACCGTATCCAATGTATTCCAGGCGTTCAACGTACTACTTCAACCTCGAGCTAACTGCATCCCTCCCACATCCGCCCGTTCCAAGGGCTGTCTCGATCCATCGACTCGTCCCAATCGTTTAGCCGTCCCGCGTTGGTCCAAGAAGTGCCTCCATGGCCAACGTTGACCTGGTTTTCATGACTCCAGTGACTTCCAGACAGGTGACTCTCTGTACATTAGCCAGCTGCTTCCTGTAGGTATCACTGCAGTAGTCGAGGATTCAAGTCCCATGTACAGCCAAAAGCCCTTCTACAGTCCCAGCCTGTTACAAATATAATTGAAGAAGTTAAATTTTACCCCTATCTTTGGAGGGCAGATTCGTCCCTTTTATCTGAAATATCTGTCTTGGCAGAAGTTTTTCTTATATTATTTATTGTGTGATTCTATAAAAGTTTTTCCATCCTTTTATGCTAGATTAATTGCAAAAGTCATAATTCTACCCTATCGTTGAAGGGTAGGTCGTGATGTGTATAATTAATGAGTTTTTGTGGCCTGTTACTAATTTAATTATAAAGGAATAACTATTAACCTATACCTATTATAGTAGTTACTAATAAGGGGTAGTTTGATAATGTTTGTTATTTTGTAAGGTTTTTTGGCATGCTTTCGTAGTTAATTTATATTGTGTTCATTGCGCTTATATGCGTTTTAATTTGGTATAACTTAGCTGATGACCTGTAGTATTTGCAAATCCGAATCCGAATCCCAAGCTCACTTCAGCGACTAATTTGGTAGATTTTGTTTTGATACACTATGACTAGCAAAAACATTAATTGACATTTGAAACCGGATTTTTAAAACTGCGTGCAATTAATACAAAATAGTAACAAAATTTGAAATCAACAATATTAATAGGCCAAGCACCTCTTCTACAAAACACCAAATATTTACAAGCGATTAAAATACAATGACCTGTTTTACTAGTATGCCATTGAATCGAAGATGGTGTGCCTACTGCCTACTGCCTACCTACTGCCTATCCTTAAATCTAACTTATTGAATTGAAGGACTTCAACTCAATCGACTTCCGAAATCAGTTCTCCCGATTTTATCTTTAAGAGACCAGTTCGTACGACGTAACTTAAGTTGATTAGTGAAAGTGTTGATCTTCATAAGTACCTAATAAGAAGAATTCGTTAACAATCGTGAAGGACTTGTATTACATAATGCTAAATCTTTGCAGTCTCATCATGCCGAGTATCTAATAAAAATACAACTAACACAGTTACTTTTCGTTATTACACCAAGACGCGGTGCAATGCGTGTAATCGCCTACCTATTCGTAGCGTTCATAAGCTTCGCGTTTTGCCAGGATTCCAAGGATGCCAAAATTTTGGAATACAAGAATGAAAACGCCGACCCGAGCAAGTATTATTTCAGGTAGGCTAGCAGATTTTCTTTATGCGTATAATTTCACCAATCTGTTTTCTTGAAGATTTGAAACTAGCAACGGAATTTTTCGAGAGGAGTCTGGGCAGTTGGTCGTCTCAGAATCCAATCAAGAGATTATGGTCGTGCATGGCAAGTATTCGTACGAAGGGCCCGATAACCAACGCTACATTGTGAAGTACGTTGCGGATGATAAGGGTTACAGAATTGAAAGAATCCAAAAGGTCGGCATCGAGCAATCTAACAACCCTCTTGTTAATCGAATCAGTAAAAATGCGATTATAAGCTTACAGGGGGGCCTTGGCTAAAATTGAAAACAATAAACACTGATTTTGAATTTGATAGTAGTTGTTAATCCTTGGGGTTTTATCCTTAGATCATAGTGTGACCCATATAAATTGTTTGTGCGGCATATTTTTTCGGTAGGTGAATTAAATAATCGCTCTCACGACCTCGTCTTTTAAACTCTCTACAATATACCCACTATTAGTCCGTGCATTAGCAAATAATTAGCGTGCAAAAACACAGTGATTACCGCACGCCGTGTTTGAAAAGTGATCAAAATTCAGTTAGGGCTTTTCCTCCTCAGATACCTTGGATGGCCGAAAAACTACGAAATGTTGGCACTGTTTGCAGTTTTTAGGCTATAACTTGAAAGCAATGAAATACTGAAAAATAGATGAGACCTTAATGCTATGAAGGTGTTACCGGCAGTTTTATCAAAATTTTATTTGTGACACCTTCTGGTTGTCGGACAGGTGAAACGATCCACTAGGCACCATTTTCAAAGTCAGCAATTTTTGTAAACACACCGAAAACGGCCTCAGAACTTGTAAAATATATCCGCAAATGCGTCAGCGAAGTGTTGAAAGCAAAATAACAAGAGAAAACTTCACTAAACGTATACAGCACCAATAGAAATTCCAAAAAGACTGACAACAATTTTCGAGTGTAACTGTAATAGCGTCTATATTCTTCTGCAAGTAATGATCGAATCTCGTCTTTGTAAAAAGAAGTGCGTACGCTGAAAGAAATAAAGAGAACTCTGCATGACTTCGGACGGAAAAACAAAGAACATCGTAAAACAAATCTATACTAAGGTAATAACAAATTTACTACAGAAATAATTTACATCTAAAATTATCGGATTACAAAGAAGACACCTAGATGGCATAAGGACTTAAATAAGAGCACAAGAATACTAAATTTGCTGTACTTAGCAACATATATGACATTACCAACTTACAGAGGTGCGCAACCGCAGAGGTGGGAGAACTAAATTTTAAATATTAATAAATGCATTTAATTTGTAAATACTTTTTAAACAATAGCGGTTTCCGCTTCTACTTTGAATTAATGAACACCCGGTACTTTGACGAACTCTAACGGGCTCTTCCTTACTAGAAATTGTAGTTCCGGACCTATGTATTTCTTTTCTAGACGGTAAAGATACTGACTAATTTGTAGCGCCGTTTTAGCCACCGATAAGGAAATCAAGATACTGCAACTAATTTGCAGTTTATAGCCGTTCCCGATTAGAAGAGGCGGGAGAATTAATACTGTATGATTAATTAATGAATTGGCCGATTTTAGTTTAGCCTAATGGTAATTTAAACCTAGGATAGTAAGCTCTCACTTGCACGCATATCGTTATAACTGAACTACCGAATTTCGAAATGAGTATAACCATAGATGTTGCGGCAAAGATATCAAAATGGGCTGTGTTTGCTATTGTTGGAAGCGCGCTCAAATACCATTGATTTTAAGACTGGTCCCAGATTTCTAGTAGGATGACAGGAGCTCGAGTAATGAATTAAAGAAGTGTTAATTTTTGAACGATATGTTCCCTTTCCGCACCGAGGCACGTGGCGCAGTGGATGCGCTCACCGATGCTATTCGGGAGGTTGTGGGTTCGAATCCCGCTGCCGACTGCTCTGTCTGAGGTTTTGTCAGGGGGTTTTCCTCAGACATACGTAGCTTCGCATAATGCTAGCATTATGTTGAAATCTACGAGGCGAATGCTGGAGCAGTACTCTCCCCCTCAGCACCCTAACTCCATTCCTTCCGTTCCCATCCCTAACTTAACCCATCCTTACAATCCCGTTCTCTGGCTGAAGAGGGCCAGGAAGCCCTGAGCAGCCCGCCTCCGGTATCCCTGTAGTCAGGAGTGCCGGAGGAATGAAACACGTTGGCCTTTTTCCTTTTTTTCCTTCCCTTTCCGCATTTTTATAAAAGAGGTGGCCGATAATTAGGGGGGGGGGTCTCTTTTTCTTTGGTATTTTTGATGGTAGAACGTTAACGTTTGAAAGTTTTTTAATTTCGAACCGCACCAATTTAAATTAAAAAAGTTTTTAACTTCAAATCAACAATACGGACTGGATGTTTTAAATTTTGATCGCCCTATTTTAAAACTAATTTTAATAACTTCAAACTTTAAAAAGTTAGTTTTTTCAAATAAAACATGTTTTCCCAATTTTCACCGATTTTACGTTAATTTAAAATTTCAGTTCAAATACTCAAACACAACCGATAAATTATACAATTGAAAGTATTTAATTATAACTTACAAGTCTCACCCCTCGACTGCCGTCCATATTGACGAGGCGTTCTCCAAAAAAATTGGGAGATTGCACAGCTTTTCTGGATGGTACAGCCAAACTTTATGGGTGACCCTCGCACGATATTGACTCTCGCTGTAACGGATACGCAATGTGTATTTACCTCGACCACATCAAACTGCTCAAATTTCTCGGTAACATACTCGAGATATATTAGTACTGTTTAGGCACAGAAATAAAAAGCCAATTTCCATCTGTAATGAATATTAATTTCACACGTTTATTAGTTGGGTTTTGTTGCGAGTAATTGCACCAATCACCAATTAATTGTAGTTAGAATGTTACCCTGCCGTTGATAACAGAGATCCTTGTGTGTAAATGCGTCACATCCAAAAACATTCACAGCCTACAGTTTACCTATCTGAAATCCGAAATACCTATACATACTTTCGTTCACGTTTACCATGAAGCGGTATATGTGTAAATTTTCTCTATTTTGAACGATATCCAAAATTTAAAAAAATTTCAAAACTGCAAAGTTGCCACCCGTTACAGCATGCAAGCCTCAAACACCAAGCCCTTTGTAATTTCTTAAAAGCAAAAGAAACATTCTGTTAACGTTGCACAATTAAATATGATTCAATATTTAGTAAGTACCTAATATTAAATTGAATGAGTTTATAGTGGTGAATAGTGTGTTTGTAATTGTGTGTTATATTTGTATATGCGAATAATTAATATGATACCTGCAGAAGCTATGAGTTTTGATAATAATTAACACTTTGTGACCATTATGGTCCTGGTCATGGCGAATGTGCAACATTCAACAATCAGTTTCATTGGATTCATCTTACTGTCTGTCAGCGCAGTATTCAGAATATTTACCCACCTCTGAACGCTAAACAAAATTTTAAGCCTACGAATGGTAGGTATCACTCAAATGAAATGTAAATTCCCAGCTAATGAACAAAATTAACCGCAATGTCCTTTGCCTGGATTCGATTATTATCAATAAAATGCGATACAAATCGGTTTTATGCAATTGTTTTTCACAGGTCGGTTCTTTTAGGCTTTTTATTACGTTAAACAATACAAATTCCTAAAAATAATCGGTCAATACTTACGTTAAATTGTTTACAGCCACCAGATAAAATTTCACAAACTAGTTGTACGCATTTGCTCTAGATGTCAAACTGAGAATCTGCCGAGCACGAGTGCAGGTCTACGAATTAATTCTCACGCGCCAAACTTGTACGTGCTCGCTCTCGAAGCCAAAGTGAGAATGCCGGCTCTTTCATTTCGTTGGCTTTTTATATTTTGCCCGCTAGAAAAACGGAAACGTCACACTCATCCGGTTCTCTGATTTTATCCATACGCTTTATAGCCCCCTAACTCTCCGACGCCGCGGTTATTAAAACTGAAAACACGCTCGAGCTAGCGCTTATCTACTAAGCACAGCCTGAGTTTTTTTTTCGAAATGCGCGTCGGTATCGCCAGACATAGTTTCGTACACGTTTACTACGAAGCGGTATATATATAAATTTTTATATGTTGAACAAAATCGGAAAAGTAATTTTTAAAACTGCAAAGCGGCCACCCGTTACACGATCTTAATGCATCAAAAGCGAACAGATTTTTTGATGCCAATGTATAGCACTTTTCGAATATGAACAAAATTTACGTCAATAAAAATGTTTTAGTGAGTTTAGGTGCATCATAATTAAATGAAAGGTCACCTTTACGCTTATTAGTTTAGTCTCTCCAAGTGAAGGATAATTACCGTTGGGCCTATCATTTACCATTGGTCACCCAGTTGACTATTTTTTGTTCCTGAATCTCAAAAAAAAACAGGAAGGGGGACAAAATTTAGGAACAGTAACGAACTTATAGCAGCTGGTGAGGGCCATTTTGTGGGAAAACCAAATGAATATTTGTATACTGGATTAAAGATGTTATTAAAATGGTGTATACCTGTATTCAACTCAAAAACAGGGGAACTATATTGAAAAATAAAACTTTGTTGTTGCTCTAGTCTTTTGTTTTCATGCCTACTCCAGGAATATAAAAATGACTCCTCGTAATTTGTTGTTGCTTCTTAACATATCAACTAACACTCGCAAGAAATCAACTACCTATACTTTATAATAATTTCTTTATTCACCAAATTAACTTTTGAACATAATCATAATCCGACCAATATATATCTTTCGTGAAGAATACATAAAATGTTGCAAGATTTATTGTGCAAAAAGTACAAAACTCCAACAGTAGATTCGACCATTTCACATTCTCTAAATGTAACCTGAATAAAACATACGGAATTAAAAAATATCTGACCTCAATCATTTTTTGAAATACTAAAACTGTAGTGGTACAGAGTAAAAACATGAATGTTAATATTATCTTGCGATTAGCATTCAAATTTGAAAGTAATCCGTACAATCCAAAGTAATATACTAGGACCATTAAATAACGAAATAGTTTATATTTGGCGTAAAACCTGTTCCAAATGTAAAAAGTGTAGTGACGATTGTCTGCCAACAAATAGTCATGTTCCAATGTGTTTACGTAAACTATTATTGCAAATATAGTTAATACAAGAACAGAAAAAATGAACCTGTTCCGAATGTAAGAGAAAAAGTGAGATAATTCTCTCACAAAATATGGCCAACCAAAGATCAAACAAAATACAAGAAAGTAAAATAGTTGAGGTACATGTAGAGAAGCAGTGTGCGCAGATTTATCACCAACAACAATACTACCATTCATAAATATAAAAAGTACAAAAGCAGCGAGCACAAGGATGTAAGTTGCAATATTGGTCCAAAATTGATGTGATTTTGAAAAAAGATTTCTCAGGATGTTTTGAACCTTTAAATGCCGCTGTAAGGGTGCCAAATCCTAAAACAGATGAAAATAATATTGGCAAAACAAATACTATAATCAAACGTACACTTATACAAATATCTGAATGCTTTTTCTTTAAATGTACAAGGAATTGCTTTAAAGCATATTGTCCCAGTAGAAATACCACCCATACTATATTTGTTTGTCTCATCATAACCGACAAGGCACCTACAATGCATCATGTAAATATTAAAATACGAATTGTGAACAGTGTGAATATTCGCTAAATTCTTATTGGGTGCAGGTTTTAAAAAAATTATTACCATAAAGTGATGCCATGATGTGGTTATTCTTCTTCTGAGCAATACTTGCCAACAAAATGAACGTAATTGAAAGAACATCAGTATAATAAACATGCGAGAAGAAGTACAATGGTGGTAAAATCGCTATGTTAATACTCGACATCAAATTAGACCAAGAATGCTGTAACATTTAAATGAGTATCCACAACTGTTACTGTTTTCAATGTGTACCTTTGGATTCTGTAGCGTGAGATACTTGCGAAACAGTATAAGATTTAAAAATGAACCCAGTAAATTTGTAAATCGTAGTCCATACACTGAACATAATTGTAATGGTCCTAATATAGCAGCGGAAATTAAGTACAATCCTGGTAAAGTTGTTATTTTAGGATTCCACTGAAAAGTGACGTGTTAATACAATATGGGAAACACAAGGGAGAGTTTACGGTATTAAAGGTGAAATTGCAATATAAAAGGCCCTGTTGAAGATGAAACTCTTCGTCGATTATCAGCTGGCTTGCACGAAACACATTATCAAAGATGTGTTTCGAAAAAACAACAAATGCGGCGAGGCTTATGTAGAAGACCGCATTCGAAGAGAGATTTCTTGACAACATACTGATGGGGACGTTGCTGTTAGTCGGGGTTTATGAGAGTTGATAACATTTTTAGTTTCAGAAAATTATTGAGGTTACAAACAATATAACCTCAACCTCAACAAATTAAAAAACGGAATTTTTACCAAAGAATAGAATAATTATAGTTCTGTGTTTATACTACAGGGTGTTTCATACATACGATGTAATGGAACAATGTCCGACTCTGCAATACCAATTTAAATCAAAGAATGGTGGCTAATGGTAGTATAACTACAAATTACCTTCACGCGATACAACCCATTTTTACTCACGAGGATATGGCAACCGTGGGATGTCCGGCATAACAGGTCCTCTACCCTCTACCTAAGTGAGTCTTTGAAGGACGGATGATCGAGTAGAGGGCTGGACACGCTTCCAGGGAGTTGTGTACCTAGTTAGTTAAGGTGCGAAGGTTAAGAAGAAAGAAACGTGGGTGATGCACATATTATTTTTGCAGGGGAGGAATGGGGTGGGGTTTATTGCAAATAAAAGAATAAAGGCTTATATAAGAAAAAGTACGATTGTAATCAGGGACGTTAAAATGCGTCCTTGGTTGTGATAGCAGTAAAGATCGAAGCTAGCCATTCCGGTATATATGCCGATTAGTAGTTGGTGAAATATTCATGAAATCATTACGGAAGGATTCAAGGATTACCGTCACATTTTAAAGGGCGATTGCAATCAGGGGCTGGAACCGCGGAAATGAAAAGAACCGGAACCAATTGCATTTATAAGCCTCTCACTTAGAACTGGGACCATTTTATATTGTTGCTCTTAAAATTTGGTTGCCAGAAATGAAACGAACACACAACTTGTGAAAGACTACAAAATATGTTTACTTATGCAAAATAATAATGTACTTTTTGTATTATTTTTTCCTATAACATATTATTTAGTTATTTATGTTGGAACCTTTAAAAACTTAAAGAAAAAGCTGGACGTAAACCGAAAATTACTGGAAACGCAGAACAATGGGCCTTGGTTACGGGAGTTCCCAGCCTAGAGTTGAGAACAGTTCAGATTATGAGATTATTCTTACCCTTTGATTATATACCTCAAAGTTCTTACCGATTGCTGTAAAATAGGCATTAATGCTTCCTGTAGGTCGTATACTCTGCAGTAGATCAAATGTTTTGAAAATTCAATGGCTTCTTGGAGGGTTATTTGAATGACCTATTATTCTCTTTATGTTAGGAAATTGAGAAACAACTTGAAGAGTTCTGTTATCAGTTACGAGATTGTATTTAGTTCAATAAATAATCTAAATGAAAGTGAACGTTTAGTACGCGATAAGAGTTGCTATTTTTACTTTTAGCCGGTCATTTTTTTCCATGACCTCTACATCTGTTAATTTCACCTTGGGGACTCGCCAAATTATTCACGTAACAAATTTTATTGCCAATATCTGCATTTGTTGCATTTTAAAATAAGTTCAATCGTTAAATAACATTCTAATCTAATTCCAACATTTGTGATAATAAAAAATGTCATTTAAATCGATAAGTTTGTGCAAAAATGCTGTGGATATCATTTCCAAAAGGCCCAGGTAAGGTGGTGGCGACCGAAGGGGGGTGGATAATTCAGATTCGATTTAAGCTCTTGGTGGTCTCACGTTGCCATGGGTCCTCCGGATGCGATTTTGGGAGTAACAGAGGCATTTAAGAAAGACAACAACCCTAAAAAAATTAATTTAGGCGTGGGTGCGTATCGTGACGACAACGGTAAACCCTACGTCTTACCTTCGATTCTGAAAGCCGAAGACAAACTGAGAGCTAAAAATTTAGATAAAGAGTATCTCCCGATTTCGGGCCAAGCGGATTTTTGCAAACTTAGCATACAGTTGGCCTTGGGCGACGATAGCGAGCACGTAGCGAATGGCTTGAACGTGACGACACAAGGAATTTCGGGAACAGGATCGCTTCGTATTGGTGCTGCATTTATAAACGCGTTCTTTCCTGGTCCTAAAGTAGTCTACTTACCTACACCGTCCTGGGGTAATCACACCCCCATTTTTAAGCATTCCGGTGTTGATGTTAAAAGCTATGCCTTCTTCGATCCGAAAACCTGTGGATTTGATTTTCAGGGAACATTAAATGATATTAATGTAAGTGATAGCATTTTATGAATGGCCCCGTAAGGATTTTTTTGTACTTAAACTTCGAAGTCTGAGTATAAACTCGAAATTCCAGAGGTTTTTGAATTGCCCCCTTCCAAGATAAGACACACTGTTCATCAGTAGGGAAAAAGTAAGTTTCCATTAAAAAAATAAGTTTCCACATTTTCAAAAAAGAGAATTTTAACATGATTTCTTGAGCACCATGTATGTTCTTACATATTAGTAGGTCTTATTTATATTGGAGCAAAGTTGTTCAGTTAAGTCACATTTGAGCTCTTTAATTCTTGAAATAATTGACAAAAAGAAATTTGAAAATGAAACACGTCAAATTTCTTTTTAAAATTTCAAAAACCAAATTTGGATTCCTTATTTACATGTTCAAAACTCACCAAATACCAAATTTCTTCGAAATCAAAAGAGTTTCCTGACTAGTATTCAATACTCCACGAGCTCCTGATGTTACTTTTATGGCTCCTCTCGAAAAATTCTGGATCAGGTCATATATGTAGTACCTATACGTTTTGGAAATTAATGTAGAACAGGGGGCCTGGAAAATCCCTCAGCTCGCCCCTCAAAATAGAATGAATTAGTGCTTCTTTCCCTACAACTGTTATGTTTTGGGGTTGAATGTAGAAATGGGAGTCTGGGGAGTATAAGGCAGATCAATTAGTGCTTCTTCTCTTACCACTATCACAAAATCTTCGTGCTTGGAGGGTATTGGAATACCCCCCAGACCCCCAGCACTACGTTCTCCCACAAAACATTCAGCCTTAAGGACTATTGTGGTACTTTTGCATTCATTTCCTGACTCCATGAGATTCTGATATACTTTTATGGTCCCTTTTCAAAAATTCTGGATTATGTCGTATGTGCAGTATACATTTTGGGAATGAATGTAGAACCGGGGGCCTGGGATACCCCCAGGATAGAACGAGTTAGCGCTTCTTTCCCTACAACTCAAGATCTTGGTTCATTGTTTGTATGTTCAAAACCCACCAGATACCCAACTTCTTTGAAATCAGAATATTTTCATACCCGTTTAAAAGAGCGCCTTCTTGGGAGAGATAATACAGCAGAAAGGCAAATTGTATGACTTTTGAATTCACTTCTTTCAAAATTTGAAAAATGAAGCAATTTGTGAAGGAGAAAGAGACATAAAGAATGCAGACTCAGGCTACATTTTGTACAATATATTGAAAAAATTAGTTTCCGGGAAGGAAAACAGTAACTAAAAAATATAGGGAGAGAGGTCATTTAACCAAAGGTTAAAATCAGAGTACAGAAAAATCTACACAGGCCCTTCTACGCCTTCATCTACACTTTTTAGTTTTTTCATTCCAGAAAATGCCAGAGAAATCTGTTATACTTCTCCACGCGTGTGCCCACAATCCGACTGGAGTCGATCCGAACTTCGAGCAGTGGAAGGAGTTATCCGCGCTAATAAAAAAGAAGAATCTATTCCCCTTCTTCGATATGGCGTATCAAGGATTTGCTTCGGGCGATTGCACTAAAGATGCGCAAGCTGTACGTTACTTTGTAAAGGAAGGCCACTGCATAGCGTTGGCTCAAAGTTACGCGAAAAATATGGGTCTGTACGGGGAGCGAGCGGGCGCTTTCAGTATAATTACCGATAACAAAGAGGAGGCGGCTAAGGTTATGTCACAAATTAAAATTTTAATTAGACCCATGTACTCAAATCCGCCTCTGCACGGAGCGAGGCTTGTGACCGAAGTTTTAAGTGATCAAGCATTACGAAAACAATGGTAAGTCGGAAGTTGCTACAAGGTTGTCATTTTAATTGTTGATTTAACAGGTTGGGAGAAGTTAAGGGAATGGCAGATAGAATTATATCAGTACGAACGAAACTTAGAGATAATTTAAAGAAGGAGGGTTCCAGCTTGAATTGGAGTCACATTACCGACCAAATAGGAATGTTCTGTTTCACGGGAATGAAGCCAGACCAGGTGATAACGGCAGGGTGGTACGGTCATGTTGTAATTTCCAATTTCAGGTGGCTCGTATAACAAAGGACTTCAGCGTTTTCCTGACTAAGGATGGCAGAATTTCCATGGCCGGAGTCACATCGAAGAACGTCGAATACCTTGCTCATGCCATGCATGAAGTAACAAAATGAGTTTATTTATTGTAGATTGCATGTATCGATTTATTTTTCTAAGTGTCGCGATTGCACCTTAAATCATTTCAAATGTTACAGTCTTCACAAATAAATTCTTTTATTTTATAATTTAGAGTTGGTGAGCGTTCCTATTTACATATTTGGAAATTTACAATCACATCTACATAACGTAATAAATTATGTTAGAATTGAAATAAGTTAAAGTGAAATCATTTTATGCACACATTTAGCATGTATGATTATTTTACATAAATCAAATATACAGAATATTACATAAATTATACATCTCACAAAAGTCAGATTGGTGTTTTAATTATAATTCACAACAAGGTTAAAACTAATTATCACAAAATATAATGACGCTTGAGAGAACAATGCACAAAACTGAGACAATTGAGTTGAGAACTTACAGAGGGGGGGAAAGTGTCAGTTTATCGTTTCAATGTCTGCAGAGTTCTGCACATTGACCACTGGGTCACTAGTTACCGCGTATGACTGTTCACTTTCGTAGTCAGAATGAGGTGTGGCCGTTTTGGCGGTGCACTCACCATTTTCCGTGTCTGAATTGTGAATGACCACATCTTCGCCGACACTATTGTTCATTATTTCACAAATTTCGTTGTTGCTATCTGGAATTAAAGTAGATCAGTTAATAGCAGATGTAGTACAGACTTTCCCCGCTTGGTGTAAAAATGCACGGTGTATGATAGGTTGAAATTTGGGCATTCACTTGCATCAGAAGACTATTTTCATATAAACATTTATAAATCATTTATTACATTATGACTTAACAAGTTAAAAAAGTAATCGTAAACGATTTACAAAAAGCGCACATTAACACGGCTCCTTCTGTTAAAATTTTGATTTTATGAGAAGCATCTTCAGTTGAAATTTGAAAAAGTGTGCGCATGCGCAAATGTATATTTTTACAAGTGATTTCAATTTGCAAAGTTCCATTGCATTTACGTAAGCGCAGTCCCGCACTTTCCCTTAAAATTTCAGAAAAACACCGCACATAAATAAGAAAGTTGAGTCTGCGCATGCCCAATCTATTTTTTCAAAAAATTCCAACAGAGCCAATTTGATTTTTTTCTATTAATACACTTAACCGTTTCCTCAATCAAATTTCGGGTTTCTTTAAACCACAATAAACAAAAGTGTAAAACAGCGGGAAGCGAACAAATAGTTTTTTTAACAGCCTTTGTAAGAGACAGAAAAAATTCCTTCCTTCATGCAAGCCTCGACATCATAATGAACTAAATAGCAAAGTCAGTGGCGTATTTACGCGGGGGGGGGGGGATGAAGGGGATATATCCCCCCCCCAGAAGAATTGATTTATCATCATAGCTACTAGGTATTTAGGTAATACTCCACTATCCGCTCCGCCCACTTTAAAATAAAGGCAATAATATATAGGTATATATAGAGAGCAATTTTGGTTTTGGTTAAAGTCTAAAGTCACTAAAATCTAAATATTCTGTAGTATTCAGTATTCACTATTCAGTGAGTGATCAGTGTTGGCAGTCAACGATTTGGCTATTCGGCATCGATCGGCAATTCGCTACATTGATGCCCAAAATAACAAATAGGTATCAGGTACTTAGTACTGCTACTGAGGTGAGGTACCTGCGTCCTGCCTTTCACGAAATGACGAAAATAAGAATTTTAAATTTTAAAAACGGGAATTTTTTTGCTCATAACTTTTGATTGAGACGTCTAATCGAAAAAGTACGAATCGTTTTGGTTTCTACGCACCCAAATTTCTTATAGAATGTGGCCTGTAGAATCCATAATTCCAAACAGTTCCAAGATCGGACTACTAGATCAAAAGTTACAGCCCTTTGAATTTTTTGTCGAAATTGGTTTTTTTGCCCATAAATATACCTATTATTCAAAGTTTTCGTTGACTAATTAAAGCAAAAGCAATAAAGGGGCCTGTCAGCAGTAAGAAATAAAATACCGTTCTAATCTAATCTTTTTCGCCTGTACAATAATAAATAGATAAATGACTACCAGCATCAGCAACCCAATTTCTATTTCTTACCCCCCCTTCTAGTAAACACTGGGTGACTGTATGTGCCACGAACTTGTTTAATCCCCCCCCCCCAGAATACATTTCTACGTACGCCACTGAGCAAAGTAGCTCTTAAGATCAAAATCTGAAAGCAACACAAGGACCGGACGGGCGCAGAAAGTTCGCACAATAGCACATTTTTATTTTTGTGAAGATGTGCTAAGAAGCTAAGATCTTGGCTCAGCGTATGCGCAATTCATTTCCGACATACATAAATTGGCCCACAAATAAAAGTTGAATTTGCGCATGCGCAATCTGTTTTTGGGAGATGTCAAACTTTCGCCAATCGATTTCTATGAGTTCAAAGATCACTGCTATTGAATATGAAACGGATTAAAAGTCTGGTTTCTGAATGTGAGCGGAGTGGCAAAAAATTCCCCTACATATGCCATTCTTCGTATTTCGTTTTAGATTTTTTATATTTATAAATTGTTCTACGTGTTTTTAGTCTGCGTTCTTTTAAAGTTTCAGAAAAATCCGTCCACAAATTTGCGATTCACATTAACAGCGAGACCTCTGGTGGCAGCACACTGTAATTACCATTGGTGGTATAAGACCGCCATTTTGTTTATTTACAATGACCAAAAGTAATCAATATCGTAGTTTTTACGGTTGTAAAAGTAAAGACACTTGTAAAAATTTCATTGGCAATCAATGTACTTACACTTTAAAGAGCAAGGATAGTTTAAAACGTCACATTTTATCACTTTCAAGGATTGTAAATGTGATCGGGGTAATTATGCAAACAACAATAAGGATAATTTAAGAAATCGTCGTCTAACGCATATTTAAGTAATAAGTTTTCAATTGTGAACAGTGCAATATTACACAACCAATAATAGGAAAAGGATAAGTTAAAGAATCATCGTCTAACGTATGACATTTCCAAAGTTTTTAATTGTGGACAGTACAATTACACAACAAAAAATAGGAGATATATACGTCATTCTTTGACACTCCGCAGTGTAATTACGCTACCTTCTCAAACATTTAATTTGTGAACCCACCAAAGCTTTATAAGAAAATATTGAGTACTTTTTGAGAGTATCATGAAATACGGAAGCATGTTTTCCGTATATTTACCATAGACGAAATCCTAGCCTTAAGGAGTGCGCCCAGAACTAATTAGATGTGCAACATTTGGTAAATGAGGAACAATTACAAAGAAACTGACTTTATTTAGAATCCAGACACCTGGTTCTATGTGCCCGGATGCTAAGTGGACCATATTTTATCTATTGTCAAAATCAGTAAACTTCTATTTAAACCCAAAGAATTACTTCTAATTCACCAAACCAAAGTCTTTAGTAATTACCAGAAGTTGTAGGGTAATTGTTTTGTATCACTAGCTTGTTGAGTTATTAGGTTGTTTGCTTCTATAAATTTGAATTTGCAAGGCCCTATAAAACATTGCGTAATGTTCGTAAAATAAGTTGAGGAAGTGACCGTACTACTTAGGGGTGGTTTTTATTTGCTATAGATGTCACATACATAATGCTTTCTCATATACGTAGAAGTTTCATTTAGAATGTCGCTTCAATTATGTTTATAGGAAGGGCGAGCTTCCTTTAGCTTGACTAATTTTTTTTCCTGTTTTGAGTTCAGGGGTTAGATTGACTAATTGTTAGAGAAAGGATAAAGATTAGTACTAGTAATGGAGCCCAATAAGGGATTATGGGATTTACTCAAGTGCAACAGATAAGCCTAATATAGGATCGTGAATCTATAGTACGCCATCAGAGTAGTAAAAAAAATGGATCGTTAGAAACACTCGAGCGCGTCAGATTAAAGTAAGGTGGGTTGACTACGTGTCGAAAAGTGTGCATTTCAATAATCTGACGGTTTGAGCATGGCAAAAGGGAGAAGTTCATAAACTTTGCAAAAAAAAACATTACTTTATATATTATATTATAAAGTTTGTATTTTTATTTATTTACGTCTGAAACAATAAAAAATTGCGCACTTAAAAAAGTAATTCCAAATCATCAGATTAAGAGGAACACTCTAAAATATCGTTAGATTATAGGTCAGCTCGACTAGGACTTCAAGCTAAATCGACTGTAAAAATATGTTGCGTTCGCGTATTTCAAAATGACGATTCTTTTAAGTTTTTGCAAAAGCCGCCCGAGCTTGCGTCATGTTCAAATCGTCAATCTTTTGAATAGCAGTTCCTTTGGGTTCGACTTAACATACTCTAAATATCTGACACGCTCGAATAAATCCCGTTTTCTACCCTTCCGTACAGCCTGTCCCGGAATAGAAACTGGTAGATCAACATACCTCCAATACCAGAGACATGTGGGACATATATACTATCAATATCTATCGCAGTATTTTCATGTGTCAATTATTGTAGCGTGTATTTTTTATTAACATGTTCTGACCGTGACCTGACAAATAATGTGAATCGGTCTTAAGGAATACACGCTATAATAATTAACAGGACCGTGACATGACTGATGATGTGAATGGGCCTTTATGGCGTAAGACGTAATTTTTAGCCCGAGGGCGCCGAGGCGTCGCCCGATATAAAAGCAAGTTATGCTTGAGAAGCATACATAACTTGATGCACAGATGAAGGCCTTTTATTAAAAGATCATAAGTATAAACAAACCTGTAGTAGTGATATTAACTATGACAATTGTCGACAATGAAATGTGGGAGATAAAATAGTTGTCAAACCTTAGATTATACAAGGGATAAGATATCTTTCTCTAACAAAAAAATCATACTTCCCTGTATATGTATAAAATTTATAATGAAAAAGCATACCTGAGGACATATACGAGTCACACTGATTATCCTCACATCCGTCAGAGCTTTCACTTATCTCCGAAGTAGCAACAACCTCAAAAGTCTCATCCATTGTGACGTGTTCGTCCACAACCCTCTCCTGAGAAATCGTATAGCGCGATAAATGCGCCTCCACATCAAGATCATTCTGAATATCATCAGAAGGTACTTTTACAACGTCTGCGTTTAAATTTTCGCCTTCGCTAGTCTCGCTATTATCGTCGCTACTTTTTCTGACGGGTTCCTGAGGCTTACAGGTCATTATCACAGGCGTGCTCGAGGTGCTTTTTGTTATGGCCTGTACTCCACTGACACTATTCATGATATACAATGGAGAAGTAGTCGTCGCTTTTGTTACAAATTTTCCGCCCAAAGGTAACATTTTGATACTTCCTTTAGCGTTTAGTGCCTGCAACTGAGCGAGCGGAATAACCTTTTTACTCGTCGAATTCGTCTTGACAGTGACCACCTTGTGCTTGGCCGAGTTCGTAGTAAATGCGCCAGAGGTGACGTTTCCGATCGAAGTCAGTTGAAGAGTGTTAGTACTGGTACTTGTCGCGACAATTTTAAACTTGTCAAAGTTTTTCACCGACACATTTTTCACAAACGGAATGGAGAGGGTACGCTGTAGAATGCTGGTCGAGTTAATCGGCTGAGCGTTCGACACAATTATCAGTTTTTGACCACCGATTGCTTTTGTTAGAGGTTTGCGTGTGGTGCACACTTTCAAACACTTTGGTGCTTCGTTGCTGGGCCCCGGCGAGGCGATATGTTTGTAGGTGATATTTGAGTTCGGTTTCAAGTTCACTAATGTCTGTTTTTGAGACTTGGGAGCTTGATTTTCGTTCGAACAACTAGGCTGAGGAGACGGACAACGTGTATCCGTATTTTGCGGTGCCGATAAATTGCTTATATCACTCTTTAGATGCTCTGTCGATTCATCCTCTTTGCTTGGTGGTGGTATACTAATGTTTTGTAGGATATTGATTTTAGGACTAGCACTGGATAAGGATAATGGCAGTTTCGCTGGGTATTGCTGTAATATTCGATTTGGTTGATGAATGTTTTTGTAGTCGTACTCTAATTCTTGTTTGTTCTTTATTTTCTGTTCTTCTTTTGTTGATGCTTTTACTTTCTGCCTAGAACAACAAATATTTATTATCAATACATTATCAAAATTTTTATTTTATTTATTTTATTATACCGAGTGTTAATACCAAGTCGTTACACTCGAAAACGGCAGTTCGAACTCATTAAAACAAACAACTTTTCTTAGTTCCAATTTTTGATTTGATGCCCCGGTTCAAAGTTAGTGACGTTTCTTTTTTTTCCAAAAATCTTCATAACTTTCTTATTTTAAGGACTATTGAAAAAACCTCGGACCTCTTTCAGCTCTCTAAAATATTCGTACTTATAATTATTTTTTATTTTTTCAAATAATCAAATAGCGATGGATCAAAAATCAAAAAAACATTTATTGATAACCACCCCATCGATTTTTGAAAATAAAACATTTATAAAATCCCTACACCATTTACTACAACATTTGTCCTAAATTTTTTTTCAATATATCCTATGAAGGAGGGCCATTTTAGAAATTGAAATTGAAAAAAAATAAATACCATCCATTGTTTTCTAAATAATGATAAGAGTTGTCAAATTCATCCCTAACGTTATGAAAAACTTCTATCGGCATTTCTTGACATGCCACTGTGATTCTCCGGATCAAGTCTTCCAAATCTTGAGGCTATGTTTTATAAACAACTGATGCCCTCATTAAAAGAAATTTAAATGTGTGAAGTCCAGTGATCGTGGTGGCCATTCCTCTGTTGTCAACCATCTGCCAGGAAGTGTCTCATCTAGCCAGTGTCGAACTGGTAAAAATTAATGTGGCGGAGCTCCATCATGCTAGAAGTGAATAAGACCTTCTTGCAATGTACTTAACTTGATTAGCTTGACCAATGGTAAGACTATTTTAGGTGGCCCCAAAATTATGCAATTAAAAAAGTTGAAATATTTAACAAAATAGGAACCTCTATTATTTTAATACTATGTACTATCACAAAATATATGTTTTTCTTTAACTTTGCAAGCCTAAGAAAATATGTACAATTTAATAATACATTGTTATTAATATTAATAAAACATTCATTCAATTGCACTTTATTTATTTTATTTCTAAATTTTAAAAGTAAACATTTGTAAACCACAAGTAATCACTAGCAATAGTTGGCACCCAGTCACCAGTCTGAATCAGTCAGGCATGCACTAAGAATCATTGGAAACATTGAAACACCCCTTGATGTCAATGGAAGAATAAGTGTACCAGGTTAGGTTTCTCCACATAGGAGAAGACATTTTTTAAACATTAGATACACAATGTAAAATATCCAAAAAACAAAATTATTAACCTTGACCCTACCTACCACCTACCACCCATTTTTTTAAATATAGACTCAGTGTAAATGTTATAGTAATACATTGTTCAGGGAAATACTTACCCCGAGACTTACCCTTAAAATAATAAATACCATGAGATTTGCGTACTTTTATCAAAATGATGTACATAGTACACAACAATTACTTTGCATTATTTACATGTGAAAATGAATGTTGATTAAAACAACTTACCTATAAATTTGTTGAATTTTGCTAATTTTAGAAGGGCCAAGTTGGGCCAAGCTACTATGTTCCACTCCAAACGCAAGCTTCCGCTTCTTCGAGTCCTCGTTCTTAAATCCGTCCCCTGTCCTAAACACTTGCGCCCTTGAAGATTCAGGTACATTGTTCGATTGCGCTTGTGACGACGTGCTGCCCCTTTTTCGTTCCGATTGTGTCGGATGTGACAACTGTTCGTTGTTCGCACTTGCGTTATCCGCCACTTCATCAGCTATGGCTGAATATATGGTTTGAGGAGCAACTCGCGGCATTAATGATATTAATCTCCTACCTTCTTTAATCCATTCATCGGACGTTTCTACCTGACCACACGAGCTAGTTACATAGCGACATTAAACAATTACCAACAGTGACAGTGACTTACAAGTAAGCTATCGTGTTTAACCTTTCGTCCAAAATAACTCTTCGAATTTCCGCTTTACATCGTTCCTGTGGGATTCGTAATGCATTACCTACATCCTTTAGTAACTTCAGTTTCTCCGAAGTCGGTGGCCCTTGTGCTCTTAGAGCTGCTAGCATATTTGCATAAGCGTCCAGTTCTACAAAATGTAACACAGAACACATCACAAGTGTAACATTACGTGGTTACAAACCTAGCATTCGTAAGTACTTGGAGGATTCATTTTCGTTCATATCCAGAATTGAAGGATACATTGTTGAATTAGGTAACGCAAACAGTAAATAATCCAAGTATTTGACAGCAAAAAAGCGTCCCTAAACTAGCACTAAAGTTTGAGGTTAAGTAAAACAATTTTTACTGGAAATTCTTCCTGCATTTGCATCCATTTTCCACAAAGATACTTCTTTTTGGCTACATTTTTAATGTTGTAACTAGCCCCAGTCCAAAAACCTACTGAGGGTTTAATATAAGAGAAATTATTGTAATTGTAACAGGGTTATACTTCAGTTTTAAGTAATGGTTGTAGGTACAAATAATAACAGATCAGGATTCTCGAGTTGTGGCTTGAGGGTCTTCAAAAACGGCCCAGTTTTTCTTTTAAAGCCAATATGAAAATATTTCTGGACAAATATTTCAAATGTGGTGGCTTCTACTGCCAACCGTCAACGTCATGTACAGCGAAAACTTGTTTACCTTCTTACTTGATTTTTTTTTACTTTTGCATTGGTAGTATACATTTCTTTGTTTAGCTTATTGGGATGTATATCGCCATCTCTGTAATATTCTCGCCGTATCAGTTATATACAGCGTGTTTAGGATGTATTCGAGATGCAACTTTTTCGTTAATGCGTTGCAGCAATTATAATGTAAAACCTATGTGTCATAAATTGCGAGTTTGTTATATGCACGTTATGTTTTGTTATGCATGCAATGCCCAGACCTCTTAATTAAGAGGTACATGATGCAATAATGCAATTATATTGAAATTAAGTTGATAGTTATCTGATATAATAACTGAATATTCTATAAAAAAGACTTGTCAATCCTTCAAAGTTATAATTTATAACTTTATTGAAACAGAATATTAGCCGCAGACAGTGGTTACATTTTAGTTGCATGTATTTTTAGATGAAATCTACGCTATAATTTCACATCATGTCTATTATCCAATGTTTCCATTGGGCGATTGTTAATTCCTGGAGCAGAGAAGGTAGCCGCACCCACAAAGCGAACATACTCTGACCAAGTCACCGGGGTTGCCACTATACAGTCGTGCTTTTTGCTTGGGTTGTGTGATTATTTGTTCGGATCCTGTCCCGCTTGAGGTATTTTATTTGCCTCCTGCCCGTTATATCTAGTGAGCGTTCCCCATAGACATATATGCATCTATGGTGTTCCCTTATCCGCCACCTGGGGACACAGAACCTACCTTACATATAATATTTTATCGTTAATAATAATAGCGAGCAAGCACTAATGTTAAATCTAGAAACGGTTTTAACACTAACTTCAGAACCAAATTTTAAGAACAACAATACGAAGGGTTCTTCTCTCACAACACGCAACATGTTTATTCAACCGATAAGAGACGGACAGAACCGACAAATACCGATTATTTGGTACTAATAATAACACGGTTCCGATTCTCGTTATCATAACTTCTTGAATTGCGGTTACGGTTCCGAGGGAAGTGTTCATAAATGCAATTGGTTCCGTTTCTTGTCGATTCCGGTTCCATCCCCTTGTTAGTAAGTTTCTAAAATGCTGTATGAACATACAAATAGAGATCATCGATTCATTCATTACAGATTCATGTATTAGTATAGTATCTAAGAAAAGTAAAAATTGGACTATTACTCATTTGTCTTGAAGGCCTAGATCTCTATCTTTTAGAATTTAAACTATTCAAAATAATTTTATGGCCGTATATGAAACGACAAATTTAAGGCTGGAAAACCCATAGCAACCATTGTCGCAATAATCGTTGCCAAGGATTATAAGCTACGCTCAAGCTAAGCCTCGCTTAAATTTTGTGGGTGCATACGGTCATAATACAGGCGGGGGGTGTGTATAATCATTTATGACCCTGTGTGTCATGTGTAAAATACTCCCCACAATCGTCACAAAGCTGTCTGAAACGCTCTGTGTATAAGAGGACATGTTGGTTTTGTAGAGACCTGCAAACATATCTTGTCATTTTTCAAATCAGTTGTTAAAAATAAAAATGGCAGCGGAAATTAAACCAGCAACACAATCAAACGATAGATTCTGTACGACAAAAAAGCCGGCACTGCTCGCAAAACTCGAAGGCTGTAACGATGAAGTAAACGCCGCCGTTTTAATTCCAGGAGAAGACGGCATTATTAGCGTATCCGACGACAAGTAAGATTCAAATCTGGGTTTGACATTACCCTTTTCCTACTTAAACTTTCACACAGGACCGTTCGAGTATGGTTGAAACGCGACTCCGGCCAATACTGGCCCAGTATATGTCAATATATGCCCAGCGGGGCGACGTCGATGTTTTACCAAGTCGAGACCAGGGAATTATTTGTGGGGCAAGAAAACGGGACGGTTTCCGAATTTTCGTTGGCCTCGGACTTTAATCGTATGATGCCCGTTCGAGAGTACTTAGCGCATCAGGCTCGGGTTACCGATGTATTGTACGCACTCAATTGCGAATGGGTTTTGAGTGTTAGTCGAGATAAGGTATTTTCGTATAATTGTACACAGACTGGTAGGACGATTGGAATTTTTACTGCTGAAGCTTGGTGCACCTCTTTACAGTATCCTTTTGGCATACGAAGGAGAGCGATGGTTTTGCAAATGTCCCCTTTAGGTTTTAGACAAATAGTGCAAAATTGTGTAATTAAAAATGATGCCTGCTCCCTTTAGTAATATGACAGTTGATCAAAAACTAGGTATTGGCTTTGGACTGAACCAGCTGCCCATCCCAACCTTTTATATTAATCAATTTTTTTCAAATCTTCCTCTTAAATCATTTGTTGCTTTCTTAGCCACTTAGACCTCCTTAACACAATAACAGATTCGATTCTCAGACGAAACACGCCTTCGTCGGTGATTACTCAGGTCAAATAACTATGTTGAAGCTAACTAACTCGGGAGCTACATTTGTAACCACACTTAAAGGGCACTCAGGATCTGTACGTACGTTAGCTTGGGACCCAGATAGGCAAATGTTATTCAGCGGCTCATTCGATCAGACTGTTATTGTGTGGGATATAGGAGGCCAACAGGGTAACGCCTATGAACTTCAGGGGCATCACAATAAGGTACTACTAGTCTTTATAAACGGAAGTCACATTGTCTCTTAAAGGTTTCCGCCCTATGTTACTTAAGTGGAAGCAAGCAGTTAGTCAGTGCCGGCGAAGATAGCGTTTTAGTATTTTGGGATATGAGTCAACATCGGCAGGAGACCCCCGAATGGGTTCAATCAAATTCGTGTCAATTATGTAATCGACCATTCTTTTGGAATTTGCGTGCCATGATGGATCAGAGGCAGTTGGGGCTGCGACAACACCATTGCCGTCACTGTGGGAAAGCTGTGTGTGATCGATGCTCGTTAGGAAGACTAACAATTCCAATTATGGGCTTTGAATTTGCGGTTCGAGTTTGCGAGCCGTGTCATATAGCGCTGAAAGACAACGAGTAAGTGAGTGAGTTTTTCATTCATTTGCTATAAATTATGTTCCAGACGTCCATCAATGGCGACCTTTCATGATGCGAAACATAGTGTTGTAGCAATGGAAATTGATGAAACTAGGAAGAGATTAATTACAGTTGGGCAGGATCGTCTCATTAAAGTGTGGGACATTTCCGCATTATGTTAGGTTTATATATTGATATAAAGTGATGTGATTAAACAATTCTGATTTGTATAGATTATGTTACATTTTAGGATACATTTTATTATTTAAACTTCTATTCCATACAAGTAGTTAATTTAATATTAATATTGTGAATACTTAATTTCCAGCATTTTTCAGAATTTTATCTAACACAATGCATACATATTGTTATTGCCTTTTTAATCGAACAAAAGGTTGTGTAAGCTACATGCTTCTATGTACATTATACCTACAGTTATTTTTGTTTTTTATGTAATTATGTAATATATTCAATGTAGCATTTGTTTAGAATTTGAAGTGTTTCCAAAGATTTATTTTAAGCTTCATTTCTTTTCTTCATTTTAATGCAAAAAGACTTTTGCACAATTTATATTTTTATCGTTTGTAAACCAAGTGCAACTATTAATTAGTTTGTTTACTTTAGTCGAATATTTATTTAATGGTTATGTAGACTTTCTGATTTTGTACAATTTTAAAGATTATGTAATTAAATATATAATTATATTTGTAAATAATGTAACATTTATATGCCACAATATATACTCGATTCTAATTTGAAGCATGTTGCTAAGAAGTTGTCTCAAACTTTGTTTCAATTTAAATAAATTTAGTATTTACAAAGATTGCGTGATAAAAAAATTTGAAAATGGATCAGAAACTTAGAGAAGGAGGGATAGAGGAGAGATAAAAGATGACCGTAAGTGAAGCAAATCTTAGCTCTGTTTGCCATCAATAACATGGCCGCCTACAGTCTTTTTGCAGGATTAAAGTAGCAACCGTAACATTTTCACAAAATATCTATAATAGCTACTTATTATAAGGGGATATTAGTGAAAGATGTTTTACAGATGGTTAGTTTCCCTTCATCGTCTTGTATAATACAAATTCTGAATTTTATTTAGACGTCAAAAATAGTAAGCTTGGGTTCTGCCGTTGCGGTCTTTTCCATAGAAATAGTATTGTCATATGTTCTGAACGTCATTTTATATCATGCTCCCTGTTCTACTTGACAGATTAAATGCACAATTATCTGTTTCACTTTATCTACCTTCAGGATTAAAGAGCCTACTCATTCAAACCTATTAAAATGTCAATTTAACATCTGTTATAAAAATAAAGTCAATTATAGTATGCTTACAATTACGTACAGCCGAAAGGAAAATGCAAACAAGAAGTAAAACAGTTTTGCGTGCCACCAAGCCATGCAAAAATTTGTTTCAACCCGCAGTATTGCATTTGATGGGGTGAATTACAGGTCCCCTCCTTCCATAGTCTAAGGGTCAGAAGGTAGCATCTAGGGTGATTATCATTTGTTTAGTATTTCCTCAGTATTCCGTTTTGCTACCCTATTCGACGAAACAGGGTTTTATATCAGATTGTGAGGACGACTCGCAGATTGATGGTATTTCACATCTGCTTATTTGGGGTGACAACAAAAGTTAGGGCAGACCTATCAGTTCGAACTGGACAATCCGTCTGAAAGCCGATCGCCGAATTGACTTGATGACGACCCCCCAGACGTTCAGGCGAATCTGCAATATTTTTCATAATCATCCATTTCCATGATGGCCTCTAGTGACGACGACGCGATAGCAGTTTTCGGTGAATGAATTTAAGTTGGTTCCAAAAAGATTGGCATCTACGCATGGATGAAGATACTTATGTGCAACTTTTGTCATTGGTAGCGCCTTTGATAGAAAGAAAAAATATTATAATATAATATAATACAACATTATGAAAAGCCGACTATGATAAATTCGCGAAAAATTCCTCCTGTTTTCTGTTTCGTGTGACATGATGTACGCGAGCTCACTACTTGTAGTAACCCTGTCATACACACGTTCCAACTTGCCTTTGATTACCAGGTCGACCGGATGAATGAACATACTTTTGATTATTCTCCGACTGCCTGAATAGATCGACCAGTGTATACACCGTCAGGTGACCAACTTTCAGGCGGACTGTTCAGTTCGAAGTGACAGGCTTGCCGGATCGTGTGTAGCCGGCTTTAGATTTTTTCCTGAAAAATGAAGGTTTTTTTGATATAATTTCGCCAATTTTTCAAGAATATTTACTTCTTGACTTTTTGAATGTATTTATATTAAGTATCTAAATTTTCCTTCCGGAATTCATCTAAGGGACTTCCTCAATTAAGAGTTTTGGAAAATAAACAGAAATATCGATGTAAAAAAAACGAAACTCGCGTGCCCCGAGTTCGGCGCGCGCACGCCCCTATTCGAACCCGGTGCCGAGGACTTCCGGCAACCTAAAACCTAAAAAAATAAAGGCAAATAAATAAATAATTCGAGTCGGTACCGTTGGTTTTCCGACTTCGTCTACTCCTCGTCAACAATTTTTATATTGGACTTTTTCGTCCGCAGAAAAAAGTCGATTACTGAATTTTACTACACCTAATTCTTTTGTCGACGCGGTGTCAAGGGTTGCGCCAACGTATGTCACCCTGCCCGATGACTTTTGCTACATGTATTTTCACACGAATGCACGCTTTTTTAGCGCATTTTTTAAAAATTAAAAAAAAGTGGTATTTCCCTTATACCCCAAGAACGGATTGTCAGTTAGAAAGATATGGAGAACCTTTGAAAATAAAACTAAACTGATAAGTCCATTAAGGGTTTTGGCACATGATGAATTGAATTAAAATATTTTCAATTTCCGCAAATACCGAAAGTAGCCATCAACTTTGTTATTTTAAATAGGGCCCCCTATTTTTTCTACATTTTTGGATTCTACGTGAAATTTGGAGTTGGTACAACGATACCCCATAGTTGACTCTTTGCATCAAGGGCTTCGTCGATATTCAAGCTTTTATGTCAAAAATGGAATTTGCAGGGGTAATTTTAAAAATTTGAGATATATTTGAGAGATATTGCAAAACAGTTTTCACTGCTTTATTAAGGAAAGATCAAATTTTCTTATGGCATGCGTAACCGTCTAAAAAAGTGAAACTTATATGTCACTTTTTCAAAGCTCCTCAACTTTTAATTTTTAAATATCCGGAACACCATTTTTTCAAATAGCACCCCCTCCCCCATTTGTTTCTTTACTGTTGTTTTCCTTTTTCCGAGACCTTTAATTTGATACAAAATGTCAAAGGCTGCTTCAAACGGTTTCCGAGATATTCCATGTTTTAGTTATTTCTCGTGAATAATGGCTCGTTTGGGTTACACTAATGAAGATTTTTTGAATTTAATATTAATACACGGTGAAGTAATCGAACAGCGGCCAAGACTTGCCGGTTTTTCGAAAGATACCCTGAGAAGGCACGACCCACAGAGGGTACAATTCGCAAATTATTACAAAAATTGCAGGAATAACGATATGTTTCAAACAAATACAAAAAAGAAAGCCTGTGGTAGACTCTGAAGAACAAGAAATAACTGTACTGGCTTATTTTGCTGCAAATCCAACTGCATCGCTTAATGATATTCAGCCTTAATTTTTTTATAAATTTATTACAAGAAGTAATTAAAACATGGAACATTTCGGAAACCGTTTGAAGCAGCCTTTAACATTTTTTATTAAATTAAAGGTCTCGGAAAAAGGAAAACAACAGTAAAGCAAAATTGGGGGTGCCATTTGAAAAAATGGGGTTACGGATATTTAAAAATTTAAAAGTTGAGAGCTTTGAAAAAGTGACGTAATCTCACTTTTTTAGACGGTTACGCATGCCATAAGAAAATTCGATCTTTCCTTAATAAAGCAGTGAAAACTGTTTTGCAATAATTATCTCTCACCGTTTTCGAATAATAAATTTTTAAAATTACCCCTGCAAATTCAATTTTATGACATAGAAACTTGAATATCGACGAAGCCCTTGGAGCAAAGGGTCAAGTATGGGGTATCGTTGTACTCCAAATTCGACGTAGAATCCGAAAATGTAGAAAAAATAGGGGGCCTCTATTTAAAATAACAAAGTTGATGGCTACTTCTGGTATTTGACTATTTTTTCCAATACCGACCGATTTAAATCCATTTTTCCATAAATGATTCACAAAAAAACAAAAATGAGATTAAAATTATCTGTTAATGCACAAAAATTAGGGATTAAATTCAATAAAACAATGTAGGTATTGGAAAAAAAAATTGAGCCAAAATGTAACTGATCTAATTTTCGTATTTTCAAATTCGCAAATCAACTTTTTGTGTTCTTTCTTTGTCAAAGACTATAATATAGAAATGACAAACTGGACAGCATTTGATGTATCCTATGAGGTTTATTTATTTTCCCCAAAGCAGAAAAATGAAGAAACTATTACATAGATGGAACGAGACCATGCTGTAGGTGGGGCTTAACCCCCTTCAGTTTACTTCCCGAATAATTGAATTATCCGTGACACTTCAAAAAACACGAAAAATCATTAAAAAAATACTGCCTGGCTTTAAAAATCTAAAATTCACTAGATTTAAAGGTTAAATTTGACGGATGAGGATAAGGCAGTTTTTTTAAGTTTGAAACTAAAATATGACGAATAAATGAATGTCATGTTATTTTCATGTTTACCAGGAAAATAACCGAATTCTATTAGCTCTCAAAGCATTGAGCTTCCGTCAACCTGACACCTGGATTCCAGTGCAACTCGAAGCGGATTCAATTCCGAGGCGTTTGTCTTGTTTAAGAAAAAAAGCAAAGATAGATATTAATTCGTTAATAAATTTATCTTTTGGGATTTTGTCATCTGAAGACACCCTCCACCCATGCACCTATAGATACAGTTGTAATACCTACATCCCTCGCTACAATTTTTTCCTTCTTTTCGAACGTTACCTCAACCACAGATATACGCAAAGTATATCTGTGCCTCAACAGAACAATGGTGGAAGATGGATTCTTCTTCTTTTCGTGTAGTGACAGAGTAAACAAAGTAACATTTATTTCCTAAAATAAAAGAAGCTATAAGCATTCTACCATACAGTACACTTATGAATTGGGTTCATTACTGAACCCGACGGACATTTAAAATCAGTTGCGAATTCCGCAAGGTTACCAAATGGTCCCAGTACTCTAAACTCATTTATGGAATGGGTGTCAGTAGCTAATAGCCACGTCAGTACTTCAGGCCGATAGACAGCGCACCAGTTGATAGCACCTGAAATCCAAAACAATTGAGATGGAGAGTAGCTTAACCCCGGCAACATAGGCTCAGGTTCATTTCTCTTTATCCATGTGGTATAAGCGAAGTACGCTTCCTTAATTCCGCCGTTGTCTGCGATATTTTCACCTTGAGTGTTAAACCCGTTCAGCTACAACCCTTGGTTTTATAATCATAACCAAAAGTGTACCTACTTACGGTCTGATTGACTTCAACGACGGTGTACTTGTTGTATTGGTCAATAATGCATTGGGTTTTTTCCAGAAATAGTTCTTGTGTCTTTTGATCCCACCAATCGGTGAAAATGCCATTTTTGTCGAACTGTTTACCGGTGTCATCGAAACCGTGCGTGATTTCGTGACCGATAACGGAACCGATGGCGGCAAAGTTCATGTAACGAGGCCGATCCTTATGAAAATAGGTACCCTGGAGTATACCCGCAGGAACCACTGGAAACATAAAATGAAACGGTGATTGGAAAAGTAGGTAGTGTTTTGTTTACTGATGCTGTTTTCCAAAGGGTTGTAAAACGCGTTAACCTGTGCCACGTTGCTGTGGTCAATCCAGGAGGTTTTATTTACTGCCTCACGTAAACCAGAGTTCGTAACTGATAAAGAGTGTAACTGAATGTTTAAATGGGACGAAAAATATTCATCGGGGTCCACTTTCAGCTGAAATTGAGTTGTAGAGCGAGGTCGAAAACGTATCTGTTACCGTTTCGTGATATTTCCCTAAGATCTCGTCGTCCAAAAGTTCGTCTGGGTAACCAATGTGACTTTCTAACAAAGCAGCTTTGTCAAGTGCACTTTTCCTAGTCTGCTCATCCATCCAATCCAAAGATAGTAATATATTATGGAAAGATTCCTTAATGTAAGTAACCATTTCGTGAGCCGCACTTTTTGCATCATTATCAAAGTACTTACGTACATATAACGCACTTGTAAGTATTGGTAACCTGCAACAATGAACCACACAAATTTTGAATAGGTATATATACCAAGTACAATAATGCTATTTTAAATAAACTACGGCAATTACCAAAAGGCCAATAACTGTTAATAATTTTAATAGACTACGTAACTACTATCGCAAAATAACAACTGATTCAGGGAGGAAAAGTGCGACCACTCTCAAAGGGGGACTACTCGCTGACTCAGGAGCTGATAGATATCTTGAATCGTCAAGGCGGCCGATTTTATCTGTTGTTTTATGTTTTTTTAAACTGTAGTTACGTAAAAGTTTTTTTTAATAAACTGTAACTCCTTTTAGGCTATCTGTGTATTTCTCGTGTAAAATCGCTATAGTTTTGTTGGTAGTTTTTCTTTCATAGTTCTTGATTTTCCCGCTAGAGGTCACTCTATATGTACCTTTCTGTATTTAATTCTATCTCTTCTTTAATCCTGGTTTGCGTACAAGCTGTACTGGTCCTTTTTCAGAGATGATTTTGCATTCATAGTGGTTACTTGTGAAAGAATTTAATACACCTTTACTTTACTTGACTACCTTGTCTACCTGAAAAGTGATTTTTATTATAGCATTTATTTTTCTCCCTGTTTCTGATATGTTGATTGCGGATTTATATTTTCCAATTAAATTACGCTGTGAGGTACGTACAGTTATGACTCAGCATTATTTTAACACATACAGTTTTGTCTTTTCTCCTTCATTGTTTTTCTTCATTATATTTGGTTATTAAATCTACCTAAGTCGTTATGTTCTAGACAAAGGCGGGTCCTGAACTAATGTAGTCTTATGAATGAATCACAATGGCTGACCGAAATAAATGACATTGATTAAGCCGAACGGCTGAGGCCGAAAGTTCCGAAGACACCACTGGTCCAAGGAATGAAATATTGGAAAAGTGACTTTGTGAAATGATTGGATTCATGCACAGCCACTTACACTTCACATTTGACAAAATTTTGACTAAATAGGAGTAGCAATCGTCAATCCTTCCGTGAAAATAGGATGCCAAACTTAAAAGTATGGTCGGTATGGAGCATGTGGAACGATGTGGGTTAAGGTAAAAGCTAAAAACGTCAACACCTTAAAGGCATAAATGAAGATCTTCTGTTAATGTTGGGAAACTTACTCTGAACTTACTTCTTCCACGCACTCCTTCCAACGAGATGGCCTCTCAGAAACGCCAAACAGTGTTCGATGGAAATTAAGCTGATGTTGAATCATACCTTCAGTTAAATAAGAAATCTGACTTTTAATAACCCTCCACATTGCATAATTTGCTTGAACCCTATCGGAAACTGCAAATAATTCAGACATTCCTCTTAGATTTATTTACCGTTTTGGAGTTCGCGAAAGCAAATCGATTAGCGATGAAATGTAGCGCGGTGATACAACATTTACCGCCTCACTGGAATTAACATGAACATGGGGGTGTAAAATGCTATTTAAGTACTCCAACCATTGAATTCCCGAAAATCTTTCTTGAATTTCCGCTATCGTCATTACATTATATAGCATCGTTATATTTCGCCTCTCTTCTTTAGAGGAAGATATCTGAAAAAGAAGATAATCGACGGTTTTCGTAGCGTACACATACTTTAGCCAACTCAATTTCAAAATCCAAAGATTCCTTTAATTCTCTTTCAGCTGCCTGCTTTTCACACCCCAATTCCACAGCGACATCGATCATATACTTAAAATATCCTTGCACAAATTGTGACTCATTCCCTTGCAATATAAAGTCTCTACTCAGGCCCAAAGAAGGTTGATCTAGCTGCAGTACAAATATTCATCTCTATTTTACAATGCGTCCAGTTACCTGAATGCCCCGAATAGAGTTGTTCTTTAAATCAGTTCCGATTGTCACTTCTACAAGATACCCCGAGTCAAACCCTATTCTGTTGAAGGCGAACATTAAATTTTCCCAATCGAACGAATCTGGAATCCACCGTGGCCCTTCTAATACCGGCCAACCCCCACAGCTGACCAAAACATCTTTCAGTACTTGCAAACCAAGCTCAGCGATTTTACCTGGAAATAGACGAATCGGTACTATGGAAAATTCGAAGAACCTTACCTTTGTTCATGCATGCTTTGTAATAGTCCTTCACCGTTTGTAGAACTTTTGCCTCATTTTTATCGTGAGATTCTAATACAACCCGCAACTGTTGCTGCACTTTATCATTCACAATTGAGAATGAATTCACTGCAAGTTTTTCGTCAGGAATAATGTTATTTTTTATGTAATTGCCACAAGCAAATTTATAAAAATTATCACAAGGATCTACACTGGTGTCTATGTACTCTAATACCAAATTGGAGGTGCTAACACAACTTTGTGTTACACATATTTCTTCATTTGAAGACGTATAGGCGACGTTTTCCTTGGTATGATCTAAAATAAATTATTTTAGAAATTCCTTTCAAAATTACATGTCTACTAAGTATGTACAAAAATAGGTGGTAAAAGAAAAAGCAGTGCACGTTAGGAAATAAATTCAATGCTTACAAATATGCTATGGTTTGTCCCAAAAGTAATGAGACTCATTTTTTCGCCACGCGACTGCGCACACCTGCGCGACCAGTTGGAAGTGGTGGGGGGATTGTAAGCTTTTCTCCTTTTCAGGAAGCTCAGTTTCCCACGAGCTCTCCGAGCGGTGGCCCGTGGGTTTTAGTGAACCTCCGTGGAGAGTGGTTAGGATGGAGATAACTATGAAGCTACGCTGTGCTATGCGATAAAATTTTGCGTCAAACGCCACAGGAACGCGCGGCAACGAGTTGCTTGAACTCTGCGAGGAGGACCCAATTTTCCTTGACAACGTCGTCACAGGAGATGAAATCATAGATCTTTGAATACGACCCGGAGACGATAATGCAGAGTGCGGAGTGCCATACGACCGAGTCATCAGATGAAAGTAAGAATGAGCAGATCCCGCATCAAATCCATGGTCATCGTGATCTTCGTTGCTAAGGGAATCGTGCGCCACGAGTTTGTACCACCTGGGCAGACCATGAATAAGCACTTCTACAAACCAGTTCTAAAAAGATTCACAGAGTCATCCGCATCCGCTCAGAGACCCAGTGGTCAAGGAGACTCCACCATGACAACGCGCCGAGTCACACAGCCTTTATTATCAACTGCTATATAACGCCCGATATAGCCCATGAAGACTTCTTCTTGTTTCCAAAGGCGAAAAGGGAGGTGAAGAGAAATCCGGAGATCCTAGACAGCATATCCATGACAACCATTGTCGGAATAATCCTTACCATAGATTTTAAGCTACACTTAAGCTAAGTTCAGTTTAAATTTGTCGGTGAAAACGGCCATAAGTTGTATTACATGTTTGATCAATAAATATATTTTTTTTGAATAAAAGCTCATTACTTTTGGGACAAACCCTGTACAAGGATCGGATATAATCGAAGTATGAACCAGTAACAGTATATTTGAAAAACGTCTAAATTTTTTAGAATTTTATATACAGTGTGTTCCAGGTAGATCGCACCATAGGGAAACGGTAATGTATTTTTTCGCGAAGGATCCACGAAGCCTTGGAAATTAGCGTTCAACGTACTACTAGTGGAGGACCGACAAGAAATCCAAATTCCAACTCTTTAGGGACAAATTATCCAAATAATTTGGATTGTTTTCGTCAAGATATCCAATTTTTATCGACAAATTATCCAAATCCAAATAAAGCCACAAAATATCCAACCAATTTGGAAACTCCGCGCCACCGACAAGATATCCAAATATCGAATTTTTTTTAGACAAGAAATCCAAATTTTTGGACAAAATATCCAAAAAGTTCGGAAATTTTTTGACAAGATATCCAAACTTTTTTAGACAAGAAATCCAAAGGTTTGGAAAGTTTTCAACAAGATATCCAATTTTCGAATAGATAAAGGTACGCCATTTTTTCGTGTATTTGATCATTACCTATACGTTTTTAACAGCAGTTGTTTTCAGCGTGAGAGCTTTGTGCTTGTCAAAGTGCTGAGCTTTAAAAGTACTTATTAATTATAATTTTAATCAGGCATGAACCTTGTGTGGTACGAAAAATTCCGAATCAGCATTTCAGTTTCAGTGTTAAACCCCGGCATAGCAATTAGCATTCAGTTTTTATACAGCGTTTAATAGTGTAGTGTACTTGTTCATTTTGCTGCTATCCTATAACTCGCATTTGTTACTAGGTAGGCACTAAGACGCTGTATGAAAACATACTAAAATGCTATGGCGTGCTTTAACACTTAAACTGAAATGTTTCGTACTGCACAAGGTTCATACGTGATTAAAGGGCTTGAATAAAATTTGGATTTCTTGTCTAAAAAAGTTGGGATATCTTGTCAAAAAATTTCCGAACTTTTTGGATATTTTGTCCAAAAAATTTGGATTTCTTGTCTAAAAAAAATTCGATATTTGGATATCTTGTCGCGCCACCGACAAGATATCCAAATCGGAGTTTCCAAATTGGTTGGATCTTTTGTCGCTTTATTTGGATTTGGATAATTTGTCGATAAAAATTGGATATCTTGACGAAAACAATCCAAATTATTTGGATAATTTGTCCCTAAAAAGTTGGAATTAGGATTTCTTGTCGGTCCCCTACTAGTGGTTAGCTCTTTCTAGGATCAGGCAAGCGCAACAACGTACGTTGAACGCTAACTACAAATACATACGTATCAAAGGCCTCGTGGATCCTTCCGCGAAAAAATACAATACTCTGTTTGCTTATGGTGCGTTCGGCCTGGGACACACGGTATGTGTAAAATATCATATGTACCGCTTTATAAGAATAGCGGGTTTAATTGCGACAACGGCTAATGATTCGTGGGTTTTGAAAAAGTATAAACGAATCGCAAGAATTCTGTCGGTTCCTTTTCGGTTTTTCTGCGGGACTATAGATTAGATAAAAATAGAAGTTCGTGATTGGATAAAAGGTGTGGGGGAAGCTATCGGAGCCGAAGACGAGCCTTCCTGTTTCGTTTGAGTCGTAAAGGGTTTTCTACGCGGCAACATAGATAGTGAAGTAAAAGGTAAAATGGCAGAGACACTAAGCAGTCGCAATAGCGTGTAGGTCGTCCACTAAAAGTTCAATTAGCAAAATAAAGTAAATACTCCTTTAGAAGAGCAAACATTAGTGAAAGCACAGCGGCGAATTAAGCCTTTAAACAAAGTTAATCGCGACCGCGCCGACTGAACTTCGAGGAAGTTAGGGGCATTTATTGTATTAATAAAATATTAGAAATTCAAGCCGGCCCGTACTAATTTTTTTGTGGGTGAACAAGTCGGAGTTCTAAATAAAAATTCCATTGAACAACGAAGAAGCAAAACAAACTCAGTTCATTTCCGTAAGCGCTATGTTTAACATACATTGGAAAATACGTGACATTGTATTCGGATCATCGCGTTTTAGAGAGAGCAGTATAGGAGTGGTTGTATTTCGCAACTCGTGATACTAAAAATAGAAAAGGCAATTTTTCGGACAAAATAAAATATTCTACGCGTGGATTTCGTGTTGAAACCGCGCATAAGTTTTGGAACTTTGCGCTCCGCAGAATTTACACTATTATAAACAAAGTCACACTTTGACATTAGGAAAGCTGAAGCCGTATAAATGCACAATAATTTGCAAACCCAGACGAAATAACGAACCCTTTCAATAAATTTTGGAGGCGTTGTTCGAGCAGTCAACTTTGACCAAAAAATTAACCCTCAATTACTTTTGAAAGCGTTGTTCGGACAGCCAACTCAGGCAAATGGATCGTTCTAAATAGACAAATTGCAACCAATTATCAAAAAAATGTTGTTTTGTTTTCCCCGAGGTTTTTCCTATCCACCACCGTCTAATAAAACAACCTTGTACACCACCTACATACGATTACGATCGTATGGGCGTTGCGCTTACTTAAACCAAAACACCAGATGAAGCGAGTTTGATACAGTTTCCTAACTGTTAGATGAAGCTACATAGCTCAGTAGGTTTGCTATAGGACTAATAAATTCAATAGTTCACCGTTCGAATCCGGCCCATTAAAAAAAGATTTAGAGGTTCGATATAAATACAACTACCGAAACATTATATTACACGCGCTTCGGCAGCGTGAGTTAGCTACAGGGCTTATAATCCAATGGGCGGTGGATCGAATCCGTGCCATTAAAAAAAATATGTTGGGGTACTCAGATCACGCGACGTTCAAGATGTTCTTCAATGGAATCCACAAGAAATTGAGGATTCAAAGAACTCGAGGATTCCAAGAAGTCTCCAAGAAGTCGAGGATTCCAAGATCGCGGATCCAAGATATGCAATGGGACGGGGCGTGCATGCGCAATGACCGCAGTGATCCAAAAACTACTAATTAGAATGTCCCACAAGAAATACATGGAGCATTGGCGATAATTGTGCCAGAACTCCTGTTGCGCCTATACTCAAATTCATCTACATATTTTGAACAATTCTCCAACAGTCAACTTCATATACCAGCATTACAAACTTTGACCTAGGGGAATCGTGAATTCAGACAATTTCTATGAGAATGGCGGTAACTTTAGGAGAACACTAGTTTCATTAAAAAAAAGTGCGGTTTTGTCGATATTGTAAGAATGCGACTGTTAATTTATTGTGTATCTGTTCTAACTATCTATTCAGCGAAAAAAGACACACGTTATAATAACAAAGTTAGCAATAGATAAGTTTGAAGACCCTGTATTTTTTTGATTTTGACGCAAAAAGTTCGATGGTTAATGAAAAAGTTTAAGCCAACAACGAAATGAGTCATAAAGGTTTATAAGCTCACTTGTGGTGCAGTTTTGAACTGTAAACCTTTGGTTTGGATACAGATTTTGGCAGATAAATTGTGTAAATTTAGTATGAGTGGTAAGTATATAGAAATAATTAGACACTAAACATAATAATGACGTGATTAGGTTGGATGGTTTGGCAGAAATATCAACCATTCAATCTTTTGTGGAAAACGCAATGATGACATCATGGTTGGAATTAATTGCTTCCTCTATTTAGTAGGTACATAATAAATGAGTTGTTTTATTCGTCAAAAATTCATTTCCGGATTGATTAAACCAAAAACCAGAAAACCAGTTCATTTAGGTTTTGGTCTACGCACTTAGAATGATTTGAGTATTGTTAAATAAGACGTTCCGGTGCTATGTCATTTTTATATTTTTATTTCTTGCTTTATAGATGTGCTTGAGAAGAGAATATAAATTTGGGATAGTTACATACCTTGTTGCATGGCAATAACAATAATTAGCACCAAAATGATGAGAATAAGACATGGCAGTAACGTCAAAATCCATTTTTCAAGACCCGTCCTTTGTTTCCAGCAGGAATCGCCCCTGCATAACCGGAATAAGTTTTTATTAATTATTAAAGTGGCGATTACCGTTTAAATTGCGCTTCCATGATTGGCAAACAACAAATTATAATAATACGCGCACCTTTTCAACCTTTACGAGGTACCATCACTACTCACTAAAATAACGTGTTTTATCGTCAATTATACAATTTTTAGTTGAATAAATTAATTTAGTAGGACGTTGAGCAATATGCGTATTTTGTAAGATAAATTGTATAGGTACCGCTTTCAGACGGCTGCCAAGAGATGTAGATATAATTACTAAATGTGTGATGATAAAGTACAATGCTGTTAAATAATGTGTGGGAATCGAGGAATTTAGTAAATACAGACATTTATTTATATGACTCTCAATTTTTAATGGGTACCTCAAACCTTAACAGGGGCGCACGTAAATATAGCATTTAATCATACACGTGACTTGGCATTTTCATCGAGTTTTAAAGTACATCATTATTGAAAAATTGAGCTTATGAATTTCGGGATGTTTTTCTCTTAAAATTAACATTTATAATTCCGGCGCGCCATGGTCAACTACCTATACGATTATAGATCTACCGCATATTGTGGTGTTAATTACATGTTCCATAAGAATAATTATATTACCGGAAACGAAGAAATCAATTTTACAATGTATGAATAAATTTTAAATTGGATTTTTGAAGGAGAATGAGTTTTTTTTTCATTTTAAGCATTAGGATCTCGAAAACCGTAAGACAGAGATTCGGTTAAATGAGAAAGAGTTGTCGTTTTAAGAGCTTATTTAAGATATGCTTTGTTTTTTTTTAAAAATCCACAGTTTACTAGATATGAGCGAAAAACAGATTTAGTGACTTTTCATTTAGCTGTTGTGGAATCGTTAGTATTAGAAATACAGAAATATGCAAAGAACAAAAATTGTAGATTTTTTTCGATTAATAAGGTAAATTTATTAATATTTATACTTCTTTTATAATTTTCGAGTTTTAACTTACATTTTTTTAAATGGTAATTATAGTTGGCTGTGACATTTTTAAAAAGTGCATTTTTTTCTGTTACAATGATATAAGGTTCATTGTACTTACTTTGACAAATAAACATGATACAGAACTGTTTGTATTATTAAGAGTAGTAAAAACAGATTTTGCCATGGGAAACATTTTTGTTCTCTTTTAATTATTACTGTCTATTATAATATTCAACTTGCAGTTAGTTGTGCGGCGGGGCACCGTTGTGTTGAAACCAACGTAAATTACGTCGTGTTTCCAAATCTAACCCATCCTACATATCTTGAAATTCATTTGGTAGAAAATGAATTGACCTGTCCAATTTTCGTCGTAAATGAAAGCTACCTATCTCACTAGATATTGTTTTCCATGGCCAACTCTGTTTACTTACCTCTCAATAATACGAAAATTACTGTAGGGAGTTTATTTATTAAAGTACATTTATCAAGCCTTATATCGTTATAAAGAGAAAAATTTGTCCTTTTTAAAAATGTCAAAGCCAACTATGACTATCATTTAAAAAAATTAAAGTTTGTATTATAACTCAAAAATTGTAAGATCTAAAAATAAATTAGTAGGTTCATCATGTTAAGCATTAAAATGTCTAAAATTGTTATTCGTGTCATTTTGTTGCATTTCTGTAATAATAACGATTCTACAACAGTTAAATGAAAAATCACTCAATCTGTTTTTCGCTCATATCTAGTGAACTGTGGATTTAAAAAAAAAAAAAAAGCATATCTTAAATAAGCTTTTAAAACGACAACTGTTTCCTCATTTAACCGAATCCGTATGTCTTATGGTATTCGAGATCCCAATGCTGAAAATGAAAAAAACTCACCCTGTATATATTAAACATATTAGCACAAGGTGTAAACTATATATTATAATACCGGCTGGTCAATTATTTTCCTGAGAAATAACTCTTGTTGATGTGCTGCATCGGGAAGTTAAACGGTTCACTGAAACGAGATAAGGAATCAAATACAATTTTCTTGTTGTTTAGATGCGTTTCTGGATTGTGTAACAGTTGGTGGATTTAGGCTTAGAAAGATTTGGTTTTGAATTTGCAAATTTGTCAGTATAGGAAATTTTATACGTGTAACGCTTGATAGTAGACAATAGAACTAAAATGCGAAAGAATGAAGCACTTTTAGATCAGCAACCAATGTACAAGCAGGTAACAGTCAAAACAACAACAAATTTGTTGTTTGTATGGGCGATAATAAGATTCTAATGTAAACGGCAACTGCTAAAAAGTTTAAAAACGATTAATTAGTACTTTTTTTAGCTGTTAAAACCCTAGGTATACAAAGGGAAAATTATATTTCATATTGCGGTACATTGGTAAATTATTCTAGTGAATAAAGAATTTCTATTACATTTCGAGAAACCGGAAACCTAGTTTGTTCTTGATTTGATTCAATGAATAGTCAAATGTACCGGGCGAGATAAAGGCTTCAACTGTATTGCACAAGGCGTTCCACCTCCAATTTTTTGAATTGCCGCTAGTTTTTAAAAGGAGAAAATCGACTGGAGCAATGTGTAAAATAGGTGATCATTGTGGGGAGTTGTAGGCAATTTCAATGGTACACCAAATTGGTGTCGACTTCCGAGGGGAGTAAACTGCTTATTCGGATTAAAGATCCTGTGAGCTAGTTTGGTGCATTAATTTTTTGATTTCATGAACATTGACATATTTCAAGTTGCGCAAGTGGTGTTTTTCGTGCTGACAGCATCTCCCAATGTTGTTTTTGAGAAAGGGAAACCGTCAGGCGTTTGTCACGTAACCCATTAATTTGCGATCAAGGAAACACTATTTTCTTGTATAAACAATATTTTTCCACTAGGCCTACGGCATAGTGTGCGATAGAGATCATTACTCAAATAAATGATCAAGTGACATGGAGAACTAGAAACCCAAAACGTGTTGGTAGTAAAATAAAATATATGCGACCTCTTCGTACATTTTAATCACTTCCACAGAACACATTTATCTACGGGGTTCATTTTGCTTCCAATGGGACAATTGAAGTCCTCAGCAAAATAACCTGTATTCCCAAAAGGAATGTTTACTCGAAATTTTTTCGGTGAATGTATGTCATCCTCGATTTGCAACCTGATAAATTGCAAAGATTCCTTTGCGCACCACATGTTAGCATTGGAAATCCAGAACAATTGCAGATGTGTATAATTGAGCCCTGGAAGGACTGGTTCGTTTCCATTCCGTTTAACCCATCTAATGTACGCCAAGTAAGCTTCTCTTATACCACCATTGTCGGCTATATTTTCGCCCTGTGCTTTGATGCCATCTAACTAGAACAATAGGGGGTAACACAAGTTATTTGTTTGTATTTGCCTTACATTTAATCCAAGTTCTGCTATGGTCTGATTTCCATATTGATCCACCATGCATTGGGCTTTGTTAAGAAATGTTTTTGTTGTTGACGGTGCCCACCAATTATACCATTCACCATGCTTATTATACTTTCGACCATGATCGTCAAAACCGTGAGTAATTTCGTGACCAATTACAAAACCAATTGTGCCATAGTTCATATACCGCGGTCTATCGTTACCGAAGAATGTGCCTTGCAACAACCCGGCAGGGAGTTCTGTAGAATGCATTGATAACTAAGTTAAGGAGAGAAAGTCGTACCAATACTGTTTTCGGTAGTATGATAATACGCTTGAACCGTGGAAGTCTTTCCGCGAGTTGTCCATTCGGGCGGATTTGGTGCCTGTAGCATCTTGAACTCGTTCTCGTATTTAAACAAGTTAATTTTCGACAACATTTCCAGATAACTGTTCGATGTAAAATCGAGCTAAACGGAATTTAAGTAATGCGAAGAAGAAGTTAGCGTACTCACCCCTTTGTAAAGCCATTCCAGTTTTTTATCTGACATCAGTTCCTCCGGGTATGCAATGTGGAATGACATAGCAGCGGCTTTTTCTAACGCACGTTTCTTGGTAATCTTGTCGATCCAATCAGCTTTCTTAAGTATATGAACAAATTCGTTCTTTATATCAGATACGATTTCTATTGCTTTTTTCTTGGTGGCAACGTCAAAATGTGTCCGGACGTACAACGCATCCGCAGCAATAGGCATACTGTAACATATTAAAACCAACATTAAACGTGATTGCAGAAAAGAGCCGAAACTCCACCAAATCAAATTGATGGGACGACTCACCTATCTGAAGCCACAGTGACACATTCTCTCCAACGCGACTCTCCCTTGGTAGGTCTACTGCCATTTGTGACAAATCGCGCTTGTCGTTGGCGTAATTCTTGTGTGAGATATGGAATTGATGCATTAACAACTCGCCACATAAGATAATTTGCTTGTACCCTACAACGAAGTTATTAAATGTTGCTACAACTAGTAAGTGGTACCTCTTGGGCGTATTAATAAGTAATTTCTCCAGCTTGGAAATGTATCTAGTAGGACCACGAACCCTTACTACGTCAGTACGTTTAATTTTATAATCTGGAATGGCTAAAACGGAGTTGAAGTATGTTAACCAAGGAATACTGGGAAACTCGTATTCAAGTTCAAACACATACTTGTGATGGTACCATGCCAAGGAATTTGGAAGCGAGATCTAAACACACGACTGATAGAAACCAAATTTATAGTACCTACTCGACCTTACATTTCTTAGCTTCTCTATAAATTTAAACGTGTCGTATAACTCCTCTCGGATTACCTCTTTTTTAGCGCCAAAGATCACCGCGATATGTACCATATAATCAAAGATGCCTTGGTCACTGCTTATAAACGGATCTCCTTGATCTATCTGCAAAACACTACTGAACTAGTAATCAACAGGACATTACCTTACATTGAGCATCTTGTATGAAGCATCGTACACATCTGGTTTAACACTCAAACGAATGAAGTAATGAGGACTGTACCCAGACTTTCGCAACCTAGCAACCGACTTTATCCAATCAAAGCTTTCCCGATTCCATTTTCGCCCTTCCAACACTGGCCACCCGCCCAATTCGTGCAAAATTGATTTCATGGTTTTCAAGTTGTCTAATTCGATCTCAGTTTCATTCATGCAAGCTTGGTAGAGCCTCTTCAGTAAAGCGAAAGGTTTCGGTTCTGTTGGAGTTTGCGGCGCTTCCATCATTTTACGTAACTGATGTTGAAGCAAATCTTTCGCAACGGTAAACGACGTAATCGAAGATTGGTCGCGTGAAAGGTTTGTCGTCTTGAGAAAATTACCGCACGCGAATTGGTAAAAGTCTTCACATGGATCAGTGCTTGGATCCATGTTTTTCAACACGCTTGAAGCTGCACGAATACAACCCGATGTTAAACATACATTTTGATTGGCGATTGAACCCGGATGGTTATCCAGTAAAGCTTCAGTGTGGCTAACTGCTACAATAATTGTATAATCAATTTCTTCTAACTCTAGCATACTTACTCGTAGATTTCGAAAGAGTACTGTTATATAATACAAAGCCCAGTATGATTGTCAAAAAAAGTACAATAGAAAGTACTGTTAGGTTCTTCTGTATATGTGTCAGACTTTTCCATGTTGAAAATCTAAAGGTAAAGCGAATTATGAGTTATTTGTTGGCTAGCACACTTGATAATCTTATTTTCATACTAAAGTGACAATCTGAGGAAACCATGGCCAAATGTGTGTATCTGGATCGAACGGCTAGGCTAGAATCTCATGTTTTTCTCCGGTCGTAGATAAGAAGCTTTCTCATCGCTCCATAGTTAATTAAATTACAAGATAAAGACGTGTTGTAGCCGTTTAGAATACATAGGTGTAGCCTTATTTTGTTAAAAAAGGAGAGGCGGAAGTTGAGGAAAGGGGAAGAGTTGTTGAGAAGATACGGACATTAAACGAGGATTTTACGTATGTTGGCTGTTGCTTCTAGTCTTTTGTTGGGCAACCCTTTTGATTGGTGGGCGTTATTTGTGCGACACAGTCCGTTTGGCCAGTTACGTTTGAAAAGAAAGTTTAATGTAGAAGAAGGCTGCTGAATTCTTCAAATTAACAACATTTACGTCAATATCGAGATTTTAGTCGTGGCAGATACCTTAGAAGAATTATAATTATTTAGGTTTTATTAGTACCCTAGTTTAATTGGGCTAGATGGACAAGTGCATAGAATTCCTCTTTATACGCCACACGGGTCCGTCATTTTTGGTGTTTAAATATTGTACAATGTGATCAAAATGCCGAAAGCAGTGTATCTTGATCGCGATGATGGAACGCATGATTACTACTCAATAAAAAACATAAACCCTTAAGGTCTCTACCCACTACAACGTACCGTTATTGGAATGTGCCAGACAAAGAATATCGTTTGTATGGAATAGTATGAGACTATGCCCTAATTTATTCCTCCCATATCTGCAAATGCAGTACGCATTGTAAAATGTGCCCAACGACGAGCTTAGTTGATTATTATCTGGGAAACTAATGAAAATATACACTGTTGTTGTACAATTAAACAGTTATAATTATGTTTTAAAGAAAACAAAAAAAATTCCGACTACTTCTGAAGATATGCCAGAAAAACCGAAATTTTCCGATTTGATTTTTATTTTTTCTGATGCTATTTGAAGAGATACAAAAAAATAGAAAAATATAACATTCTCATTGCCACTTTTTGAGATCTACAATACAACGTTTCATTTCGAAGAAATCATCAACTTTATTTTTTTATATGGTCCATAAAAAAAATAAAGTTGATAATTTCTCCGAAACGAAACATTGTATTAAAAAATCTCTCAACGGGGCCTTGTCGAGCGCAAAAAGTTGCAATGAGAAAGTGCTTTCTATTTTTTTGTATCTCTTTAAATAGCTCCAGAAAAAAATAAAAACCAAATCGACAAATTTCGGTTTTTCTGGCACATCTTCGGAAGTAATCGGAATTGTTTAATTTCGAAACTTGGCCTTAATTTGACCATGATGGATATCCTTATCTTGGACACAGTGTATACTGTCCAAGATCCAATTGTATTGCATGGGTAACTATGTTATTATGAAAGATAGAGATTGGGTTATATACAGGGTGTTCATTTGAAAACTTCCCCCCCTCCCCCGGATTTATCGAAAACCACTGATTAAAGGAAAAAACGCCGAGACACGTCAAAAGATTCACCTCCTTTCACCCTCTGCCGCCAAGGTCATTCCATTCAAAACTTTAAATGACAAGTGGTATCGAGTAATAGCTTGTTTGAAAGGTTTTATCCGACTTTATGGTTCAGTGGTAGAGCATTGGACTATAAATCCGGAGGTCGGGTGTTCGAACCTGGGTTGAGGTGAATTTGTCATCTGTGGCAGAGATGAGAATTACCTTAGACCACTTTCGACCATTCTGTAGACTACTCCGAATAAGGTTTTCCTGCAGTTTTCCTAATTCGTAAGGTAAATAAATAAATAAATTTAATTTAACCCGAAAGTTTAAATGAATGGATGAAAGCTGGCAGCTGCCATGATATCCCACAACATGTTTTCGAAAATGTCCGTCACGTATTTGAACATCGCCTATATCACTGTTTGGCCCATAACCGGCAACATTTTGAGCACTTGTTGAAATAAAAAGTGATATTTTCTTTGTTTTTGTTTGTCCCATAATGCAACCATCGATTCCAGAAAATGGTATAATTAAGATAACGAAATTCTTTTTGATTTGTATTCAAAACATCTATCGGATCTCTTTAAGAAAGTGCATTAAATTTTATTGAACATAATCAAAAAAAATCTTAAATGAATCGGTCTTTGTACATTGACTGAATACTCGTCGTATACCTAAAAAACCTAAATAAGAAAATGTAAGAGAAAGTACAACTTTGATCGATGGTTTATTTTGTTAATATACTAAATCATTTCAGATTAAAGCTGTCTGCCGTTAATCGGCTCAAACGAGAGTACCAAGATTGTAATTTGCAGGTTTTAAAGAAAATATTCGGCACGAGATGGCTAGAATACCTCAGCAAATGTTACGGGTAACAGATGTACTTGAAAATTTTTTCTAAAGAAAAAACTGTCCATTTTAGAAAAATTTTGCCCGTTGTTTGTATGCTCTTTCCATTGATGAATAGTAAAGATATGGTTTCCATTTGAAACATTTTTCACCCAAAAACCGATTGCCAAATTTGAACGCTTATTCGTATTATTTTCGAATCAAATTTGAAAATCAGACCAATAAAATAACATTTGCTAGCGTGGACTTTAAAGTAGTTAGAGCGCGTTTGGCTGAAGTCAAGTGATATACTCGGCCTACCTATTACTTACGGTAAACGTACCCAAAAAAATGTTGTTATGAAGGAAACATAATTAGAAATACGGTATGAGTGGTATTTTGTACCTCAGCACAATGCAAACGTCTTACATGAATTTTAAAAAGGTATATACAGTAGTCAACTTGACTAGTCTCCCTACTTTTCGACCCTGTTTCAAACCTTTGCACACTAAATGTTGACGACACACCGCGACTAAATATTCACAGTGTAAGCGGTACATCCTAAACGAATATATTTATTTTTAATCAAAACGTATGCGAGACGTATGTAAAAGCCGGGAAACTAAACAATTTGGCGTTTTACGTGAAGTCGGTGTAGTGGATTTGGTTTTTCGATGTTGGCGCCAGAGATCCCCAGCCGCTATCTTGATCTCGATCCGATCAGTGTGTCAACAAGACGTGTGCAGGCCTTTATAAATATCGCTGGTTTTGATGTTCTTTCTGAAAGACACCATGCCTTTTGTGAAGAAAAGTGCTCAGCAGAAGAAGGAAAAGATTGTCCTAGCTCAGCTATATACTAGACCTAGTGGAAAAGTCATCAGATTTAAACGCGTGCTGCATAGCGTGCCGCCGCGTCAGATCAGACGCCGCTCGGCGGTAAATATCTTCCTTATTTCATCATGAACATGTACTTTTCCGTGCATATTTAGATTCGTCACAAAATTTCGCTTCTAATGAGACCCATCTCATTTAAGTCTTGATACAAAAACCTTCGCTAGCTCAGAAAAACTGAGTATGTCCATAAGAGCCCATGTTAAAATACCCTGTTTTTACTGTCAAATCTCTCAGAAACGGCACATAGGAACACTTTTTTCTTTTGACCATTAGAAAGTGCGTCTCTTAGAGAATAAGTGACCAAATTTTCACCAACTTCTTGTTACTTTTACCTAGGCGCTCTAACTACTTTAAGCTGTCCATTCGTAAAAAAATCATTTTGCAAAGTTTTCAGACAATAGTGATATCGCTAATTTATTGAACCTCTGAAACAGTGGAAAAATGTGTAAATTTGAATTTGAAACAAGAAAAGTTTCGGTATCGTTCTGATACAACCGGAAAAGCGGTAATCTTAAAAATATTTTTGAACTATTCCTTTTCATCGTTTCTGAGATATGGTCCACACAACCCTGTATATTTGCCTATGATCTTTCCTCCTTTGGAAGGTTGATTGCTGTGTTATTTCCTATTCTTTACTATACACGTAAATTACCACCTTTTAGGCCTAATTTGACAATAATTAGAAATTTTTCACTTACTTTGTTTAGCGATATCATCATCATTCTTCAATTGCACGAAATAAAGTACAATGCTCCCATAGCTGCAGCTCTTTATTCGACACACTCACTTAAACGACTGATTCATATCACAAAATTTTAAAAGATAATATCTAATTCTACATGAATCAGACCTGTATAATGTACATCACATAATACCTGTTCTTAGATAACAAAATTGAATTAGAATGCTAGTGCAATAAGTGCACATATTTTGATAATTAAGCACTAACTGTGAGGAATGTAGCATTTTTTCAAACCTTCCAGAAAATAAAATTTGGGGTAAGCGGGCATATGCAAACGAAAAATAAAGTCAGTATTCGCCGTCCCAGAAGCCACAAAAAATAAATAAGTGAAAAAGTGTATATCAGGTACCTTGGCTCCTGAGCCTTGGCTGCTCCTAGGCTTAAAAATAATAGGTTTCTTTGTTTTTGTTAATGTAAAAGAGAGGAGGGAATGGAGTGAGTAATCCCATTTGTAAAACCGCAGATTTGCTCCGGAAAACTCGACTCGATAAAATAAAACCTGCCCCTAAGCATTCAAGCCCCGAAAATTCGGTCCGCGAGAATTTGATCTTCGCTGGAATACTTTCTCGTAGGTAAATTTTTCTGAGGAGTAAAAGTTTAGTAAAGTGAAACTAGAAAATTTGCACCCAAGAAAGCTCGCCTCGGAAAATTTGCTTCGGAAAATTAGTTTTGGGCCCGTGGTATTTTCCAAAATGCTCCATTGCAAAAGCTTACTCTATGGAAATTTGTACCGAAGAGAAAGTATGTTCTATGTATTGTTCTATGTTTAAATTAAAATCTTGTTTTTGAAACAGTTCTTGAGGTGTGCATACAACACCACTCACCGACCTTCAGATGTGTGATAAGCAATCGGAAGCGAATTTTATGTTAATTCTATCACAGAAGCAGAAGAGAGTTTTAGGATTTGAGTACATACAATTAGCTCCAAAGATAAAATTTCCTATACTAATTTATTGAGATTGTTTTAACGCACATTTTCCTTTAGAAGTTCCTGGGTAGCTAATACCTTACTGGGGGCAAATTTTCTATGGGAGAAAAAGGGACAAGTCATGGAAAAACCTAAAAATAAGTCAACCCATTCAAAACTATATACAAATTGATTTATTGAGGTAGAAGAAACGATATACCAAGCTACATAATTATTTTTTTATAGTACAAGAGGCCCATGTGGAATTGCGTTGATGGCCGCTGTGGCGCTGCGGTATTATAAGAGTCCCTGGTTCAAATCCGGGTTTGGGCATGAATATTTGCAAATGTATAGTCGTTTGGGTTGGTAGAGCAGCCCTTGGCCGAAACCCCGTCCACTTAAAAATAAAGACCAGAAATATGAGTAAATACAACGCAATTAGTGAAGCATTGATTTTATTGTCCATGTGAAACTGTTTGTAGAATTATTTCAAAATGAAAGGATTTTGGAAATGTACAAACTTTGGTACAAAGATTCTTTTAGAAAAAAAAAAAAGTTTATTACGACCCTCTAACATGCCACCCCGCAATTAACGACGTGGTTAGTTGGTTCAACTATGACTACACTTACGAATAGCGTGAACCCAATAGCTGTTCTTGTGGAAAATAGGGGCGAAAATATTGTAAGCTTTACAAGAGTACGAGTTGTAAAATCCATATTCCATAGAATTATTGAAAAGATGATCACACATTAATATGTTCTAAATCTAAACCAAAGAAAAAACACGTTTTAAAGGCTATTAAACACATACCAAAGGGTAACCATACTCTTTGCACATATACGTATGTACAATCACAGGCAAAATTAATGATCTCCCGGCTTCTCAACAATTTATATCTGAACTGAATTAGAACGAGAACACTAGATTTAGTTAGCGAAATTACTCACTTGGGTGCTACTTGTTCAATTTCCTGGGCCATTACAAACCACCAAAGCCCGATGTACTGTATGATTATAAAAATAAGAGAAGACAATCGTACTGTGCTTACATTAATAATAAAAAGAGCTAGGTAAGTGATTCAATAAAATGCTATTAGGTATACATAGCTCAACTCCCCACTCAATCACTACGAGTTGCTATGGTAACGTTGTCCGTTTTCTTCTATTGTTTAAACTGTCCTCCATTTTCATTAATACATTTTTAATAAGGCGTGAACCTAAGTACCTATCCACAAAACAGTTATAAATCTCGAGTTGTTCTCGGTGTGCCATTTTTCGAGTTCAGAAAGAAAACGCTGTTACAGGAATTTTCTACCCATAAAGATAACAAAACAATCGTAATTAAAAATCATGGGGCTCTTATCAATAGTTACGTTTATTAACTTAAAAATAGTAAATCTAGGTATTATTACACAGTTAAAGATCAGCGACCGTATCCTTAGATTGATTCTACCACTTCTTTGATTACGGGGACATCACGGCACATTCGATGACCTACTTTTTTGTACTTTTACTTGCCAACTAGCTCAGTAAAAATTATTTACAAATAGGACAGAATTCAATCGATGCCATTCTCACTGATATCCAAAATTTCAAAATTTGGAAAAAACTAACTCAAAATTTTGTACTCCAATATGTTTCGGAAGGTGTATGCAACTTCCATATAGACTTCTCTTTGAAATCTAAAACTTTCTTACTCCCTCCAAAAAGCTCATTAAAAGTGTATTACATTTATTATGCCTAAACAATGAGATAAATGAACAAATCCTTACAACCTCTAAAGTGAACAACAAAAAGTACACCTTACTGACAATATTCCTGCAAATCAAATATAACTGTCGCCTCGAAAGATTGACGGTCACAGCACACCTTGTGTCGATTTACAATCTTTGTTTTTATTAACATGTTAGCGACTTCTGGAATAGGAGCGTGCTAATGTTGAACAAAAAATCTTTTCGTTCAACATTGACACGATACTATCCCTGAAGTCTCTAGCACCTTACGAAAAACAGAGATTGTAGATCGGGATCAAGTATTCTGTGACCGGCAATCTTTCCTGGCGAGAGTTATATTAAATCTATCTTAGAAATTCATAGAAACAAATGAAATGACACAATCAAATTTAAAATTACGTTCGTTAATAGTTCGAATATAATAATTATTCGAAACCAAACGGAAAAGTCAATATTGACAGCGATTCCAGCAGGATGGAAATCTATCTTCTGCTATCAGGTTACCGTAGCACATCAACCACTTGAAAGCTGGGTTCAATGTATCTTACCAGATCCACAATTCATGTAGTACCTAAGTCGGGAAATTGCGATTTTGCATGCACCTCAAAATAGTTTTGATCTTCGTATCGAATATACCATCTCTTTCACAACAAGATGTGGGCTGATCAAAAAACACTGGCTAAAAAGACAAACGCGAGCTTCGGAAAACTTTCCTTTCTTTTTTATGATCAAATGGACGCAATTTTGCTTCCCGCTACACTTACTTACTAGCTTTTACGTTGAGACTATACGCTTTAATTCCCCAAAAACTAACAGAGGACCACCAGTGGCATCGAAATTGCTAATAGTAAAATACAGAATACCGAAATTATCATCGTCAATGGACCTTGTGTTGCATTACTTTATTAAATGTTATATGCCTACTAAATTAAACAAAAAAGACATCATTTCCAAACCATACATTTATCGACTGGGTTCATTTTACTTCCTTCTGGACAATTGAAATCATCAGCAAAATAATCCGTATTGGCTAGTGGGAAGTTAACTCTAACATTGCCAGGTGAATGCGGGTCTTTGTGAAAAAGGTACTCGGCGTGCTCCACGCGACCTTTTGAACACCCTTGAGAAGTAGCAGCAGAAATCCAAAATAACTGACTATCGGTATAATTTAAGATTGGTAGTCTTTGCTCTTCTCCATTTCGTTTAACCCATCTCTTATACGCTAAGTAAGCCACCCTGAAACCACCGTTATCGGCTATATTTTCCGCCAACGTTTGAACACCGTTCAACTGAAAATTTTGGATTAGTGACAAATTTAGACAAAAAAGTAACAATTTAGTTAGTGTTTGTTGTAGATTTTTTCACAAAAGTCACAAATTCAACACTTACATTTACTTTGAGTTCGGGGATGGTGTACTTCTCATATTGATTAACGAGGCATGTTTTCTTCAGCTCCAATGCCTCCATTGCTGATGATGACCACGAATACGAACGTTTTCCGTCTTTATCATACTTCACACCTTTACTATCAAACGCGTGAATAATTTCATGACCAATAATAGTGCCAATGCCGCCATAATTCATAAACTGCGGCCTATCAATGCTGAAGTAAGCTCCTTGCAATATTCCGGCAGGAATTTCTGCTTTAGATCAGCTATCAATCTAACCACAAATATTACTCACCAGACAAACTTACGTATACTGTTTTCTTTAACTCTATAAAATGCGTTGACCACTGCCGAATCTGCGTGAGTGGTCCAGTCGGTTTTGTTTATTGGGAGCCTTAAACTTTTGGCCGAGCATTCACGTCCAAATAATTTCAGACGAAACCGCATATCCAGGTAATTTTCCGACGTAAAATTAAGCTAACATTGAATGTAAGGTTACGAGAATATCGTCGTTTGCTTACCCCTTCGTAATATGCTTCTAAATTTTTATTCAGCAGTATCTCATCGGGATATGCAACATGTGACACCATAGCTAAGGTTTTCTCTAGGGCGAGGTTTTTGGTTGTGTTATCTAACCAATCGACCCGTTTCAAGATATTAACAAATTCGCCTTTAATGTCAGAAACCATTTCCATAGCTTGTCGTTTTGTCTCTAATCGAAAATATCTTCGAACATACAAAGCACCGGTAGCAAGGGGCATACTGCTTGTATTTCATTATATAACTTAATCTTCGATACTTTATACTAACCCTTGTGCGACTACATCGACGCATTGCTTCCATCTGGGCTGTCTTCGCACTCGCCCACTCAACAATGAGGTATAATTCAGCTCGCGTTCTCGCAAGTGTTTCGTAAGGTGAGGTACCACCATTGTAGAAACTATCTTCCACATAAAGTAGTTTACTTGTGTTCTGCAATGTAAATGTTCAATTCTTTTCATTAGTAACATTTGTAGTGATACCTTTTGGATGTAATCTTCAGCAGTTTTTCTACTTCCAAAATATAGGCGGGACAAACATAGACCATATTAATACGTGTATCAGGTAAGTTAAATGCGTGGTTAAAGTATTTTAACCAAGGAATACCTGGGAACTTGTGTTGAAGTTTAGACACAGACATGAGAGTGAGGACTGTGCACTTTATGTTTTTTTTAATCTAAACATAATAGTAAAAGTGATCGTTTAACACAATCGAAAATAAACGTTACATAATGCAATTTTTCTGCCAATCTAAACACTTTAACGAATTCCTTCTCGGCCACTACTTTGCTAGCACCAAAGATAACAGCAATATCGACCATGTAACTAGAAAGATGTTCCAGATACTTTTCGATCATACTGTACGGGTAGGGTGAAAAAAAAATTGAACTCGCATGTGACACCTGCAGCACACGGTGAGCTAAACGACAATGTCCCTTCCCCTAACCTATACTTACATAGATAACGTTCCTTGAAGTATTCCTGTGGTCCAGTTGAACCTCAAAATTTAAAAATACACACAATGATTGACTATCAAATTTTTCTCGATCTAATTTTGGCCCCCCAAGCAAAGGCCATCCGCCAAATTCCTTCAAAAGTGATTTGGCGGTCGTCAATCCGTCTAACTCGATCGCGGTCACGTTCATGCATGCCGCGTATAACTGTTTCGCTAGGAAGAAAGGTTTAGGTTCACTTGGATTAATATTTTCTTCTAGTGTATATCGTAAATGTGTTTGAAGTAATTCATTTACTTTATTCATTGTTCCAATCGAATGTTGATCATCTGGTATATTAGTCGTTTTCAGATAATTGCCGCATACAAACTCATGAAAATCATCGCATGGATCTACGCTTGGGTCCATATTATTCAAAATACTGGAAGATGCGCAAAGACAGGCAGGTGTAGTACACACATTTCTTAAGGAATCCAAATTGAGAATTGGTTGACTACTGGCCATCACTTCAGCGTGGATTGCGCCTATTTCTTACTGTCTTAGTCAAGTTGCCAAATTTTAAAGTGAAACTTACCATCTGTTTTGATATAGAGTGCAATTACCACAGATATTAATGATAAACGAGTCATATAGCAGATTACTGTAGACACTAGTATCGGGCACCTCTTCATGGTTGTTGGTCTATTCCTGCATGATGGGTTCCTAAAACAAGATGAAACCTGTTTAAACAATAAAACTATATGAAAATATCTGTTTGATGTGGAGTAACAGCACAGAAATACTTACTGCACGTAGTTTCTTCAACAGCTGAATTTATTATAAAACCAATACTTACACTATACTATAAAGCAACTTATAAGAATAAGAATAATCTGCTTGGCTTTCTTGTAGTGATATTTAAACTCGGTAATTAAATTTCCCTTTCCCTACCGGCTTATGGTTGCCATGTCAACCTTAATTTTCTTTTGAATCGAACTTTTTCGAGGGACAGCAGAAGGCATCTTCCCCAAAAAAGTGGACCCTCCTTGTTTTCAACCAAACTAAGAGCAGCTTATAAGTAAAATTAATGTTTAGTTTGAAACCTTGCATATAAAATTATAGTTATTATATTATATATTATAGTTAGAAATTTTAGTTAAACTAAGGTCCTATATTGGGGTCATAGGGCACCTCCGATATGTTTATCCATTGTGGTTGTTATTCATCTATTGCTTTTGTATATATTAAGTATTTTTCCATGACGAATTACTCACATATAGCTTTAGTGGAATTCAAACGCTTCCACAGATCCAAATGGTGCGTTCAGGCGGTAATTATTGAACATAAAGCACTTCACAATTGCTTGATCTATATTCCACTATAATAAAGATAACAGAACAATAATGCTACAGTAATTTTTAAGTAGTAAAATTAATTTAGACTAGTAAATTGTACTTGAAAAAAGTCCATGGCAGCTGATAATATGTGTCCATTTAAGCTTCTTCTGTAAAAAAAAGCTCACTCCGGCAAAATATGAAAAGATATTTTATTAGCACATCTTCCTCCTCTTTCGCCTTCGTATGAGTTTTCTTGTAGGTTAGTAATCCGGTTATTTTGATATCAGTACTATATATGGCATGCAGAAGTGCAGACGTTCTCTTTTGAGCCATAAACAAATAGTCATTTGGACTTGATATTACACCAAATCTTTATCCATATTTAGTTTAGTCACATGAAACCTATTTCGTAACAAAATTGTGCCAGTGTTTTTATTAAAGAAAATTTGTTAATAATTGCAATATTCAAGAGGTTATGGGCCCAGGAACAGGGAAGAAGTGACATTGAACTATGCGCAACCAGACCAAATTTGTCGACTGACAATCGTACGGACAGTCATCGACACACGAAAATTATCGTACATGGAGTTTATCAAAGGCGATTTTAAACTTGAATTACCTATGGGATTTATCAAAGGCGATTTTAAACTTGAATTACCTATGGGATCAGGGAGGAGGTAGACGATATGAGAAAATATTTAAATGATCTGTTTACAACGTGGCAGAAGCTCAAGGAACTGTCGCTGGAGATCAGGAATTATTTCCTTAACCCGTATTACTGAGTCTCCCACCAAGTTTCGAGGTATTTTGCACCACGATGGAGACTCACTGCCTTGCCGACCCACGAGGAACTGAAAATCAAGATAATTGAGTGTCGAGAGTCAAGAAAGCAAAGAAGAGTTCAGGCTACAGACCTTTGAACACTTGCAAACCTTGATGCTTCCTCCTCAAAAGTGCCTAGTAGTCACTTTAGTATGAGAGAAACACGAGATTTAGCGAAATTTATTACCGTTCGGTGACATTACATAATTTATGTTGCCTCTTTGTTCGTCGTGTATTGTTGTTCTCCCTTCAATGAATTACTTGACATAACGTCTTCACCATAAAAACTGTGCTGTCGTTACACTGACCCAAATTCCCCGCAACTTCCAGACTTTTCTATCGTTTTTTGCCGAGTTAACTACATTTTCATCATTTATTCATTATGAAAAGCGTCTTTCAGAAATTCTCTCCCTCTTTCCCCTAACGATCTGCACTTTCCTATTCTTGCTCCTCTTATGTTTTTTTAAGAGCGCTATATAGCACGTGACTAAATGGTATGCAACAGCAGCACTCTCCCTCGCAAGAAAGACATGCGCCAATGATGACCACTTTTCCGCGAGGGCTTTATCTTAGTTATAACCTTGCTACCATTTATTGATTGATAATTTACCTTGTTTTGATGAAAATGAAAATCGCAATCAGAAAACTGTCACGAAAAAACATAACAGTGAAATTAAAATTGGTTAGCTCCTCTACTTTTACGTTGGTTTACTTAAAAGATCTCTTTTCGCTATCAGGGGTAGGTATAATTCATAAAAAAGGGCTCTTTTAAACTTGTACTGTTCAAGATAATAACAACCACAGAAATAGTTAACTTTCGATATATTGGCAAATATTAGGACAATTCAATATGCACCTCCTTATATACAGTAATATACAGGGTGCTATTATGTATGGAATATAGTATATGTTTCGGTAAATATCGACTGTATACAAAATTTTTCTATATGAAAATTACCGAACAGCGCTAAACTGTTCGCATTGACTCTCAAAAGCGACTTCCTAGCATCACGGCTCGGACCAGAATGTGTTCGCACCACGATTCAAAAACAGAACCTTCCTGGTTGAACGATCAAACGCGAATCCTCAGATATGAAACCTTACATTACCTTTTTTTATCACGTAAAACGATACTATTTGCCGACAGATTAAAAAAAAGGCGTCTCTCATAGACTTGACAAAGATCACAAATTGAGCTCGACGGATTCCAATCGACAAAACAAAAACTTGAACGTGACCTAATGAATATTTGTTTGGTGGAACATGTATGACTGAAACTTTGACTGCATTTAACCTTTTTTTTCTTCCGCATGTTTTAATGGAATAAAAAACGCAAAAAATGTACTAGTTACAACTTGGCATTTAGTTTTTGTTGCCTTCGTTAGGGGGCACCAGGTCACAGTCGTTTGAAAGGAAATTTTTTTTTCATTTTAATGAAAATACTGCCTAGAAGTTATTGTTTTGTAGACTAAAATCTCTAACAGTTGTTTACATAAAAGACAGGAAAATGACACATTACTGGCGAGGAAATATTAATTTCCGAGTCAAGTAATGTCATTTGCCTAGACACCGACCTTCAATGCCGAACATTCGTTGATTAAAAGTCGGATAAGCTCTTAGAACAGACCTCCTGCTTCTTCATTTTAACGCATAAATAATATAAACTTGCAAGTTTCTTCCAGAGACTTGTTACAAGTCTCTGGTTCCTTCGTGTTAAAGAAAGTAACCAAGTTATCAAATGGCTACCGGAATAGCATTTGCATCATGTTGTTAGTTCAATTAACAACCAGATTTAAATTACCTAGATAATCCATTATTTACCAAATCCTTTTGCATCTCATTTTGGATCCAGTCGAAACCTTCGAGATAAACCCATTTGGCTAATGCATTCGCACAAAAATTATATAAAATTGTACTAGAAATACTTACAGTAGCATTCCAGTTGAATAATTTAGCACAATTTTAATAATCCACTTTTGCATAAAACTATTTTAATAGTTAATCATTTCCTTATTCGCTCTTTTACTGAAAGAAAGCAAAGAACATAATTATATATAAAGAAACTTCCAAACCGCGCATTTTTTAAAGGGGTTCATTTCGCTTCCTATACGGCAATTAAAATCTTTAGCAAAATAATCCGTATTACTTAGAGCTACATTTATTCTAAAGTTGGTGGGAGGATACCGACTGATCTGAATTAGCTCCTTCCTCGGTAACACCTTTTCGCAAAAAGCATTCGCAGCCGAAATCCAAAATAATTGCCTATCGGTGTAGTTGAGATTGGGAAGAAGTGGTTCCTTTCCATTGCGCCGAACCCATTCATTGTATGCTAAATATGCGTTTCTCACACCACCGTTATCTGCTATATTTTCTGGTTGCGTTAGAGACCCGTTTAGCTAGAACAGTTGAAAATAAAAACTAGTTGTCAGGTAAACTCCTGGCTTGACTTTCCGACTACTTATAAAATAGGAATAATGGATTTATTGTGAACTCAACGCAAAAGTTCGACAACTTTACAACCTTTTAAATCTAATTGATCTAGTAACATTTCAAAATTTGCTTTCTTAATTAGATGAAAAAGTTGTCGATTTAAATTTAAACCAAAGCTAAACTGTTCGCCTTGAGTCCCAAAAGCGACTTCGTAGCACCAAGGCTCGGACCAGAATGTGTTCGCACCACGACTCAAAATCAGAACCTTCCTGGTTGACCGACCAAACGCGAATCCTCAATTTTGTCTAAAGCTCATCCCCTCTTTCTATATTAAACTGACTTAAAACGCCCATTTCATGGCGGAAAAACAACGGCGGAGATACTACGTTATTTTTTTTATTTGCATTGGTTCCCCAAATCGAAGGTCGTTTGTAAAAATACCGATGCAGCAGAAATTTACTTTCCTTAGAGGAACCCAACTGGCAGCGTCAAATATGAAACCTTATATTACCTCTTTTTATCACGTAAAATGATACCAGACCCGTTTAGCTAGAACAGTTGAAAATAAAAACTAGTTGTCAAGTAAATTCCTGGCTTGACTGTCCGACTACTTATAACATAGGCATAGTGGATTTAGAAAATGCCCTCTGGCACCTTTATTTTAAACCCAACGCAAAAGTTTATCAGATTTTTCAGAAGTTATTTCGCGCATTTGACTGATATTTTGACTCGGCTTCACCTCGTCAAAATACCTTCAGTCGCAATGCGCGAAATTGAACTTCGCGCTCTTGTTATATAAATAACTATTTTGTAGAGTTTTTAAGCCACTGTGGCAAGTGTATGCGAAAAAATGAAAGCCGTCGCGTCAGGGCTTTTTTAAACTTGACATCCTCAACAACTATGAATGGTTAAGGATCAAACCGAATACCAGTCTATATGCACCCCAAATTCGGTTCAGGCGTTGTTTAGTTATCGTGTTCACGTCAAGCTAAAAATCACTTGTTTGGGGTCTGTTCAAAGGTCCATAAAACGCAATATTGCATTGGCATATCGAAAATGTATCACGATACTTTCCTTTATATGTAGTCGGAAAGCAAAAAGACGTAGCTTTCTTGTCAACATACATTTAATCCGAATTCCGGTACGGAAACGTTTCCATACTGATCAATTAAGCACTGGGCCTTTCTTATAAACTTTGTATTTGCGGAAGGTGCCCACCAATCTTTCAAACTTCCAAATTTGTCATACAGTCGGCCTGTATTGTCGAATCCGTGAGTAATTTCGTGTCCGATTATGAAACCTATTCCCCCGTAGTTCATATACCGTGGCCTATCGGTACTGAAAAAGACGCCTTGCAATATTGCGGCAGGCAGTTCTGTAAATTTAACATTTCAATGTTCATTACAGCACGCAGTTTAACTTACTTATTATGTTAGATTGTCTAACGTAGTGGCCATTCACATTAACGACGTTTCCGAATTCAAACCAATCGGGTTGCTTCACTGGCAGTACTAAACGTTTGGCTGCATCCTGATAATCATAGAGTGTAATGCTCAGTATGATTTTTAGGAAGTTGTCGGACATCACATGCAACTGAAAATGAATTAATAAAATGAAACACACACTCTAATGTCAACCCCTTCATAAATGTCTTTGAATATTTCGTCTGAGAGGAATTCGTCTGGATACGCAACGAAAGAGGACATAGCTGCGACTTTATCTAACGCATGTTGCTTTGTATCGTTATCCATCCAGTCGGCCGTTTTTATCGTGTTTGCAAATTGTTTTTTGATGTTGGAAACCATTTCCATAACGTCTTGCTTGGTTCCTTCGGTGAAATGTTTCCGAACATATAATGCACCGGTGACAATTGGCATGCTGATTGTAATTACGTCAAAGTGATGTACTTTTAAATATTGTCGCCACTAACCTTTTTGAAGTTAAACTGACGCATTTCTTCCACCTGAATGGACTCTTATCTAGTTGCACCTCCTCTGTAAGGAAAGGTATCGATGATTCGACAACTTTCCACATAAGATAGTTTGCCTGTATTCTGCAATAAGTAGAAATCATCAGTTGACATATAGATGTTGAAGATTATTAAACCTTTTTGGTGTATTAAAGAGCAGTGTCTCTAAATCTGAAAAGTAACTAGGAGCTACCCGCAATAACATTAGGGCAGGAGCTGGAAAAGTAACGTGGGGAAGGTTTAATACTGAATTCAAGTACTCCAACCAAGGAATACTAGGAACTGTTTGTTGTAATTCTGATATAGATATGAAACGGTTTGTATCTTCTCGAGGTTCACTTGCCATCTAAACGTATAATTAAAATTCAACCGATTCATTTAACACTGTAACGCTCTGCACATTACCATACTTAAATTGAGCTCGAAGTTTAATGTTTCATTAAGCTCCTTTTCGGCCACTCTTCTTTCAGCGCCTAAAGCAGTGGCAACGTTCACCATTTTATTTAGGTACGATTTGAGGTCACTCGGACGAGTTACATGTGCTGGCTCTATCTGAAGAACAGCTCAATACGTGAAAGTAACAGTATTATACTTACACAGAGCGTACGCTGTGAATAATACTCTATCTCTATCCATGGTTTAACGACAAAGAAATAATTATATTCGTACCCGAAATTACGAAACCTGTAAACGGACTGCTTCCAATCAAATCTTTCCTGATCCCACATCTGTCCTTTTAACACCGGCCATCCGCCTAGTTCTAGTAAAATTGATTTTATCGTCGTTAAGCCATCCCGCTCAATCGCAGTTGTATTCATGCATGCTTGATATACCTTCTTAAGAAGCCTGAACGGTCGTGGTTCTTGTGTTGTCACGTTCTCTTCCAGTGCTACTCTTAGCTGTTTGTCAACCAAATCTTCCGTTAATTTAACGGATGAAGTTCCATTCATTTCCTGTTTGATAAACTTGCCACATGCGAATTGATAAAAGTCATCGCATGGCTCAACACTTGCGTCCATATTGCTTAAAATATTCGAGGCTGCTTGAATACAGCCTGGAGTTAAGCATAAGTTTGATGTTTGGTTGGTAGCTATATCTGAAGCCACCAACGCAATATTTACAGCTACACTTAAAATTAGATATGTTCCCATACTCGTTCCTCTCTTTCACGGTGATCTATTGATAAAACGACACCAAAATTAGTTTTATCTGGAGGAACTTGTCAGAAGTACGCTATCATTGCATATTGTGCCTGCATTAGTCCAAGTATTTAATTATTCCGCACTCATGCATTTACTTTACACAATACTACTCAACGTACGATCAGCTAAACCAGAAAAATGATCAAACCATATATACAACATTTGAAAGATAATGAACGTACCTAAAATGTGTAAAGACTTTTGGCCCATCGTTTCACCTCCACTCTAAATCCCCACTGGCATGTTTTGGCACGTCATATATGTAGACAACCTTTACTCTCATCAACTTTTTTGAAATTTCTTTTTTTTTATTTTTCGAAAGTGAATCGTATTCCGATTAATATTATGAGCTTTTGGCTATATGAGGCTTTAAAGTTTAAAGCTGTATCCCAAATAAAAGAGCACTCATTTTAAGTGTTCTTCAACTATCTTTTAAAATCTTCTTTAGACTTAAACAGTTAAACAGGCCAATAGGAACAAACCTACAATGGATGTTATGGTGTTAGACCAGGACCACAAACTCGACTGGGCCGAGAGTAATCCAATTAATTCTGAATGCAAAGCAACATATGTAAGTGGATTTAAAATTTCTCATTCGCTCTAAACTACCATAATTAGGTATAGTATGTAGTGTATTAAAGAACTAAGGAATTACATAATTGGTATGGAAGGGTATGATGAAGGAATATCTCGATTTCTTTCAAAATATTATCGAGTAACTGGGAACAAATTCACTTTGGGTAGGTTGTATTACGAAAGTTCAATTGAGTATCCGAAGAAAGAAATTTAATTTGTTAAAATGTGTTGTTAGTAACTTTATAAGGTGGATAATTGTGGTAGAAATTGCCATACATACCTGACCAGAAATAGTTAGAAATGGTGTTTCCTATAAATACACTAAAAATAGTCAACTAATGGGTTAGGGTATTAATTTAAAGAGATTATGGCATGCAATGGCCTTTCTTTTTTCGCTTTCGTGTCGATCATGGTCGATTAAGTTCATTTTGAATCGTACCGTATCGTTTTCTCATTAAAGTTATAAGGTGAATATGTGAATATGTCAATGAAAGCCCATTTTAAGTTAATTAACCAGATAGGTGCTATAACTAGTTTATGTATATTTTATGGTCTCTCTCTCAGAAAATTATCCACAAATTAAAAGATACTATCATTTAAATTTTAATAATATTTAGAAAGGGTTGATTCCATTTTATTAAATTTATAAATTTTATAAAAAAAAATTGTGTTGGAAGTAGTGGGTACCAAAACCATTGGCATTGACATGAACTTCACTTTTGCTTTTGTCGTTGAAATGGCAGTTCTGATTTTTGCAAAAGAAGGTGATTTCTGAAGTGAAAAATTTCCACAGTCATATCAAACTAAAATTGTTTAAATCATTTATTGCAGCGTGTTTACGCGAATGAGGAGGGCTGTAATCCTCTTAAGGTAAAGTTCATTTCATATAATTCCCCGTTTTTGGTTATGTCATATGTGTTAATTTAATTGCCTTTGCTCTTTGTTTTATCTATATCGTAATCTGAAACCAAATTATTAATAGGGTACGTAAGTTCAAATTAATTGGAATTATGTTAGTGTTCACAAATTGTTATTGTTATTTTATTTTTATTTTACATTTTTATTTACTTTTTGCCCTGACTTGTAGGTACACGTCTGGCGCCCAAAATGATACGAGCTTGTCAAACTTTGGTAGTTGTTTCACCAGAAGACCCGTTTCCCTGGCTAGTCGTAGCCAACTCTCTTTTACTTCTCGAGGTTCGCTGCACACTGAAAATTAGCTCTTCCTTGAGTGATGATAAACGTAATACTGAAAACGGAACAGGAAAGTGCGAAACGGTTCGCGAGTTATCATGTACACAGAAAAGAAGAACTGATTAAATTGTCATTGACCCAGGAGATCGTTTGTTATATTTGTTACAATTTTATTACTCTTTACAAAAGGGGTAAAAAGTTTTAGGTTTTCACGATACATTAATTTGTGGAAGTTGCATAATAAAATTCTCCGGACATATTGGAGTATCAAATTGAGAATAGTATTTTTCAAAATTATTTACATTAATGAGATACTAGTGAAAGAGAAATGAATTGAATTCTTTCCTACTCTTAAAACTATCAGGGTTTGTTTTGACATATATACGATACCCCCAAATAGCTATTCCCTTACGTATGAGTACTCATGTGGACGTAATGTATTTTATGGACGGACTCTTTTGAGCCAGAGAAAGATAGTTATTTCGACTTGACGTTACACGACACTTTACCCCATACATATTTAGTTTAGTCACATGAAACCTTTTTCGTAACAAAATTGTGCCAGTGCTTTTAGTGAAGAAAATTTATTAAAAGGTTGTTAAGTGGATTTTGATCGTAGCTAGTAGGAACTCAATTTTGACCGCCATGAACGATAGATGTCAATGTTTATATTAGTATTCTTTCACTGTGCCGTGTATATTTAATCGCATACTGAATTATTGCAATATTCAAGAGGTTATGGGCCCAGGCAATTAGTGACATTAAACTATGGGACAGAAAGTCAACAAATTGTCAGTAAGGAATTATGCGACGAACTGGGATGGTTCACGCACAAGCGGTGAGCTTCAAAATTAAGGAATATTGACGGAATATTTATTAATTGGAGTTTAATTTAAAATAAATAAATAGATATACAAATTCTATTCATTAAACGCAGCAGTGGCGGTCGGTGACAACCTGATTTGTCGGCGGAAGACGGCGCAACGTCGGCAAGAAAAGGTAGAAACGGACGGATGGGCTCGGGCGCCACCAAGCGAAAAATTTCGCGCCTGGTCGAGGTCGGCGGTAGCAACGGTTTGGCGGGTCAGTCTCTGTAGCCTCCAAAGAATCGGCAGCCCGGATGGGTCCAGAAGATATAGGCGGCCATTTCGGCAAAAGTACCTGCGAAAATGCAAAAGCAGAAAGATCCAAATCCATAGTGCGTTTTCTACTTATCGAAACGTCATTTTTGGGGACTGGGAATCCCATTTCGTACGCGTATACCCTGGATAAGTTAAAAACCAAATTAAACTGTTTTTAAATAATTACCCCTTTCCTTTATTTCGGAAAAATATGCGACCGAAGTCAGACTTCAAGTTTTTTAAGCGCGCTTCTATTGAAATAAAGCCTAAGTCAATCGGACGGATTTCTAGCTGTAACTCGTTAAAATTATTTGCTACTAATTATACTCACTTGATTTGCCGGACGGAAGTTTCGGAAAAAGGAGTTCTAATTGATAGCATTGTCTCTTGGAAGTGTAATCGGCGAGGTCAAGATAGCAAGCTGCTATTTGCAAACACACAGTCTTCGAGTCCCAAATAGGTTTTCTATCCTGGTTATACTTGTAACATTGGAATCTAAAATCGGTTTTAATTGCCTCATGAAGCTGCAATCATAAGTATTAAATCGGTGTCATTTTCCCCATGCGAAGGCGTGTGGGATGCTACAAATTTGATTACAGTTTTTTTAGTAACGAAGCGCCCAACTCCTAACGCTTCTAGATACCAGGAGTTCAGTAAACCTGGTCGACCTCACAAATATACGACTTCCGGTATGAAACTTCAAAGCGAAAAATGGGTGCTCCGTTAAAATCATATTCTTATCTCGTTTTACTGAGTCGCCACCAAGCATTGAGCTATTTTGCACCATGATGGAGTCTCACGACACACTGACGGACAACGAACTAAGAATATAAATGTAATGGCCTACATTTTTATTAAAAAATTATATACCTACTTATTAAGTACCTTCTATAATGGGGAAGTATTTAAATTTGACAAAGTTAAAGGTTGAATTATTTAGAGCCATTTGCACCAACCAATTTAAGCGGAGCTTACCTATTGTAGCTTAAAATCCCTGGCAACCATTGTCGTAATAATTGTTACCATAGATTTTGAGCTACGCTTAAGGCAAGTCTCGCTTAAATTTGTCGGTGCAAACGGCCAGGCCATTAGTGTATTAATTATTAAAGTAGGTAAAATTATTCTAGTCTGGTAAGCAAGGACTGTGTCAAAGTTAGCCCTAAATAATAAGGGTTAGGTGCATTAAAAAGGTGGGGTGTGTGTGTAAAGAAGAGCAATCCGCGAGCACTCAGTGAAAGCGGAATAAACTAAATTCTTATTTAATTTTTACCCGAGCTAGCTGGAAGTAAAGTACCCAAAGTTAAGTTCGAAAGACACTTTAACATAACAAGGCAAAGAAATTATAAGAAGAATTGGTACTATGAATCCGAAAAAATCTTCCCATCTCTGCAAGGATACAAATACAAAAAAAAAAGAGTAGGAGTTTTGTAGTTTCATACCAATACAAATTTATACCGCTTTGAGGTAGTATTACCGAACCATTCTTTTCATTTGTAACAATCCATCACAAAGACCATCGAGTGTTGATATTCAAAGAGCACCGCACAAAAACAGAAATTCAGAATGCCAAGGTCGCAAAGAAGGGTTCCAAAAAACAATCGGAGGAAAGTGAAAGGACAAGAAGGAATTTCCTTACAAGTACCACCGAATGGTAAGAAAGGGCACATGGGCAAATTTTGTAACCAGAAAGAGAAGAAAAACAACTCAACCAAGCTGTCAATACACAAATTGCTTCTTCTGACAGAAACATCAAGCACGCCAAAATTCATTTTATTTGGAATAAAATTAGTCTGTGTTGTAGCACTTTAATAAAGTTTGTATGCCTACTAAATTGAACAAAAAAAAAACTTCATTTCCAAACCCTACATTTATCGACTGGGTTCATTTTACTTCCTTTGGGACAATTGAAATCATTAGCAAAATAATCCGTATTGGCTAGTGGGAAGTTAACTCTAACCTTCTTAGGTGGATGCGGGTCTGATGTGTAAAAATTGTACTCGGTGTACTCCACACGCTGTTTTGAACACCCTAGCGTAGTAGCAGCCGCAATCCAAAACATTTGACTACCGGTATAATTTAAGATGGGTAGTCTTGGGTCTTTTCCATTTCGTTTGACCCACCTCTTATATCCTAAATATGCCACTCTGAAACCACCGTTATCAGCTATATTTTCCCCCAACGTCTGAAGACCATTCAACTGAAAATTATGGATTAGTGACAAATCACGTACCAGAGTGCAAACGAATTTATTATTTCTAATATATTACTTGAATGTGTGTGTCTGTTGTCATAAAACAATCTGCGAAAAGTACCAGAAACCGTGAAACGACATATTTAGACAGAAATGTAACAATAATTGTTAGTCGGTTCATTACCATTTTTTGTTACAACTGTCAAAAAACCTGTCATTTTCTGACGGATTACGAAGCACCATATAACTACTTACCATTAAAAAAAATTAAAGTTTGTATTTTAACTTAAAAATTGTAAGATATAGAAGGAAATAGTATCTTCATCATGTTAAGTATTAAAATGTCTAAAACTTTTATCCGTGCCATTTTGTTGTATTTTAACAATAACGATTCTACAACAGTTAACTGCAAAATCACTAAATCTGTTTTTCCCTCATATCTACTAGTAAATTGTGGATTTAAAAAAATAAATAAAAACATATCTAAAATACGCTCTTAAAACGACAACTCTCCTCATTAAACCGAATCTGTATGTCTTATGGTTTCCGAGATCCCAATGCTTAAAAATGAAAAAAAAACTCACTCTGTATAAATTATATAACAAGAGCGCGACGGTCAATTTCGTGCATGGATACTGAAGGTTTTTTGACGAGGCGATTCCGAGTCAAAATATCGGTCAAATGCGCGAAATAACTTCCCGCTACTGTTATATAAAACATTTTTTCTACAACTGAGCTGTTTATTAATTAAAACAGGCACAAATTAAATTTTGGAAAATCCGATACTTACATTTACTTGGAGTTCGGGAATGGTGTAATTATCGTATTGGGAAATGAAGCATTTTCCCTTCTCGTTAAATTTCTGGATTGCTGATGATAATGACGACGAGTCCGAAAGTTTTCCGTCTTTATCATAGTTCATACCATTATTATCAAACGCGTGAGTAATTTCATGACCAATAATATAGCCAATACTGCCATAATTCATAAACTGCGGTCTATCAATGCTAAAGAAAGCTTCTTGTAATATTCCGGCAGGAAGTTCTATTTTAAAACGGTTACTAATCTGCCCACAAATATTACCAGACAAACTTACGTATACTATTTTCTTTAACTGTATAAAATGCGTTGACCACTGCCGATTCTGCGTGAGTGGTCCAGTCGGTTTTGTTTATTGGTAGCCTTAAACTTTTGGCCGAGCATTCACGTTCAAATAATTCCAGACGAGACCGCATATCCAGGTAATTTTCGGACGTAAAATTAAGCTAAATTTGAACATAAGGTTACCAGGCTACGCTCGTTTGCTTACCCCTTCGTAATATACTTCTAAGTTTTTATTCAGCAGTATCTCATCGGGATATGCAACATGTGATACCATAGCTAAGGTTTTCTCTAGGGCGAGGTTTTTGGTTGTGTTATCTAACCAATCGGCCTGTTTCAATATATTAATAAATTCACTTTTAATGTCAGAAACCATTTCCATAACATGTCGCTTTGTTTCTCTTCGAAAATATTTTCGAACATACAAAGCACCTGTAGCAACGGGCATACTGCTTGTATTTATATTATCACTTAATCTTTTATACTCTGTACTAACCTTTGTGCAACGACAGCTACGCATTGCTTCCATCTCGCCTGTCTTCGCAATTGCCCAGTCAACAATGAAATATAATTCAGCCGACGTTGTCGCAAGTCTTTCGTAAGGTGAGATGCCATTTTAAAAACTGTCATCCACATAAAATAGTTTGCTTGTGTTCTGCAATGTAAATGTTCAATTATTTTCATTAGTATCATTTGTAGTAATACCCTTTGGATGTACTCTTCAGCAGATTTTCTACTTCAAAAATATGGGCCGGGCAAATATTGACCATATTAATATCTTGTATGTCAGGGAAGTTAAATGCGAGGTTAAAGTATTTTAACCAAGGAATGGTAGGGAACGTGTTTTGAAGTTCAGACATAGATGTGAGAAAGCGGGCTCTGCAGTTTATGTATTTTTTAATCTAAACATTACGGTAAAAGCGATTGTTTAGCAGAATCGAAAATTAACATTACGTAATGCAATTTTTCTGCCAATCTAAACACATTTACGAATTCCTTCTCTGCGACTTCTTTGCTAGCGCCAAAGATAACAGCAATATCGACCATGAAACTATAAAGTTGTTCCAGATACTTTACGACCATATGGTAAGGGTAGGTTGAAAAAAAAATTGAACTCGCATGAAAGACCTGCAGTATACAGTGAACTTAATGCCTAATTTGTCTTGGCATAATCTATACTTACATAAATAACGTTCCGTGAAGTATTCCTGGAGCCAGGTCTAACCTTAAAATCGAAAAACACACGCAATGATCGCGTATCAAATTTTTCTCGATCTAATTTTTGCCCTCCAAGCAAAGGCCATCCTCCCAATTCCTTCAAAATGGATTTGGCAGTCGTCAATCCGTCTAACTCGATCGCGGTCTCGTTCATGCATACCCTGTATAATTTTTTAAGTAGTGCGAAAGGTTTAGGTTCACTAGGATTGACATTTCCTTTTAGTGTTTGTCGTAAATGTATTTGAAGCAGTTCCCTTAATTTCTGTAATCCTCCAACCGTCTCTTCATCATCTGGTATATTAGTCATTTTCCTATAATTTCCGCATACAAACTGATGAAAGTCATCGCATGGATCTACGCTGGGATCCATATTATTCAAAATACTAGAAGATGCGCAAATACAGGCAGGTGTAATACACACATTTCGTAATGAACCCAATTTGGGAATTGGTCGACTACTGACCAACGCTTCAGCGTGGATAGCGCCTGTTTCTCACTGTCTTAGTCAATTTGCCAAACTTTGAGGTGAGACTTACCGTTTGATATGCCATCTGTTTTTATGTGTAATACAAGTACCAGAGCTATTAATGATAAACGAGTCACATAGTAGATTAATGTAGACACTAGTATCATCAGGCTTCTCTCCATGGTTGTTCGTCTATTCCTGCATGATGGGTCCCTAAAACAAGATGATACCGGCATATACAATAAAACTATATGATGGTATTATAAATATCACCCTTATGTTTGCTGTAGAGTTGTTACAAAAACGTAAAACAACTAATAAAATTCAGACAATGGGGTAGTTTATTTTAACAGCACAGCATTCATTAAGCAATGAATTATATTTATCGTTACATACTGGCACGTAGTTTCTGTAACAGCTGAATTTATTCTAAAACCGGCACTACCTAATAATAATGATGAAAGTAATGTGATTGTTGTACTGATAGTTAAACTCGGTAATTAAATTTCCCTTTCCCTACCGGCTTATGGTTGCCATGTCAACCTTAATTTTCTCTTGTATCGAACTTGTAACTTTTTGGAGGGACTAACATCTTCCCCCCAAAAAAGAATTAGCTATCCTAGGTTTCATCTAAACTTAATCTAGCTTAATTAGAAGTATGAGCTGAATTTTTATAGGAAATAAGATTTTTTATGTTGGAACTATAGGGCACATTTGATATGTTTGTCCATAATTGTGGTTATTTATCTTTAGTTTTGTATGTATTAAATATTTTTTTTTGACGAATTACTCACATATACCCCTAGTGGATTTCAAACGCTTCAACAGGCCCAAATGGTGCGTTCAATCAACAATTAATGGGAGAACGTAACGAACTTCACAGTTGATTGATCTATAATATTTCACTATAAAGATAACAAAACAATAATGCTACAGTATTTACCATTAAGTCTTTTGAAGCAGTAAAATCACTTTAGATTAGTGAATTGTATTGGACCATAAACATTAACAGAAAAGACTATGACATAGCTGATAGATAGCCATCATAATGATGATCGTGATTATTAGCACACTCTTTTCCTTTGCCGAAGAAATTCTTTTACGTATGAGTACTCATGTGGATGTATTGTACCTACTTTATGGCATGTACACGGACTCTTTTGAGCCAAGATAGATTGGACTTGACGTTACACGACACTTTACCCCATATTTAGTTTAGTCACATGAAACCTTTTTTATAACATCATTATGCCAGTGGTTTTAGTGAAGTGTTAAAAGGTTGATAAGTGGATTTTGACCGCCATGAAGAATAGATGCCAATGTTTACATTATTAGTATCTAATTAAACATGTTCATTCACTGTGTCGTGTATATTATTAATCACACATTGGATTACTGCAATATTCAAGAGATTATGGACTCAGGGAATTAATGACATAAAACGACGACTAGACGAACGTGCGTGGGAACATTTTTCGAGAAGAAAGATGACATCGTACGGACCAGCGAAGGTCGAGCCATTGACACAAAAATTATCGTTCATGGTTTCGTCAAATGAAGACGATCTTAAACTAGAATGGCGTATGGGATGAGGAATCATGTGAAACAAAGAAGCCAGAACTACAAATCGGATGGCAAGGTCAATGGTTTGGCTGAAAGAAAAACGTGGTTGAAACAGGATGGAAATGCACAATCCTTGATGACGTTTGCGAGTGCTGCCCACACAGCAGACCTATATAGATTGCATATACCATGTACATACATTCCACGTGGGATATTGTATATCCATAGAATGTGGAAAAGTATGTCGCAAATGTCCAATGTATGTGCATGGGATATAAGTTTGGCAGACTTCACATAATACATAGTATATACGTTTTGGATGTCTTATGTATATGCATGTATATACATCAGACATGCTATGTATATTGGTATACTGACAACTGGATATACCATGAATATTCCTGTAATATGCAAAAGATGTTCAATAGGATATTCTATGTATGTTGTATATATTCAGAATGGATATTCTATAGAGATTCCTCTAACATTCGGGAAGTTTACTAGCATCTATACCTACATAAATAAATTCCTTTCACGGAGTGGAGCTTTTTGTTTAGTAAGTCTCCTAGTATACAATGGAATATTGTTTTATTTAACATTGATTGATTGATTTATTTAATATTGAGTCATTTTGATCGTGTTCTTGCTCAACACTATAATAGCGCGAGTTCATAACAAATAGGTTGCTAACATACCTGCCATTCTTGTCCTTATATTAATTCCCATCCAGTCTTTACGTATTACTAACACATATTTGCAACGTTAGGTCATGAACTGTATTTGCATTAGCACCTTACTATCTCCATCGCCGTAATTCACAGAAAATGAGACGCTAACGTTTGTAAGGTCGGTAATGCAGAAAACGCATGTATCAAATCCAGAACGTATATCCATAACATATAATTCCATGTATATGCATAGCACATCCAGAATGTATGTTTATAGAATATCCATACTGGACATAAAACACATATGTCTATAATGAATATACATAGTATATACATAAGATGTACAGGATATTCCCTGTACATTATGGATTTAAAATGTATATACATAAGATATCGAATGGTATGTGGGTGGTGAGCAAATTGAGTTAACCAATGAATGTTAGACACCTTAAGAAGTGTGGAAGAACCTTCGGAGGATTCACGTCACACAAGGACAGACAAAACATTCTAATGATTTACGCCGGGGCAGAAAGTCAAGGAATTGTCAGTAAGGAATTTTGCGACGAACTGCGGTGGTTCACGCGCAAGCGGCGAGCTTTAAATTTAAGGAATATTAAGGGAATATTTATTAACTGAAGTTTAATTTAAAAAATATTATATACGTTTTCCACCCCGAAGGGAGGAAAACGAGTATTTCGGGTCTTGCTGAAGGCTTGACCTCTCGGAGATTACACTCTTCTTCGTTCACGTTTAGCACCCCTCGTGTTGCGTCGTTTAACTTCGTAAACGCCTGGCGAAAACGGCCGGCTAGTAACCCTAAATATTTATTTAGTACCTATCTGAGGAGAACCAAGGTAGTCAAGGGTTTTCCAGGTCAAGCCTTCAGCAAGACCTGAAATACTCGTTTTCCTCCCTTCGGGGTAGAAAACGTATATATTTCAGGGTCCGTGCCTACGGCTTGACCTCTCGGAGAGGTGTTCGTAATCTGCCGGCCCGATAGCATACTGTGAAAAGATAAACGGAGAGAAAGGTTACTTAATATTCATTTTACTCCTTGTTAATAAAAAACGTAATGATGAAAAAAAAGTAAAATCAAAATTTTTGTTGACTTCATAAAAAAAATAATGAAATTTTATTAACTAAAGTACACTTTAACTCAGGGATGCATGCTTAGTGCATAGAGAATGCCTTTCCCTATTACATTTTTTTTATGTTAAAAATTCACTTTCTTTCTGTCTCTTTTCTCCTCTTGTTTTTTCTTGTAGATATCCTTAAAAAAATTTTTTTTGTTTATATTACTCTCATGTAGTGAATGCACCTGTATAACATGATGTATGGGAATAAAGTCAATTAATATTATATTATTATTATAAATAAACAAACACGTAAACAAAATTCCAATTAGTTTCTTATAATAACAATCGATTCAGCTCATCGTGGGACAGTGAATCCGTGTAAATAAATTCGCACTAATCATTTTGTAGATTACTAAGTCCTTCATCTAGGTCAGTTGATAAACCAAACGAATCGTTTTACTGTAACTTTCTATAGTGCAAAATTTACAGATAGCCTTAACATAGGTATATAATTTTTTTTGTAAGGGTAGCCGCTGAACTTTTCGTGGAGGCCCTGGTTTTCCGTTCCTTTACCACACTTTACAGTCATTTATTTATCTCACCCACTTTTTCTCCGACTGTGCACACTGATACCTAGTAAAGTATATGAATTTCGTAGCTAATGCAGCATGAAGATGGCTAAATCACTAATAAATACTTCAAAAGAACAATATTTCACCGCTCATTAACTGCCATTTAGGTGCGTTAGCGGATCGTTTCAGATTAATTTTACAATCTGTTAATAGAACGAAATGTTTTAAACCTTTTCAACCGTACGATAGACGAACAAACAGCTCATAACTCAAGGGCAGGTTAATTCGTTTTTTTTTATTATGGAATTTTGATCGTTCACTTAAACTGACACTATGAAAGAGTGTTGATTATTTTCCATTTGTTCACTTTAAAAAACCTTGGTATTTCGACAATGACCTTTGAAGTTCACAATATTTCAAAGTAAGTTTACCTTTAAAATTTTGTGTTCAAATTTGGTTTTTCGATATTTAAAACTGGACGAAAAGTATATCAAATCGGCGAGGGTTGCGTCTTCTTCTGTGTAGTTTTTGATTTATACAATGATAGTAGGTATAACGGGGTGGATACATTTCTTTTATTTGTGCTTTGTTGGCTACTGCATAATAGTTATAAATGCGGTGATACCTTTTTGGGGGAATGTCTTCCTCTATGCCTCGTCGCTTGCATTAGTGCTCTGAAACAATTTTAGTAATAACCTAAGTAATCGGCCCAAAATACCCCGAACTAACGAGCTACGGATTTTCAGTGATACTTTTTCAGAAACTTATCCTCGAGAAAAAGCACGGTAAAATGTCAAACAGTGCGTTTAACTCTATATTTTCTTATAACTGTTACCTTAATAATAACATTGTTGATTGCATTCTATAAAGGAAATCTCAACAAGTCGAAAGGTACCTTTCAATTTAAGTTTCACATAAAGGAATAACGCATATTTTCCAGACCTTTTCCACAGTGAAGCCCTACAAATTTCTGAGAGTTCTGCACAACATATGTGTTCAACCCCTAACTGCCTGAAAGCAGCTTCGAGGATTTTGAACAGCATAGACTCGAGTGTTGATCCATGCGATAACTTTTATCAATTCTCATGCGGTAATTTTCTCAAGCAGGATACAATGCTAGGAGCCAAAGAATCGGTTTCGTCTTCTTCAATTGCATTTCATATGCTCAAGGAGCGGTTAAGACGGATTATGGAAGAACCAATCCCTCCAAATGAACCTAAATCGTTTCTACTGCTTAAACAAATGTATAAATCGTGCATAAATACAACAGCAATAGAACGCGATGGGTTGACGACCATCAAATCGATTTTACGCGATGTTGGAGGTTGGCCTGTGTTGGAAGGTCAAAATTGGAACTCGGAGGATTTTAATTGGACTCGATCAATTTATAAGCTTAAAAAATACGGGTACACCTCCAACTATTTTATTAGTGTCAGTGTTAAACCCACCCCTACGGATAACCCCCATTATGTTCTTTACGTAAGTGTAACATCGTTAGGTTCAGTTCTTCTATTCGCATTGCAGGTTTCGCAACCAGATTTGCCGCTCATGGAAAAACTATTTAATACGAACATTTCAATGCCTCTTCATTCTCGCCTTGAATACATGGTGGATGTCGCCGTTATCTTTGGGGCCAACAGGGAGGTGGCCAAACAAGAACTTAGTGAATCATTAGAATTTGAATACAACTTAACGATGGTAAAGCCAATTGAAATTCAACAAATTACGTTATTATTTTCAGGTTGAAAACACGGATCACGACTGGATGCTAATGGTATCCCAACTCCAGACGCAGGTCTCCAGTATCACTTGGTTAGAGTACTTCAACTCGATATTTAACCATACCGGCGTTACGATTAAGAACTTTGACTTCGTCATAGTTACAAACAGCTACATTTGGAACTTCGAGAAATTACTCTTGAACACGCCTAAAAGGTAACAGAGGTGCTAGTGAACCGCAGTGAATCTTTGTACTGCAGGATACTAGCGAATTACCTGATGTGGAGAGTAGTGGCTGCATCAATACCATACCTAACGGACGAGTTGCGGCAACTTGAACTGGAATATAACAAAATTTATAGCGAGACGCGATGGAAAAAGTGCGTCATTAAAGCTTCTGAAAGGTTCGTACTAATTGTAAGCCAATTGGGGTTAAAGTAATTCCCTTAAGTTTTCAAAGTGTCACTGCGGCTTTGTACTCTCGGAGATATTTTCGCGGAATTGCCAAACAAAACGTGAAAGACTTGGTTTCAAATGTTGGAAAGGAATTTATTGCCCTACTGAAAAGGGCCAATTGGACCGTTAACAATACCATAGAGCACGCGTTGGAAGAAGCCGCTGCTGTGACATCCCACTTTGGATACCCAGAAAACTTTCTTTCGGATGAGAAATTAGACGAGCTTTACAAAGGAGTGAGCAGAATAGTGCCGTTAATATTCATTAATTGCAATTTTAGCTTAACTTCACTTCCGATAATTACCTAAAAATGATTTTGCGCCTTAATCTGCACACATTCGAGCGTTCCGCCAAACGCTTAAGGCAAGCAGTAGGCAAACGGAGATGGATTACTCCCTCTCTTAGTAGCGAAAAAGGTAACGGACCATTTTCTAATGTTCCCCATATGTATTTTCATTATTTGGTAGAGTTACCTGTCGGAATATTGCAAGGTGCATTTCTCAGCGGCGATGGACCACAAAGTATCAACTATGGTGCAATTAGTTATTTAATTGGTCACGATATTACTCGAGGATATGACAGTGAAGATCGAGAATTGGACAGAGGTCTTTACATCGTGGATTGGTGGGCACCGACAGCAGAGGAGTTGGTCACCCAGAGAGTCCAATGTATAATTGATCAATATGCTAATTCTTCCATGCCCAAATTCGTAAGTTATATGCTGGCATCCTCTTCCTCAGATGAAAACTGTTCTAGATGGACGCGATACTACTTCAAGCTTATGACGTAGTAGATCACGTGGCTTATATGGCGTATCAAAAGTGGGTTAGAAAAAATGGCATAGACCAAGGACTTCTAGGTTTAAATTATACTGGCAATCAGCTATTTTGGATTTCTGCCGCTAACGTTTGGTGCACAAGGACGGGGTGTGCAGATGACACGGATTCGTATTCATTGCCAAAGCTTATGGTTAATCTGCCACTCAGCGGTTCTGATGGTTTTGCCAAGGACTTCAGTTGTGCTAAGGGAAGCAAAATGAACCCTGCTGATAAATGTAACGTCTGGAAGTGAATGTTTTTGCAGCCATATACGTATAATTAGAATTTGAGCGGTTTTTGCTTTAGACGTTTAGTCAAAAATTATACATATATACATCACGCAATGGCATGGAGTTTGGATAAACTATATACTTTGGGTCAGGTTATGTTTGACCATGATTTACAATCTAAATGCGTGGAAATTCTATAAATGAATGGGAATTGGGATGAAAAAGTAGAGGCAGTACATTTTCTGTAGTGTCTTGCCGATAATGACAAGCAGTATTGCCAGTACATATCATAATGCACCGTAATCCGCCATGAGCTCGAAAATTTTGAGGAAAATCGAATTGGATTGAAATTGTGTTGCTCGCACCATTTCCTTTAAAAACATTGTAACTAAAATTGGATTCAGGTTGAACCAGATCATTCCCAAGCGTGGAAAGGAGAACCTGTGTCTATACTACAGAGTGAGCAACAAAGATTGAAGCGTGCCGCTTCAGCTAAATTGGCAATGTGCCGCTCATAGCATATGCTGATTTGATACAAGATACGAAATACGAATAGACGCACGTCACTGTGACAGCGCAGAACGTCATTTTCGTATACAACTACATACAAAGAAGGTAGTTTTGATATTAATAGGAACAAGCGGTGATGACGCACGCTTCAATCATTGTTGCTCACACTGTATAAACTCGTATTGTTCCGTTAATTACTAAGTTTTTTAAGCTACTCTACATATGTAAATAACCAAATCGGAGTAGCCAATTTCTAGATCATATCCACTCTCTTGTTCTAGGCCTTTTTCAAAACTATTTGTCAGTCTTTGAGCTTCTTGATTTTTGAGGAGATTTTTAAGCATCATCGCTGGAAAGAATCCAGAATATTCTGCATAGCTTTGAGAGGAACATTTTAGCGGTTTGCAGAGCAGTCCCAGAACCTTATACATACGTTCTTTAGTTATCTAAATAGATGTCCTCTCTAAAGATTTGTAAATAACCTTCAAATCTAAGGACAAGGCACAGATCTCCCAAAAAGTAATGTATTTGTTTTCGATACTAACAAAGTAGGGGGGCTATAAGATCGTTTCCCTTTTTATTGCGTATTGAAAACTGGTCGTATGGTTGTGGAATTCGCGCTAGTGGTTCAACATGGATATAGGGCGGGCAAACACTAGAGAGAAACTTGTCTCCCACAACGCAGACCAGTCAAACGTAAAAATGGATGCAGTACGGGCTGAAATAAGGGCAACAAGGTACAAAAATTAGTAAAGAAATAATATACTTATTAGTGGCTTGAAGACAAACTGCATGGTCACTTAATTTATGTACATTTAAGTTTAGAAATCGAAGTAAAATTTGTATTCAGTCTGAAAAGGGGTAATGGCACAGCGTTGATTATGGTACAACCCACGACTGGGAAAGCCAAATCGACTGAAAGTCAAAAGCCCGACTGAGACAACGATAAAGAAATAAAAAATCCAAAAAACTTATAACCGGAAGAAGAAAGAGAGGCTTACTAAATCCGGTTGCAAAAAATGAAAAGCTGATGTGGAAACGCAAAATAAGAGTGAGGGCGATGTGAAAAAAAATTTAGTTAGATCTCGGAGATTATGTATCACACATATTAAAGTTCAGTGTGGCGTTTTCACACTGCAGAGGTAAATATGATTTGAGGGGACCAAGGCGAGGCTTTTATAATTTACGTAATTGCGTTTATATACACCGTGGTTGCAAGCGATACTCCTGATCGATTTTGGCATCTTTATGTTACATTCATTACAATTTTAAATGTAATACACATAGGTATTGGGTAATTGGAACTCAATCCTAAAGCTATATCGAACAGTATACGCTATGTCGACTGGATTTAATAGGATCGAGTAAATTCTTTAAAAAGATCATTTACAAAATGTTACCCCTGATTGTATAACAAAAATTAGTGCTTTCTAAATATTATTGAATCCCTGTTACTGCTGATGATCAAAATAAAAATTTAAATAAAAGAAACCTTTAATTTGTGGTTAATTTTCTGAAGGAGTTTTTGTTAAATCAACAAGACAACTTGTACTGCAATCATTGAGTCTCTTTCATTCTTTTCTTCTTTTTTCCATGTGCGCTCCCGCTGTACTTCATTCCCCTGAGATTTTTTTCGTTTTCCTTTCGTATTTTTGTGCAATATCTGTTGATTAAATAAGCACAATAAACCGCGTGGTCGATAATTCCTCCTTAAAAGAGGAAATTATTTCTGGTGTGGTACCTATCTTAACGATTCTTCTCAGGGTTCTCGGTCAAACCAAACCTTTTTCACCGTGTTGTATGAAGACGAAGCAAAATTGCAAAAATCAAACGTTGCACTCGTCGAAATTCAAAATAAAGATGAGTGTGTCTTCAGAAGGAAATCTAAAAAAGTGGTGATCGTAAATATACATAAATCAAAATGAGTAGGTACCTACTATAGTACTTTTCTGGTTAATTACCTTCGAATGTGTTTTCATAAACCGTCACGTTGCTCAGAAAATGATGCTGTACGATTCAAATTAAGCTTAATCGACCATGATCGACACGAAACTTAATGCCATAGCTGTGAAAAGAAGCATAAGCGAAACTATAAAAAGAGTGCATGCCCAAGTTTTTTTAATTAAAGTACCCTAACCCACTAGTTGAGTTGACAGTGTATTTATAGAGCACGACATTTCTAACCATCTCTGGTCAGGTATGTATGGCAACTTCTACCACAATTATCATCCTTGTGAAGTTAGTAACAATTGAAAATTAAAAACTATTTAACTTGTCTGGAGAATTTTTGAATTTTAGTCATATCAATTTCCTTTCATCGGTTATTCATTTAAACTGAGGTTGAACTATCGCTGTACAGCCTACAAAACTTAATATAATACCAAGGGACTAAAGTGTGTGCTTTAGTCCCAAGGGTGCAGATTGTTGCCCGAAACGTAGTCGAGCCTAATGTAGTCACTTTTTTACTGATGCATATGTCCCTACCATCTTGTATGTACAGTGTATGTAGTACATACTAAAAGTTCATACAAATATAGGTCCGCAAACGACGCTTCGATACTACAGGGTGTTACAATTTTTTAGGTTTTTTTTCATGTACCTCCTACAGATATATAGCTCAAATTTGGAATATATGTTACACTGAAAGGCTTACATTTTTGGCCATATCAATGGCTTCGGTGTCGCATTTTTATTAGTTGACAGTTTTTCTCGTCTAATTGCTAGGCAACAGATTTTCATTACCTAAACAACCCAAATTTACTCGGTAAAATACAAACCTCTTGTGCAATTATAAATGATAAAGTCCCCTTATTAAACACCTGTTAAATAGTGTTAAAATAGACGCAATAATAATAAGGCCGACGAAATGCGAGCACTTATGTACATCGCATTTCCTTATCCACAACTTTGCATGCGTGCCATCGATTATTTAAATCAAATTACATTCTACTTTGATAAAGTTCCCATATCAAATAAAAAAGGAATATAGGGAAGAGAAGAAATGGAGAAATTAGGTGGACATGATTTGGTATATAATAAAGTGAAGAGAAATACGCGAGATAGGGAGAAAAAAGGTGGAACTGTGACAAGGATATAAATAGAATATAAGGATTGCGAGTTGTTGACCGAAGAAAGCGAAGTATTGGAAAGATGGAAAGAATATATGGACGACTTATTTTAAGCGAAGGACAAACCAACACACCTGACAGTGGAAAGCGTAGAAGAAGTAGAAATGACAACATCGGAGAAGTCATTTTATCAAGTAATGGCGACCATAAAAGAAATGAAGGATGGGAAGGCAGTTGATTGCAACTAGAGAGGTAATTTCTTTGATTCCCTTTTCTTGCAGACATGTCTTTAGACCTATGGGAATATTATCGACTATTGAGCAACGCTTATCTTCATTTAAAGGGAGATGTCATCCAGAGAAGTGAGCTCAGTTCCCGGATTTCCAATTAATTAAAAGTGAGAGCGTATAACCCTGAAGGAGCAAAAATAGTTACAATAATTAATACGCTAAAAAGTTACGGAAGTTGTTTCGTGATTGTGAATCGAATGTGGTGCATGACCCAGTTTCAGCAAATGGCGGCTCCCTTATCAGCAAATCGAAGGCTCATGAAACGGTGGTTCGTTCCTGCACGGTAGGTGAGTTTACTTCGAGGTTACCCACGCGTATGTAAAGCGTATTCGGAATTATAAAGATAGAATTGGATACAAAATTAGAACTAAAATTAAAAACCCTAAAAAAAATTAAATGTAACCCTGGTTCTTGATAACCTTCAATGTACACACCTCTTTAAATAAGAGGGCCAATATTATCGATGAATGCAACAGTTGTCGATGAAACATTGCAAAATGAAATATCAGTCGAAACCCAAAGAAGATATTCGTCCAGCAAATTAAAGGCAAATGGCGTACTTACAATGAAGAAGAATAACACAACTATATTCTCCTAATAAAATGATAATAATTAAAATCCCATGCGTTTCGCTGTTTGATTAAAAATCAAGTGCACTCTGTGACAGCTGACGAACGAAAGACGAAAATGAGTGTTAATCATCGACAAAGATAAATCGCAGCGCCGTACAATTTCACGCTGAATATTACGTGTTTCAAATTCCAAGGTTATAACTATTACGAGGATCATTCAACAAGTAAATATACCGGCAACAATAAACGTAAAATAAATCGTTACAATCACCCTAGTGATACACACACAGCAAAGATCTTATTGAAAATATTGAATAGAAGGCTTCGCAAAGTTACGAAGGAGAATATAGGAGAGGGACAGTTTGGTTTTAGAGGAGGAATGGGCACAAGAGACGTATCACAAGTAGTGAGAACGATCGGCGAAGGATATTTGGAAAAGGTGCAGCTTTTGTTGAAATTCTAAATGCATTAGATTGGGTAAACTGGGAGAAACTGTTAGAAGTACTAAAGAGGAGAGGTGTCATTTGCAGGGAAAGCCGGCTAATACGAATGATATATATGAAACAAGGAGCGAAAAGCGAAATTAAGACTAGGATAGTGACGACAAAACAGGTAGAATTTTATGCAGCAAGATAGAAATCCCCTTAAGAAAGACATTAGTAAAATGTATTTTGTGTATGGAATGTTCTAATGTACAAATGAAAAGAGATCAGCAAAGATTGGAAGCTTTTGAAATGTGGATATCTAGTGTATGTATAAGTAATGTAGAAGGGAGGGCAAATGCATGCTAAAGATCGTAAAGCGAAGGAAAATGAACTGGATTGGGCATGGTTAGTACATGTACAGGAAATTGGTTGACGACCTGAAGGAGGGAGAAGAAGGATATAAAGGAGTAAAGAGAACAGCAGAGGATAGAGATAGTCGTGGAGAAGAGCCATCAGGAACCTGCATTAGCAGAAAACTAACGTTGATGATGATGAAATAAAACAGAATGAAAAAACCGAAGATCTCGTATCTTATCCTGTCTTTTTTTTACTGTAGGAAAAACACCAAACAGAGAGTAGTTGTTTTATTTACATTTAGAATTAGTTGTTGTAAGTGAAGATTATTTCTTAAACATACCAAAATTATCGCTTAAATAAAGATTATCATTACTTCAAAACTTCGCACTTACTAACGGGGTTCATTTTGCTTCCCATATTGCAATTAAAATCATTAGCAAAATAAACCGTATTACTTAGAAGAGCATTTATTTCAAATGTGAAAGGATAATGCTCATCGGTACCAATTTCCCTATTCGCGACAATCGGTACCAGCTTTTCGCACCAAACGTTCGCAGCCGAAATCCAAAATAATTGCCTATCGGTGTAGTTGAGACCGGGGAGAAGCGGTTCCTTTCCATTGCGTCGAACCCATTCATTGTATGCCAAATATGCATTTCTTATACCACCGTTACCTACTATATTTTCTCCTTGCGACCAAAAGTCGGTTAGCTAAAGCAATTAATAACAACACATTTAGTTGATATCATGAGGATTTACCAACATACATTTGATCCCAATTCGGGTACGGAATGGTTTCCATATTCGTCAATCATGCACTGGGCCTTTGTTATAAATATTTCTTCTTTAGATGGTGGCCAATCTTCCACATCGTCGAATCGATGAACAATTTCGTGGGCAATTATGAAACCTATTGCACCGTAGTTCATATAACGTGGCCTATCATTGTTAAAAAAGACGCCTTGTAATATACCGGCAGGCAATACTGCAAATTAAATGATACTTGAAGATACAGATTAAGATATCTTACTTATAGTGTTAAATAGTCTATTGTAGTGTGCATTGACGTAAACAGCTATTTCCCCGAATTTAAACCAATCAGTTTCATTCACTGGCAATACTAAACCATTTGGTGTATTTTCATAATCAAAGAGTTGAATACTAAGGCTCATTTTGAGAAAGTTGTCAGACTTCACATGTAACTGAAAACGAATTTATATATTACGCACACAAAATCTTATGCCAACCGCTTTATAGACTTCTTCCAATTTTTCGTCCGAGAGAAGTTCGTCTGGGTACGCAATGCGAGATGACATAGTTGCGACTTTTTCAAAAGCATGCTGCTTTTTTGTATCATCCAGCCAGTCAGCCCTTTTTATCATGTTGATAAATTCGTTATTAATATAGGAAACCATTTCTATAGTATTTAGTTTGGTATCATTTTGGACATATCTCCGAACGTATAAGGCACTGGTAGCAGTTGGCATGCTGATTGTAATTACGTCAAGGTTTAAACATTGTTGATTGTAGCTACTAACCTCTTTAAAGTTAAACCGACACATTTCTTCCAACCAAAAGTTGAATACGTGTACGGCGTTGAGCTGTGTCGCAACTTCTCTGTAAGATAAGGTAGCGATGATTCGACAGTTTTCCACATAAGATAGTTTGCCTGTACTCTAAAATGTAAAGCTTCAATTTTGATCCATAAGTATGTTTATTAAACCTTTTTGGTGTATTGATGAGCAATTTCTCCAACTGGGAGAAATAAGTAGGATGTGCTGTTATGATTACATCAGAGGATTTAATGGTAATGTTGGGTACGTTTAATACTGAATTCAAGTACTCCAACCAAGGAATATTAGGAACTTTTTGTTGTAGTTCTGATACAGACATGCGATGGTACAAGCTAAAATTTGTTGGTTCTCGAAATTGGCTTGCAATCTAAACGTAGTTAAAATTAAACCGATGTATTTAACACTATATCGCTCTACACATTACCTTCCTTAAACGAAACTCAAATTTGAATGATTCATAAAGTTCCTTTTGAGCCTCACTTTTTGTAGCACCTAAGACACTGGCAACGTATACCGTTTTATGAAAGTACGATTTGAGGTCATTTGTTGAAAGACGCACGTCTGCTGGCCCTATCTGATGAACATCTGAATAAGTGAGAGTTACAATATTATACTTACATAGAGCATATTCAGTGAATAATTTGTCATATCTATCCCAAGATCAACGGTAATGAAATAATCAAAAGTAAAACCGAAATTACGAAATTTGTAAACGGACTGTTTCCAATCAAATCTTTCCTGATCCCACGTTTGTCCTTCTAACACCGGCCATCCGCCTAGTTTTCGTAAAATTGATTTTATCGTGGTTAATCCATCCAGTTCAATTGCAGTGGTATTCATGCATGCTTGATATACCTTCTTAAGTATCGTGAAAGGATGTGGTTCTTCCGCCGTGACATTTTCTTCCAGTACTACTCTTAGCTGTTGTTTAATCAAGTCGTTCGTAAATTGGAAGGATGAAGCTTCATCTTTATCGTCCGGTAGAATTGCTTGTTTGATAAAGTTGCCGCATGCGAATTGATAAAAGTCATCGCAGGGATCAACACTTGCGTCAATATTACTTAAAACACTCGACGCTGCGTGAATACAACCTGAAGTTGAACATAAGTTTGACGTTTGGTTGCAAGTCATATCTGAAGCCACTAACGCAATATTTACAGCTACACTTACAATTAGATATGCTTCCATACTTGTTCTCCTCTTTCACAGTGCTAAAAAGACACAAACATTAGTTAGCTATAAATACCCTAGGGGGTATCATTCCATATTGAGCTCGTCACCTCTTGAAACCATTGCGTATAGAGTCTTCCAGACCAGGATTGCGCTTAGATACTCCAATTTTCGATGGAAATATCCCATGGGAGACAGACGTACATGCCGCAATTCAAAGCAGTTGCAAAAGCAAATAACTGGACGGCACGATAACAGGCTTTGGCCTTAGTGACTTAACTAAGGGGGCCTGCACTAAACGTTCCTCCACTGCTGAAAGATGACGAAACCGAAAACCTTCGTTGCTAACGGAGAAAATGGATAGTCAGTTTGGGTCTGCACATAAAGGGCCAGTGCAACTAAAGGCTCGTGTTCAAAGACCCGGGAGTCATTGCAAGATTATGGGTCAGATATAGTGAGACTGACAAAAGCTGTTTATCCCGATACATCCTAAATGTGCTGGAATAAATTTCCACCGATCAATTCGTTGCTGGAATCCGAGATACTAATATTCAGCAGGCAGTGAGTTAGTGCTGAAGCTTTCATAGCACTAGAAATTGAAGGCACGAAATCATCAATGCATCAATCATACACACAAAAGTGCAGATCGCGACACAAGAAACCGATTTCCCAAACCATGAAGAAAATCTCGAAAAATGTGGAAAGGGCCGCCGTCGATGTTTGAGTTGCGGGAAACTGGGGCATTTGATGAGTACATGCAGAAAGTCCCAGGAAGCCAGGCCTTCTGCTGATTCAACGGAAAACTAAGCAGGATCGATTAGATTGTATTCCCACGCACTGACTGTCACTGTCGCATTACTCACTCTTTGATGGACCCCAGAGCATCTTTATTGATGGTCTGCTGAATGGAAAACTAATGAGTATGTTGGTGGATACGGGCGCGACAAGGACCATCATAAGATCCCAGTGAATCAACGGACGTATTTCAACTGGATATGTCGCGATAGTACATGGATAGACCAATGCTCAAATCACTATCGGCAAGACTACTATTACGCATCGTGCGCTGGTAGCCATCTTGAGGATGGACATAATGGGCACCTACGGTTTTCAACTTGATCTATTACATTATCAAGCAAGAAGTAGGGGATAGGCTGATGAATGTTAGTTCGTACGATGTGAAACTGAAGAAAGGAACGACAGCAAAAAGTGACTGAGGAATCTAAAGTCTTTTGTTATTTTTCCGGTAGTCCTTGTAAAGAAGAAAGACTCCACCAGTTTTCGTATGGATTATCAGTCCAACAACGTGACCAAGGAAGACCTACATGGAACCAGGTTACCTGTATAACACCGCTTCTCAAATCTTATTGGGCGCAATGGGATTCTATTATTAGGGATACTGATGTCCTCCTCAAGCAAACCTTACAAAATGAAGATGGTTGTAAAGAAAGAAAATGGCGCTTGGTTCCTAGAAAGAAATGTACAAAGGGCTGAGGGAAAGATTTTAGTAGGCCAATATCAACGACGTAGAGAACAGTGTAGCAAGTGTGTTGTTTGCGCTGCAAGAAATGGCCCACAACGACGCCCGAAAGCGCCCATGAGACAATACAACGTTGGAAGTCCCTTCAAAAGAGTTCTAATAGACATAGCTGGGTCATTCCCGGAAAGTGATGGTGGAAACGTACAGTCGTACATTATGGGTGTGATGAACTACTTCAGAACTACACTTTGCCAAACCAAGAAGCGGCTACTGTCGCGGACGTTTTTGTGAGAGAATATATTTGTCGATTTGGAGCTCCGTATGAAATTCATTCGGACCAAGGCACGAATTTCGAGTCTCTGTTGTTCCAGGACGTCTACAAGGCTACAAGAAGAATTAATAGACATCTCTCCAGAATTGTCTCTGACCGTGAACAAGACTAGGATCAACATCTATTATTATTCCTTATGGCTTATAGCTTTTCGGTGTATGAAACTACCGGACGGACCCTTTTAAATATTATATTTGGAAGGCAAAAGCCTTAGTTTCATGAAAATGGGTCGGTTTATATTTTACTTGGTAACCAAAGAGCAATCACATGAGAAGCCAATGTGGTTTGTTCCACAATCACTAAGGACTCAACTTGTAGTTGGGAGGATCCATAAAATTACGTTGCCTAAGATCGGCTGTATGAGTTAAACTGGAGGATAGTCCGCAACATGTTGGAAGCCGTTTCCAAGGACATGGGCATCGAAGTTTTGGTATGCGTGGAAAGTGCGCGGAACTCCGGAAGACCCTCGATTGTTACTTCTTCAAAACTACAGTATGTCGGAAAGGAGTTGCCTGTCCATACCGACCGTATATTTGAGGGGAACTGGGAGCAGTGTTACGCACTGTAATTTGAATTGAAATCAGTGTAACGGAGAGGTGTAGAGTTCGGCGTCACGATGACTTAATTCCCGTTTTTAAATAAGTTGTTCTTATACCAATACGAACTAGAATACCAATATAGTTAGTTGAATAATAGTGTAGTGAAAATAAGTTAATAAATGTTACAATATTTATATAGTCTCTAAAGTTAGTTGCATTACCAAAAACCCAATTAAAGAAGCACTCAGTGTTTTTCAACAATTGTTTAAAATTTTAGTTACCTTTAAACAACATATAATTAATTTCATGTAAAAGATTGTCCAACCAAGTAGGTTTAAATTCGTAATATGTTACTAACTTCATAGGGATGATAATTGTGGTAGAAACTGCCATACATACCTCTTAGATCTATGGCTAGAAGTGGTTATAAATGTCGTTTCCGATAAATACACTGGAAATGGTCAATTGAAATGTTGGGGTACTAACTAAAGAATTTTTTATAATTTCGCTTATGGATTTTTTTTACACATTCAGCTTTCCTGTCGATCATGGTCCATTTAAGCTTAATTTGAATCGGGCCGTATAGTTTTCTAATTACATTTATAACGATGAAAGTCCATTCTAAGTGAATCAGGTATTATAGTAGGTACTAACTCTAGTTTATGTATATATTACGATATCTTGAAATTCCCCTTTAAAGGTAGCCACACACAGTTTGTCATTGAGGTTTGGACTGCGCAGTCACATCTCTGAGATTTCCCTCACAGTGTGTGCTGTAGACGTTGAGGTTGATTAACTGCACAAACCTGCCTGAACATGACGAACTCGTCTGTAGCTATACCTATATGCGATACATAAATTAACGGATAATCTCAGGAAAATCTTCAAAGACTCGATTGAACAGTTTTAGTTTGAGGAAAAACTGTATGTGTGTGACTACCTTTATATTTCCTTCTAAAGGTACTAGCGTCCCTAGATTTATGCAAAACCGTCCACTAGAGAAATCAATTTTAGTAGTAAAAATGGCAAGTTATCCACTAGTGGACATAATGTTGATGTTTTACCTCAAATATTATTTGTTCAACAATCGTAAAGTTTTTTTGAGTGCTCAATGTAGCGGTTCCTACTCGCGTGGATTAAGAGTTTAAACCTCGTTTACCATTTTCATTACACACAGGGGAAGCAACCACAAAAGAATTCATCGCGGTTGAAGAATTTTTGTATTATGCTCGCCAGGAGATAATTTAATTATCTGGCCAGCAGTAGAACGGCATCAAGTGTTTTGTGACCCCCATTCTCTCCTAACGAGCATTATATACATTTACTAATATTGAACTCAACTTCGTCTCGGGTTTATATCATCGATGCTAACGACACACAGTAACTGAAGATCCAGAGGAAAGAAGGGATGTTGTTGAAGAGAGCCAAGATGTATTGGACACTCCGAGTAACAACGAGATATGGTGGCATATTATCAACGAAAAAGTAAGGATCATAGTTACTAGGCCACGATTCCAGATTTATATTAAGATCTTTGACAAACTGTTATCCTTGTTTTGCTTAATTTAGGTAGGCCTTTTAAAAGAGGAAAGCACAATAAGAATTCGTTAGGAATTTCAACGGCCTTGAAATTTCTTTGAATTTTCCCTTTGAGAAGAAATACGAGAGAGATGTGTACCGCTGGAATAAATTAATTATATCCCTCCAATAAGGGTACTAGGAAAAATGCACTTTATCAATCTTAAAATTACAGATAGGTATGTTAGTAAAAATCGTATTAATCTAAAAGATTGTGGCCCCATTGCACAAACATATTTGATTCGGGTTTAATCTTCACTCTGGTGATAAAAAACGTGATTTGTTAATGTCTTTGGCACTCTCCAATTTAGGTATAATATAAACCCATCCACTATGACGCAAATCAAATGCTGTAATACTCGGATTAAAAATAATTCCGTGTGAACACCTGATTATGTCGGTTGTGCAACTGGACTGGTCCTGTATTATTGTAAATAAATAAAAATAAATAAATAAATAAAATTCCTGAAATTTCGATAAACATCAATAAATAAAATAAATAAAAGATTAGTCATCAGCGATAAAGAACGAAGGCGGCTGTGTCGCAATCTTTCCGAGAAATGTGACGTGTTTGTTCTAGGACATTCTAGCAAAACTGGGAAGTGTTCCGAAACGTTCCAACACTGTCGAGAAAGAGTAGTCGCGTAATTTGAAGCAATATTCCTTTTTTGCATTTGTAACATAATGTGTTACAAGACCTGTTAAGTCATTAATGTTTATCCTTGTGTTGCAGTTACAAGGATAACGACCACAATGTATCAGCAACGGATGCAATAATTATATGCCAATTTGCTGTGAAGTAGGAGCTTTATATTAGTATTGTGAGAACTGCAGTCTGAGTAGCTTGACCAAGCTTAGTTCCATTTTTTTGTGTCTTAAGGCAAGTATTTATTTAGAATCATTTAACAAACTGTTAAAAACATAGGATCACCACACAGCGCACTTATGTACCGGATTCATTTTTGAACCTACTGGGCAATTAAAATCTTTCGAAAATATAGGAGAATTGCTGAGCGGTCCTTGCACTCTAAAGTTGTCTGGGGAATGGTATCCAGATAAGATCTTCGTTCTTTGAGATTCTGGACGATGCACAGAGCACCATACGTTCGCGCTTGAAATCCAAAACATTTGTTCGGACGTATAATCTAAACCGGGTAATCCTGGTTCGGGCCCGTGACGCTTAACCCATGAGCCGTAAGCTAAATACGCCTCTTTAACTCCACCGTTGTCGGCTATATTTTCACCTTGTGTGTTGATACCATTCACCTAAAATCAGAAGGTTGTCAAATGATGCAGATGCATAGAGTTGGGTATTCCGTTTAGGGGTGCACCATCTTAGAGTAGGAATTGTGTAACAATTTTTACAAAATAGGATCGGATCTCACGATTACCGAGAAAAGACAAAAAAGGAAAGCAATTTTTGAGCAATTTTTCAGGGTTATTTCCAAATGAAACACTTTCGACCTTCATTTTATTCCAAAAAGATGTTTGATTTGCTCTTCTCTATCACCATATTTTTTGTACACACCTCAAATAAGAATTTCTTGATAAAATTTTCCTTGACGTAAAAAGGTTTTTCTATTAAAAAATTCAGAATTGACCGTAGGCCAAGAAAAGCATTAGTTGAAGCTCAAGCACCAGGTAAAGTAGACAATTCTTGAAAAAAAAAATGTGCTCATTGACGTCTAAAGTATCGATTTGATTGTGAAAGGCCTCTTTAAGGAAAAAATGATTGATTTTTACGTTACTATGCAGCTAGTTGCAATTAAGGGAATTGGTAGAACATTCCTTCCGATTAAAACTGCTTTCTTGGTACCTATTCTCATAAAATAGTACACCGATCCGTTGACCCGCGAAAGTCATAAACATGTTAACTAATTTTGCCCTTTATGCAATTAACTTTAGTAGTATTTGGTAACCTCTAGATAGGAGAATGATGATCATACGCTCTCACTCGTTTAAAAAGTAGATATATAAATCGCAACATAATCCACCAAGCACCTGGAACTTACTTTTAAACCCAATTCAGGTATGCTATAATTTCCGTATTGATTGATTATGCATTTGGCGTTCTTTAAAAACGCCGCCTTTGTTGGGGGTGCCCACCAGTCGACCAAATTTCCATCTTTATCAAACTGTCGACCCTGGTCATCGAATCCGTGGGTGATTTCGTGACCGGCCACAAAACCAATGGCGCCATAGTTCATGTATTGTGGCCTGTCATTGCTAAAGAATACGCCTTGCAATATCCCAGCAGGAAATTCTGTTAAATAATAAGAAATTGTCACGCACGGCCAGCGAAAATTAACCGAAACGTACGCATACTGTTGTCGAGAAAAGAATAAAATGCGTTGATAACGGCGGGTCGTCCAACAGAAATCCAATCGTTTTTCTTAACCGGTTGGTTAAGCTTTTTGTAGGAGGAATCGGCTGCAAACCGCGTGAGACTCAACCTAACCTCTAGATACGTATTACTGGTTAAATTTAGCTGAAATTTGATTAGCGCAATGCAAAATTTGAACTCATTTTAACTCACCCCTTCGAAAACCCCTTCGATTTCTTTATCTGAAAGCAACTCATCGGGGTACGCCACATGCGGCACCATTGCATTAGCTTTTTCCAAAGCGTGGCTTCTGGTAACGTTATCCATCCAATCGACCCCTTTGAGAATATCAATAAATTCTGCCTTAATATCAGAGATTATTTCTGTGGCCTTCTCTTTGGCACCCTTGGGAAAATATTTGCGAACGTACAGAGCACCTACAGCAACCGACAAACTAAACACAATTACCTCTAATCACTGTGTTATAGTTAACGAATACCTTTGTGTCACTAAATCGGTGCATTCTTTCCACCTGGGCACTCTTTCCGTACGTCCGTTCAAAAATTTGGTATATTGCAGTTCTCGTTGTCGCAATGCTTCGGTGAGGTAAGGTACCGATGAAGCTATAGCTCTCCACATTACATAGTTTGCTTGAATCCTACAAAACAAACTTCAATTTTAATACGTGGTATTACTTTGACGTAACCTTTTAGATGTGCTGTTAATCAATTTTTCTAGTTCTGAAATGTAACTAGGAACAGAAACTATTACTATATCGGTCTCTTGTATTTGAACGTTTGGAATATTCAACGCTGAATTTAAGTATTCTAACCAACGAATGCTTGGAAACATATCCTGAAGGTCGCACACCGATATAGGATTATATAATAGACTGTAGTTTCTTCGATCCTCCATTGACATCGTGACCTATGCGGGTTAAACCCAATTAAAAGAGCTTGTACTGTTCTGCACCTTACGTTGGATAGCTTCATTTCAAACTCCAATGCTTTTTTAAGTTGCGTTTTGGCAGTCAGTCGATTAGCACCGAACATAACGGCGATATCAACCATATAATTATAGTAGGCCCGAACGACATCATTCTCAAGACCCTTACTAAATAATTCTTTGGCTAGCGATAATATCGCTTGATCAATCTGCAGCAAGATAACTATAACGTGAGAATTGTAATGATCCTGCTACCTGAATGACTCGCTTTGTGGTATTCCTGTAGTCAACTGCAACAGTAAACGCCAGGAAGTAGTCCAAACTGTAGCCAGCTTTTCGAAATTTATACACGGACTGTATCCAGTCAAACTTCGCTTGATTCCATCGTTGTCCTTCTATCACTGGCCATCCACCTAAACCTTTTATGATGGATTTGATGGTCTTCAAACGGTCAAGTTCAATCGCAGTTGTATTCATGCATGAGCTGTAAAGCTTTTTAATTTGTACGAAAGGATGGATCTCTTCTGGCATAATGGGCTCTTCTATCATTGATCTTAACTGAACTTGAAGCAAATCATTTAATCCTGAAAATGATGTGACGAAGGACTTGTCGTCTGGAATACTTGTCTTGTTTATAAAGCTGCCACAAGCAAATCGATAGAAATCATCGCAGGGATCAACACTTAGATCCATATTGGATAAGACGTACGACGCTGTGCGATTACAGCCTTCTGTCATACAAATAGTTTTGGAGTTTTGCCTCGAGATTCTACTTGCCATAACTGGGCGATCATTTTGTAACGCTTTACCTACGATCACGGTTTCACCAAAATGGGAAGTAGACTTTGAGTTGTCTTCATTTATATAGACCAAGGCAATGACTAATATCACTACTAACCCAATTGTGATTAGTGAAATTACAGTTGATACTTGTATTAGACATTGCTCGATCTTTGTTCTTCTTTTCCACCATGATGGGGTTCTGAAATGTAAGAATAATTAGAATCTGATAAGGACCTAAACCTGGCCATCTTAATATTATCCAATTAGTCACAGTGGTTTCAATTTTCCATAGAAGAAAAAGTAGTAACTCCCTCCTTACCATCAATGAGTTGTATAGGTGATTGTTAATCATCTAGTGTTTGGAGAGAATGCCATGGGTTATGGTTTACGATTCAAGGAAATCATAGTCTGACTGGCTACTCATTTGTTCACTTTCCAATTCGGGATTTGACTATGGTTCTAAAAATTCGGTCACTTTCGAGTGATTAGCGACTTGGTGGCCTGGTGGCCAGACATCGGAATCTTTGTGAAATAGTAAAAATCCAAAAATATTGTTAAATATAGCATATAAAAGCTAATCTTGTCATCTAACATGAGGTAAGCACTATTTAAACCTACAGGTAAAATAACAAATTTCGTAACACTCCACGCGTTTCACTAACCGCGTCTTACTCCGTTTTATAATTATTCATAGACCGAAGATCGAAGACGATGATGACTAGCCTCGAGGAAAAAAAACTTCTTACCCTATATTTACAAATACGAACTCTGGTAAGCGCACTATTGGATTTGTTTGCAATACAACTACAAAGAACTAAAATTTGGAATTGCAAACATTTCAAATTTTTGAACATAGCACGGCTTGAACCACAAAGAATAAAAACACGCCAACTCACTTGACTATAGCTTGTTTTTCCTCCGACATCATTGTAAAGTTCGACACAAAACACTACTTCTGTGAAAAGAATCCTGGAAGTAAACCCTTCCCAACCTTTTTTACCTGTGTTCCCCTTCCTGTCAGAACTCTCGCATACCGAGCGACCCGAATATAGCAAAAAGAAACGTCTTATTATTACACATCAAGCATTGTTTGTTAAATAGTTAATTCGCTATTATTTATGGCTTAATATCACTCAGCTTTACCTAACCTTGGTGAAAGTAAATTTAACAAATTTGATTAATCTAGATTAAATTCAAAACATATTAGCAAGGGGAGCACAGAAGGACAATTGAATCTTGTTTTAGTTTCTCTTTTCCTAAGATAAGATAACTACAAAAAAGCTGATATTAATCAAATAAAAAGATAAGATAAATGTCGTGATTTTCCGAAGAATCTAAAAAAAAAATTTTGGAGGCTACTGTGCCAATTGCAAGATCATCTCCAACCAGCAGTTTAGTAAATGGTCATGGATGCAGTTAGACATTTTGCATCCTTCCAATACACTCATCCTAAAGAGACACAAACTACCTTTTTCCACAAATCCCACGTGCTAGTACTAATTTAGCGTGCGCAATGTACTCACACTCATATCTCGCCAGACGTCCTGAAACGAAAAAGAAAAGATGTGCGTGATAGTGTTAACGTTTATACGAGTTTTTGAAAATTCAATCGACCTAACTGGGTTGGTATATTTTGCTATGGTAGCAATTATTATTATCACAATTGTTTCCAAGGATTCGATAATCCCACATGTCGTCTTCTTACCAAATAAAGCAAATTATTGGATTGAGCATGTGACAGTAAACATCATGGACTGCCATGCTTTACCTAAAACACAGCTGGACGTAGGACTTTCACCAGATCAAATAAAAATTACCAGAGGTGTGCCACAGGGTGACACTTTAAAACCATTACTTTTCGAGTTATTCATAGCAAACATGCACGAACTTGTTTAAAACTCTGATTAGTTTTAGTGTCCCTTCAGACGCACGGTGTACGGCTCTCAATGTATCTAGAACAGTGGTGGATCCAGAGAAACTTCTCAGGGGGGGCCACATGGTGAAAATAAAAGACTGATTGATTGATATACAAGAGGAGATACATATAGGTGGGATAGGATTCCATTTCAAACAATAAATTCAAGTCTTCGATGTCCACATACAGCACGGAACCGAAAAAAACCGGTACCGGAACCGACTGCATTTATAAGTCCTTCACTTAGAACCGAAACCGTTATTTAAGCAATTATAACCGGAACCGATACCGTTATTATTAGTGCCAAAGAACTGGTATTCTTCGGTTCTGACTCTGCTGGTCTCTGCAGTAGGTAGAGTAGATACGTTGCGCTTCGTGAGAGGAAAATACGTTTTATATTGTTGCTCTTAAGTTTTGCTTCAGACTTCTGACTTGCTCTACTTTTCCTTGTTTGAATCATTATTTTAGTTCTGTAGTAGTATCAATAAAAACGCCTTGATTATTAATATTCCTTATCGCCGATGACTGGATCCGGTATCGACTAGATGGCCAGGAATAAAATCTTCCCTTCTGAATTACGTTCAAGAATAACCAAAAATTTTCACTTTATTCAGAGCTGCCCATTAATTTCTACCAACTTAACCCCAATACTAAACAAATATAAAATATTTTAGTGACCAAAAATGAATCAAAAACAGTAAGAGAGTTGGAACCGGAACCGAAAATTAATGAAGCCACAGAACCGAAACCGCTACCGGAACCCTTAAAAATAATTCTACCTAAATAGTCCGGAAACGGAACCTATATTTCATATGGGTTCGAAGCCCCCTGCATAGTACACATTTTGATAAGATAGAAAGTGGGGAATGTAATGGAAACAATGTAAATGAAGTTGTTTATAAAAGGGTTTTTTTTACCTTTTCGGTAAGCTTTTTTGGGCTTGTCGGAGAAGGCAATTGCCCCCTTTGCCCCCTGATGTTGTATCTGCCACTGATCTAGACGGTCTAGTTATATTGCCTGCCACCAGAACTTTGCTTTAAGTGCCCTAAAAAATTATGGTTTAAGGAACGATCTAAAAGTAAATAATGATTAAACAAAAATAATTGCCTTTCGCAAAGCCAATGAATTCCCAGATGATCCTTTTCTTCATAAAAAAAGGAGGCCGAGTACGTCACAATTTTAAATGTAATAAACACAGCTTAAAATTAATAACTGGAACTCAATCCTAAAACTATGTCAGGCAGTATACGTTATGTAGGCTTGATTTAAAAAATTCATGTAAATTACAAAAAAAAATCACTTACAAGATTTCTACCCCTGATTATAATAAGAATGGAGATAATGGTTTCAATTCGCATTGCTGCGCTTGATAAAAGTAACAACTTGAAAAACAGAAAAGCAAAAATTACAAAAATAAACAAGAAACTTAAAAAAACAACACTTTTTGTCATTACACCGAATCTGAACTAAAAACGGATCGTAAAATATACATAAACTAAAGTTAGACGTACCATTCCTGTTCCATTAACTTAAAATGGGCTTTCATTGGCACATTCACATCAGTGTTTATAAATTTAATGAGAAAGCTTAATCGACCATGATCGACACGAAAGATGAAAGCCACAGGTGTGAAACAAAGCATATAATATGCGAAACTATAAAGCAGGAATGGAAGGCCAACATTTTTCTAATGAGTAAGTACCCTGACATATAAGTTGACTTAGGTGAATATTGCCAGTGTATTTATAGTAAACGATATTTCTAACAATTTCTTACCATACGGCTAGGAGGTATGTATAGAAATTTCACAATTATTAAGAATTGAAAGCTACTTTGGGTAATTTTTAAATTTTAACCAATCAATTTTCTTTTTTCGGGTATTCAATTGCACTGAAATTGAAGTATCGTAGTAGAACTCAAAAGTCCATAAAGATTTCTACTAGATAATATCAATTAAAAACGCAACATAGCTCGAGATAAAACTAATTTTAGTTTTGCCTTAGCAATAGATCACCGTAAAAGAGAAGAACAAGTATGGAAACATATCTAATTTTAAGTGTAGCTGTAAATATTGCGTTAGTGGGTTCAGATGTGGCTTCGAACCAAATCTCAAACTTATGTTTAACTCCAGGCTGTATTCAAGCAGCCTCGAGTATTTTAGACAATATAGACGCAAGCGTTGATCCATGCGATGACTTTTATCAATTCGCATGTGGAAACTTTATCAAACAAGCATATGATGACAATTCATACATTCAAATAACGAAATATCGGGTTCGACAACAGCTAAGGGTGGCACTGGAAGAGAACGTTAAAGCACAAGAACCACGACCGTTTCGGCTGCTTAAGAAGATGTATCAAGCATGCATGAATACAACTGCTATTGAATTAGATGGATTGACAACTATAAAATCAATTATAGAAGATCTAGGCGGATGGCCGGTGTTAAAAGGACGGAAGTGGAATCAGAAGAAATTTCATTGGAAACAGTCTGTTTACAAGTTTCGTAATTTAGGTTACGTTGTTAATTATTTGATTACCCTTACAATTATGGAAGGCATAACGAATTCTTCACTGAGTACCCTTTATGTAAGTATAATATTGTAACTCTCACGTACTAATCTGTTCTTCAGATAAGGCCAGCAGACGTATCCCTTTCAAACACAAGTGACCTCAAACCGTACCTTAATAAAATGGTGCACGTTGCCACTGTCTTAGGTGCTAATAAAGGAGTGGCTGAAAGGGAGCTTAATGAATCATTAAAATTCGAGCATCATTTAAGTATGGTAATGTGGAGAGCGTTACAGTGTTAAATGCTCAGTTCAATTTTAACTTATAAGTTTATAGATGGCCAGCGCAATTCCAGAACACAGAAACTTTAGTTTAGGGTACCATCGCATGCCTGTATCAAGACTACAACTAATAGCTCCTAATATTCCTTGGTTGGAGTACTTGAATTCAGTGCTAAACATTCCCAACGTTGTCATTAAACCTTCTTACGTAATCATGGTGGAACACCCTAGCTACTTTTCAGAGTTAGAAAAATTGCTTAATAATACACCAAAAAGGTTTAATAAACATGCCCCCTATAAAACAGAATTGAAGCTTTCTATTTCAGAGTACTGGCCAACTATCTTATGTGGAAAGCTGTCGAATCATCGATACCTTACATTACAGAAAAGTTAGAGCAATTCGAGTGTTCAACTTTCAGGTGGCCGAAATGTGTCAGCTTAACTTTAGAGAGGTTAGTATACCTAGTGACAATTTTTTAACGGATTTATAACCTTTACGTGATTACAATCAGTATGCCAATTGCTATCAGTGCTTTATATATTCGGAAGCATTTCCACGAAGATATCAGGCAAGAAGTTACGGAAATGATTTCCAACATAAAAAAAGGATTTGTCAAACATGTAAAAAGCGCCGACTGGATGGATGACGATACAAAGTTTCATGCTTTAGAAAAATTGGCAGCCATGTCGTCTGTCGTTGGGTATCCCGATGAATTGCTCTCAGACAAAAAATTGGAAGACTATTATAAAGGGGTTGACATTAAGATTGTGTGTTTCAATTTATGAATTAGTTTTTAGTTGCATGTGGAATCCGACAACTTCCTAAAAATAAGATTGAGCACTAACCTCTTTATGTATGAGGCTGAAGTCAAACGTTTAGTACTGCCATTGAACCAAATCAATTGGATTGGAAATGCGGGAAGAGTTCTTTATGTTAACGCATACTACCACTATCCAACGAACAGTATAGGTAAGTTATATTGCTTGCTGACATGCATGTTCAATTATTATTAAATTTACAGAATTGAATGCCGGTAGATTGCAAAGCATCTTTGTTAACAATGATAGGCCACGTTATATTAACTACGGTGCAATAGGTTACATAATTGCACACGAGATTACTCATGCATTCGGCGTAGAAGGTTCAAACTTGGATAAAGATGGAAATTTTGTAGATTGGTGGGTACCATCAACAAAAGAAAAGTTCATAACAAAGGTTCAGTGCATGATTGATCAATATGGAAACTATTCCGTACCCGAATTGGGATTAAATGTATGTTAGTCACAAATCCTCATGACAACAACGGAATTTTTTGTTATTAATTGCTTTAGCTAAACGGCTTTAGGACCATAGAAGAAAATATAGCAGATAACGGTGGTGCGAGACATGCATATTTAGGATACAATGAATGGGTTCGGCGGAATGGGAAGGAACCACTCCTTCCCGCTCTCAACTACACCGATAGGCAATTATTTTGGATTTCGGCTGCGAATGGTTGGTGTGCAAATGAGATACCGAGTTCGATGAAGCGGCAAATTCATAACAATCAGCATCTTCCTTTCAAATTTAGAATAAATGTGCCTCTAAGTAATACGGATTATTTTGCTAAAGATTTTAATTGTCGTATAGGAAGTAACATGAACCCTGTTAGTAAGTGCGAAGTTTGGAGGTCATTGTAAGCGTTTTCAATAATTGTACTAAGTGACATAAATCATTCTTTACTTACAATAATGTGCTATTGAAATTAGGTTTTAATTTAGTTTAATTTAACTAATTTTTGTTTCTTACGGTAAAAGGCAATAAGAATATAAGAATAATAATACGATATCTTCGACTTTTGAGAACTGACTTAATTAATCAAGAATAATGTGCTAAGCTAAGCTGTTGAACATATCTTAACTGTATTATATTATAAATCATATTTCAAAGCCCATATTTACAGGAGATAATGGTCAAATAAAGTTTAGGGCATGGACGAATCTATTTACAAACTAGTAATTGATAAAAATGTCCCAAATTGTAGTTTCATCTTTGCGAAACAACTCACTTCTTATGGCCCCTCTCAGGTGGCTTAAAACCGTTCGTTAAAGGAGCTGAATGAAGATATATGTGACCATTTTTTGCAAGGAATTGGGTTATATTTCGAATTATGTTTTTGTGTTCAACTAATGGCCGTTTGCACCGACAAATTTAAGTGGAGCTTAGCTTAAGCGTAGCTTAAAATCCATGGCAACCATTGTCTCAATAATCGTTGCCATGGAATTTAAGCTACGCTTAAGCTAAGCTCCGCTTAAATTTGTCGGTGCAAACGGGCCCAAGTCTCTCAAATATTTGTGAGCGAATAATTAAAATTTTCTAGCTTCTATTAGTACGGTGCAATTAGTCCAAAAACGGCCTAGCCTCAACATACAAAGTAAAAGCTTCCTTCTTCCAATGTGCCCATTGTTCTATACAGTCCACATATTATTTGGTTTCACCATTGTAAGCGTAGGATTTGTTTTGGGGGGCAATATACAGCCAAGTGTACCTATTTTCTAAAAAGAACCTCCAAAAGCTGCAGTTTTAGAAATAAGGTGATTAAAAATAATATAATATAATTATATATTATCATTATTACACAGGTGATATTTTTACATATAACGGGCGATCAAAAATGAGTTGCTGTCGAGTCGCCTTTGCCTAGTTATTTGCTCTCGTGTTATATATTTCTTATTGCTATAGTTATTGGTGTCGCCATCCGAGGTTGTGCAGTGTCTTCCATGGTGTGTCTAATCTTTAAGTTTATCTTTCTAACGCAGTTGCATTTCTTTTCCCTTTCCATACAGTTTCTACCTTCGTACTGATTACTTGATAGTCTCTTGGTAACCATTACTTTTCTGACTACGTATCTACCTGCTTAAGGCATTAATGTTTTGGCAATAGCATATTTATCTTTGGAGTGGTTCTCTCTTTTTCCGTGATGTCTTGGTGACTCTATCGAACCGCTCTTCCGGATCTGTGATTTGCGTTTAACCAATTCGAGGTATGTTATCTTATATGATGGAGAATATTTTTCTTAAGACAAGTGTATTTTTAGGGCTTAACTTTTGCTCACGTTTTGCCTTTAAGTTCCTCATCTTTCTCTCGACAGGTTCTTTTAAGTTTTTATCGTTATGTCTTTTGGATTACCCTTTGCGTTTGACCTACTTGAATATTTACGCATTACCGACGCAGTACGTGGATCATTTAGCAGTTTTATATGGACCCGCCATTTTAATGAATGAAAAAAGACGCGTGGTTGGTTCTACATTACCGACTTGGCAGATTTACCCACCACTTCAGTGTAACTAAACAGCTGATTCTACCAACATTGACCTACTTGGAGATTTGTACTTGGAGATTTAGATACTTGTTCCGGAATCCTAACTGCAAGTATATTACGAACCCTTGGAGACCATTACCATCTTTCATATTAGCTCTGTTATACAGATATTAGTACCGTTGCTTTGTAAATCACTTTTTGAAGGTACCGATGCTTTGTCTGAAGCCGAGATCACCGATTCTTAGTTTCTTCTTCTTCCTTTACTGATAAAAAATAGTGTACAAATGACTAAAGAGTAGCAGAAGGAGTAATTATTAAATTGGGAATGTAAATATGTTTTTTCACTACTAGCGTCTGATGACATTGTTATTAACCTTTTTTCCACTTGTAAAGTAGGCTTTCTCGGCATTTGTTCAAAGTGGTTAATAATTTTTTATTATTAACTATAGACCGGGAGGCAGTGTACATAGTAACTAAACCATAAGCGACAAAAAATTCGACAATACAGGCTGAGAGTACGTTGAAAACTAATAATAAAATCACTAGTCTGCCAGTTGTAAGTGGCAGCATTAACTTGGGGCGGCGCTGAATAGGCGACTTCTTTAGGTGATCAACTAAATTACCAAACTATTACGGTCACGGAAAAGATTTGTATCAAGAAATCCCATTTTTTCCATAGTTTTCAAATATGCTATGGCAGACGATTTCAAGTGCAGCGTTGGTAGCGAAAGACGCCCTCCAATGTAGGGAAAAACACCCCTGAACTTAAACCATGAGGACCGTATAAAAATTATTCATAAAAAATTCCTCTTTTTGTCACTACTTTCAAATATATCCTGGCAGACGATATTAAGTGTAGCTTTAATAGTGGCAGACGTCTTAGAAGTTAAAAAAATTTAGGTATAGTAAATCCCAGCGAGTGCGAGCGTGTGAGAGATAAGCGCGCGAGAGCACAACGAACAGAGATAGCTATAGATTTACGCACCGCTTGGAGTTACCAAACGAATTAAATTAAGGAAAATAATAAATTCTTTATTTCGCGATAAGATTGTCGGTATTTCTTGAATTCTTCTTAGACTGAGAAACAGAAAACTTGAAGAGAAAAGAAGATAGATCTTCAGCTCGTTCTAAACTATCCTCTGACTCCAGGTTGTCTCTATGCAACATTGATGGATCGATGATTAAAATCGACAAGTTTGTTTTGCTGAAGCTTTTTCGGAAGTATGATTTCTTCAAGTGCTCCTAGTCCATCGCCAGTTGTAGATGTTGTTTTAATCAATGGATTATTTTTTTTGCTTCTTTTAAAAGATCTCCGGTAAACCTTTGAGCGATTTTCTGAACACATCCTCGGCAAGATTTGTGCTGTGTCAGCGAGAGAAGTACATCTTACTTTTGACAAATAGTTACCCCTTCCATGAAGCACGCAGAACATGATCGTTGAGAGCAAAATAAGGACAGATTACAATCCTACTCAATTTCTGTTTCCACTCAGAAGCAGTTTGCAAATTTCATAAAACCACTTCGCAATGATAGCCCAAAGCCTCTCTTATAGATTACTTATACCGTTCATAGGCAAAAAAGACCTGTTGCGCTTTACTTGGAAGGAAAGTTGTGTTTGCCACATATGAAGATAAGTGCTATAAATTTGTGACAAGGGAAGATGATGTGGTAAAAACTGAATTGTGCTGCAGTCACTAAGAGGCAGATTCTCGAATAATTTACCATCTTGGTAAACTACCAACAAGTAGCAAAGTCATTATTAGCGCTTCCGATAGGGATATTGCTGTTATTGCTTTGGGAAATGTAAAATTGACGCTACCATCAAGGTATTAGATGGAAGTAGGTCTCTTTTCCAATAACACGCAGAAATTCATAAATCTTCGAAAGATGTTCGTGAATTTGGGTGTTGATGTGTGTAACGCGCAGGGTAACGCGTTACCGGGTTCCCACGCATTTACCGGATGTATGACTTATGGTCCTTATGGTTTAGTTCATCGCAATTTGGGCGAATGCCACCGAAAAATGTCTGAGTTTCTACAATCCGTTTGATTGAAGTGGATGGAACTATGTGAATCAGAAGTTTAGAATCAAATGGTTTGAAAGATCTCAGTAGTCAGTATCCTATCGCTATCTCTGTTCGTTATGCTCTCGCGCGCTTATCTCTCACACGCTCGCACTCGCTGGGATTTACTATACCTAAATTTTTTAACTTCTAAGACGTCTGCCACTATTAAAAGCTACACTTAATATCGTCTGCCAGGATATATTTTAAAGTACTGACAAAAAGAGGAATTTTTTATGAAAAATTTTTATACGGTCATCATGGTTTAGTTCAGGGGTGTTTTTCCCTACATTGGAGGGCGTCTTTCGCTACCAACGCTGCACTTGAAATCGTTTGCCATAGCATATTTGAAAACTATGGAAAAAATGGGATTTCTTGATACAAATCTTTTCCGTGACCGTAATAGTTTGGTAATTTAGTTGATCACCTAAAGAAGTCACCTAGTAGTCAATAATGAGAACTGTCACGCTGTCACTTTTAGAAAACACAACCCGAAATTTCGCTCAATAAACGTTTAGACAAGTTCTCTAAAACGAATAATTGCCACCATTCGCAATTTCCAGAGAAATTACATACCTAAAATTATCACATTTTGAAAAAATTCGAACCAAATTACTCTTTGAAAAATCTCAATGACAGAACAAAATACGGCCTGTTTGACTTGTACTTCCACGTACTTGATTGACATGTTAAATTAAGAAACAAAAAAATCTGTCCAACCGTTCACTCTCTTATCAATAAAATATGTTCATTTAGAGGATTTCAAGTGCTAGTAGTGAAAAAAATAGTATATATACCACGGTAGAGAAGTCTATTATTGCCTTCGCACCTTACACCCCTTGGCGCAAGCGCCTCGAGATGTAATCTTGGTGCTCAGGCAATAATAGTGGACTTCTCTACCTTGATATATAATGTACTATTATCTACGACCATATAATGTGAGTATTATACTTATGGTTTGTTCGGTATAATACCATCTATTATTCCCTTAGGGTTTAGGATTTTAATCTGGTAGTTTATAGATTTGGGCTTATGAATTTTGTCCTGTAGAACCAATAAGAATAAATTGGATTGATGCAAAACATTTATGGATGACAAAATGATTTTAAGAAACAACAAACAGGACGCAAGCATCAATGTTGCAAACAAAAAATCAATAAACTGTTTGCGATGCTAGTCGCACAGAATAATAAATATGTACTTAGTAGGAAATCTGAAACGGTGGTAGGCACGGATCCACGAAAGAGGAAAATTGCCCCCCGCCCCCAAGGGCAGAGATTTTACGGCTCATAGAACACTACTTGAGTTTGAAGAAATTGTTATGCCATTGGCTGCACAGTACACCTCATTTGATTGAGAGGGTTTTACCTACTAAAAACCACGGTGTTGTCAACTCATGGAGAGTATTATTGACAAAGTGTTAAGGGGCATCTTAGATCTAAAACAAAAGCTTGGTATGTGAGTGTGATAAATTGACTGGCAAATGCATAAAATAGCGTCTGTAAAGATATTTTCCAAACTTTTCGGGACCCCCCTTCTACGTAGAGGTACCCCCGAGAATAGGATACCTAACCATCCCTGTACTAACATTTAGCATCTCCAAAATGTCATGAGAC